TTTCAAAACGACGTAGCTTCCAGCATTATACCTTGCGTTGTTGTTATCGCATTACACAATTTACACGGAAACGAACCACAATCCCGTAACTCAATCCCACTCTATAATAATACAGTACAATTTTTAGTAATATTAATACAAGGGATATTTTTATCCTCTTCAAAAATTTACAAACTACAAATAAGAATAGATTGTGAACATTAATGTCGTCAATCGATCAATTTCTAGAGAGATCATAAAATAAATCTCTGTCTACGAAATATGAAACTAGTACATTTCATTCACATACAATTATTATTTTGTGAAACATTATTTATAAGCAATCCATCCATAACTAAGCAAATAGGAGGATGAAAAAAAAAATGATATACATATAATAAAATTTAGTTTAGCCATGCTTGAAGCTCCTTGTTGAAGGAACCATTTATTTTCTCATAAACTTTATGAGCCATCGATTTAGAAAAAGAAAAACTTTTCCTTTGGAGGCGGCTTGATTGTGACATGGTTCCTGGCCTCGACTTCCGTCACGATCATCGTTACTATCATCATAACGATCATGAAGGAGGCAATTAGGGTTTTCTTTTCGATAGCCATTATTTAATAAGCTTTTAAATGGTTCTTGATTTTGTTTTTTTGCTCTTTTTCTGCATTAACTTTAGATTAACTCACCGACGTATTTATATGTAAAACCAAACTTCTATAAATAGTATTCTTCATTTTAAAGTTTCGTGGAATCCTTCAATTGTCTTTTCTTAGATATTGGTCAAATGATCGCTAACTTTTTTTAGATGGAAAATTCTAAAATAGTAGTATTTGATAACATCTTCAAAATTTGTAATGTAGAAATTTATAATGAAAAAGAAAAATATTGTCAAAAAAAATAATAACCACGAATTGTTAGAACATCTCTAATGGGGAACTCTTAAAACTATCTTTCATAAAGAAAAATTATAAAATAATGAAAAACAAGAGAGAGAATGAAGAGCACCTCTTATTTAATCAGTTTGGGAAACGACTCTTTTAAATTTTAAAGAGTTTCATCTAGTATATAGCACTTTTTAATTGGTGTAAATTTCTTTTAATTAAAAAATTAATATATATATTTTTTAAAGAGACCCTTGTGGTTTCCATGGGTTGGAGATGATCTTACTTCTCCATTTTCATAAAGAAAGATTGTGATAATACAAATGTAATCCTATTAATATGCATCTAATGATAGTGACTTGCATTTCAAGAAAATGGTCTCAAACTTATTCTGAGGTCGGTCCATATTTGGTTTGATGTAACTTATTAATAGCACTACAAAAATGTGAATCTCACCAACAACGTACCCAAAAACCTTTGAAGCATGTTAGATCCTAGTTAGGTTCAACACGAAGACCTTCTTCTTCTTCTTCTTACAAGAATACTCTCTTAAAAAGAAAAGGTTCCATCTTTCATTCATGTTAAAGAAGAACCATAACAATGGCTGCCGAAACACAACCATCTTCTTCTTCCTTACTACTCATGTCCTTGTTCTTGCTACTTGTTTCAATTATTAATGTCCCTTCATCAGTTCTCTCAGCCACTCTTCGATCCGACATTCAAGCTCTAGAGTCTATCATACGCAGCATTGATCCAAGTTCCATCTCCCCTTCCTCTTACCTCAGCACATGGGACTTCTCTGAAGACCCTTGTGAAGGCGCAGGGACGTTCTTGGGAGTCATGTGTTCTTTCCCTCTTGAGAACACGACGAGCCGAGTCACTGAGATCGACCTTGATGATGACGGTTATGACGGTTTCCTCTCTGATGCAATAGGGAACCTAACTGAGCTCACTGTCATTAGCGTCAACAAGAACAGATTCCGAGGTCCAATACCTGAAACTGTGTACCAACTCAGGAAACTCACCAAACTGTCTCTCTCGGGGAACTTCTTCACCGGAGACATATCCCCGGGGATCACGAGGCTCAAGGAGCTCAAAACCATAGACCTGTCGAGAAACAGCATCGCCGGTGAAATCCCTCCAAGGATCTCAGCCTTGAGAAGTTTGACTCACCTGCTCCTATCAAACAACCATCTCGACGGAAGAATACCTGCGCTCAACGGCTTGTGGAAGCTACAAGTGTTGGAACTCGGCAACAATCATCTCCTCGGAATGCTTCCTAAGCTTCCCCCAAGTCTAAGAACTCTATCCCTCTGTTTCAATAGCCTCGCAGGACGTATATCTCCCTTGCATAGGCTGAAACAGCTTGTGTCACTAGATGTGAGCCAGAACAGATTCTCAGGCACCATTGGCCATGAAATCCTTACATTCCCCGAGATTTCACGCATTAACGTGTCGTTTAACCAGTTCATATCCATAGAGGTTATAAAGATCACAGGCATGGAATCCCGCCTGCGCATACTTGACGCTGAAGGTAACCATTTACAGGGTCACCTTCCTCTGAACCTGGCAACTTATGGAAACCTGAAGGATATCAATCTGCGGAGCAACATGTTCTCAGGAGATATTCCAAGGATCTACGGGAAAAGACTTGAGAACTCATGGAGAAGCTTGTACTTGGAGAACAACTACCTCACAGGATCACTTCCTGAGGAGTTTCAAAGGATCTCCAAACAGATCAAAGGAAGCCTTTCGAATAACTGTCTGCAATGTCCCAAGAATGTTCCAATCTGCCAAGGAGTACAAAAGCCGAAGTCACAATGCACCAATGCAATGCAGGAGGGTTTGGAGTAGAGATCACGCGCATGTGAAGCAGTTTCTATTAGAAAGCATAATTACCAAACCTACGTTCATGTCCTTGTTTGATTTTTAATCATGGTAGAAATGTAGTCTATGAAAAAAAAAAGTGACATTCAAAAGAGAGATGTGTATTTGCGATAACACCTTTCCTTCACCATATGTATGTTTAACAAACGTCTAAATTCAGAAAAGAACAAAAAAAAAAAAAAGACTCAACTACCATATCTCCCATCAGGAGTACATTCCAAATTCTGCTACATAACATCAGAGAGGTGTTCTTTTTTAAAACATCGTGAACATAGTACATTTCAGAAGAGCCAATTCACACTAATGTTACCAAGCCAGATCAAAAGAGGAAACTGTGCTAAAGCTACAAAGATCAAGAGGTAGTGATGCCTGCTCGAGTCATAACTCCTAGCTTCCGCAAAGAGAACTCGCTTCATTGTCTTCACTAAGAAAACCCCGGTGCATAAGCAGGTCCATGGAATCAGAACATAGTACGAGTATCCCCAGATTAACTTGCCAAGAACAGCTAAGCAGAGACCCGTGAAAGTATAGCCTCCATATGCCACAATATCCAAGAGTGGTGCTTCACCGCTACCCAATGAGAGCAATGTTATCTTCAGCAGCATGACTTGCAGAAACCAGCCAACCATTCCTTTCACAAAAAGCCAATTCAGAGCTTCCGGAGTAAACCTAGACAATTCGGAATCAACACAAGGATCAAAAGGCTGAACCAAATGCAGTGTAAACGATATAGAATTTACAAAAAAACCTTACTTCCCGTAGAGTCCTAGTGACAGACCAGCAAGAACAACGTATGTGCCAAATGCCATAAGCGGGATGTATAAGTCTGGTGCATTGATATCATATATCGGAGGCTTGTATGAAAGTCTACCCCCAACTGGTTCTGAGATTCTAGTCCAGTGTCCCTGATGTTGCAGCAAAACTCAGATGACAAAGAAACACCCAAAATAAGGATGTAAACATTTATAAAAAAAAGGTGAGCCAGCCTTACCCTGTGCAGGAATGGAAGTAGAACAATCTTCAACTTGTTCCTAACATACTGGTCATTCACTTGGAAATAGTATTGAGGATCGGAGAAGTAACGAGTGATCTGTTTATACAAACGAGTTAAAAAAACAAACGAAAACGCGGCCAAGTTATGAACACATGGGGAAAAAAAAGCTAGAGACACAGGAGTTAACTTACGTTGCTCTGCACATACTCAGAGCTCGACCCGAATATTTTCTCCCCGTAAGCTCCCAAGCCACTCCGGATGAGTCCAGAGCCAGGTCCAGAGAAGGCATTCCCAAAAGGGTTAGGCTGAGGATTAGCCTGAGGCATTGGCATCCCAGGCTGAGGTCCCATGTTATTATACATCTCTGGCATTCAACCAAAAACCAGCACAAAAAGCTTAACTTTTTGACTAATTTCAAAGCTTTCATATACCCTTTTAACAGTTAAACAATCCAATCATCACATGAACACTAACACCCCCAAGAAACCATAAACTGTATCGCATCCCTAGGTATAAAGCCCGAGCCTCGAATCAGAGATCACTAAGCATAACCAGATAACACGACATTGCTAGTCTAGGGTTTTTCAATATCATGCGCGACTAAACTTGCTAGCGAACCTAGCTTTCGGCCATCGGAAAAGCATTTGTTTCACAAGAAAACCCTAATTTTGTTGAACCGTGAAGAACGAAGATAAACACACAAGGCCAATCGAAATTTGGAACGAGGAACGGCAATCAGCAATTGGTAATAGCGAGAAATAAAGACAGACCTGAAAAGAAGCTGTGAAGGAGATAACAGATCTAGAGCTTGCTTTTCCGGCGGATTTGATCTGTGCCCCGGCTAAGTTCCGGTGATATGCGAAGTGAAAGAATTTTATTGATCCAAAGGTGGAAAATAAACGGAAGGGAAGGTCGTGTGAAGCCTCTTGTTCGCACGTGTGAGCATAGGTTGCTCTTCTTTATCACTAAACCAATGAAACGTTGACACGCATATCTCATACTAAGGTTTTCATTTTGGACCCTTCTATATACTGCAAGTTTACAATATGGGTTTAAAATTTAATAATTTCATATATCGGGGATTACTTGGCTCTAAATTAAAGAAAAATAAGTTCAGGATTATTTCTGAAAAGCCTTGAAAGTTCAGGGTTTGTATCGAAATTTACGTAATTACAAAAGCGTCCAAAGCCGTGAGAACGAAGAAGAGAGTGATTCTCGATAGAGAAGAAGAGAAAGTTTCAGTCTTTTTGGCGAGATGGAGGTTCCAAGCTCTGAGGAAATCCTTCAGTTTATGAGCTCTTGTCTCTCTCAGATCAAATGGCGACTCAAGTCCACTTCCAAGCGCCGCCTCGAAATAGGTTTCCTTCTTACACTTATTTTTTTCCCTTCAATTCTGCGACTGTTCGAGACTCTTGATTCAGAATTTGGGTTTACTTTCTCTGATCCTCTGCACTTTCCCATTTCTAGAGGAGGAACGAAATTTCCTTTTTTTCTTATCCAAATTGAGGCTAAGTGATGCTTTGATTGCTTTGTTCGAGCTCTCGTAGAAGAACAAAGCCAAATTCGTGCATTTGTCTTGCTGGCTTTATCACTTTCTACTACCTGTTGGAGATCAATCACCAAAAAATTTGAACTTTAGCATCATAGATCGTTCAAATATCAACACTAGACTCTAGTATGATCTCAATTTTTCATATGCTTGAAATCTGTAAGCGATGCTTAAACGGGTTTCGTGGACCAGATGTTCTTGCACTGTGCACCGGAATGAGACCGGTCGTGATGATTGACTATGGTGGAAAGATGCCTGAGCTACAAGATCGCTTGCTTTCGCTTCTCGAGCTTATCCAAGAGGTTAGGCTCTATTTCTTCCTAAAGAACATTAGTACTTGAGTATGTCTGTAGCTGATTTTATTCCTGATTCTGTCCTCTGTATTGGCATTTTTTATAGGGTCTACCAGTTTTCAAAGATCTGAGGGTTATGGTTATAGAGGATATGATTTACCTGATAAATGTAAAGAGACTGCCCAAGTTTGTAAGTTCCAGCTTGGTTTCAGAACCCGAATTGTTCTTTGTCGACTTGGAACAAGATCCTCCAAAGGTTGTTCCTTTTGTAAAGCTTCCGTGTTTGTTTCAATGGATTCTGTTTTTCCAATTGGACTGGTCTCAGTCTTTTCATTTGTTTGTCCAAGATGGTGGAACAAAGCAAGGAAAGCAATCTAGGGATGCAGCTTAGATCGATTCAGCAGCTATTCTCGTCGACATTTCCTTTAGATTGCAGCGATAATGATACCAACACAGCAGTTGATGAGGCCAAATCTTCTCAGTCTTCTCTATGCATTGATCTTAGTTGTTGTTTACAGGACACTAAGGTTACGATCCCAACTTTAAACGGGTAATTTTCAAGTCCTAACACTTCATTCATCCACCATATATATAATCTTAGTTTATGAAGCCGTGAAGTTTGGCGTTCAATATGAATTTGCAGATGGCTCCTGGACTATCCGGTTGTGTATCTATTCGGCACAGATCACATAGAAGATGCAATATACAACCTCACAACCAAGTCTCTCCGCATCTTCAAAATTCTAGTACAAAGGTTAGCTATATTGTATAGTTGTAACTTTAGCTTCTGACTATTGTAGTGATTGTCTAACTCCAAAGATCTTCCAGGAACGGTACCACTGAGAAGGAATCTCACTTAGAAGAGCTAACAAGGTAAGAACTTTATAAACAGGGCAGTGACTTTGCTTCATAAACAACAATGTATCTGTGAAAGTAACCAAGTGTGTTTTCGGAATTGATTCGCAGTTTTTCGGTGCCATATGATCTGAGTATGGGAGGTAGCAAGGAAGTGTGGGCTGAAACATTTCTGGAGAGGATGAGTTCAAGGTGGGAAGAATGCAAACACATTTGGAGATCATTGGATTTGCAAGTTTCTGAATGTTATCCTCAAGCTATTGTTCTTTAAGGATTTTACTAAACTTGGTAATGAGTTTATTCATTAAAGTGACTCAAAAGACAAAAGTTGAATAAAACGAGATTCATAACAGAATGGAATTGTTCTCTGACCGGTTCTACAAGAACACATAGCCAAAATCTGGAAGAAAACCCCAAAAAAAAACAAACCAAAAAAAAAAACAAAAGAAGAAAAAGGCCAAAGCCAAAAAGTAAAAGGGGAAATCGTAAATATCCAGACTTTTTGTATCAGTTTGCATTCAAGAGACTCTGAACCTCAGACTCTGTAGGAAGAGCTGGAATCGCTCCTTTCTTCGTAGTTGTAATGGCTCCACATGCATTCGCAAACCTGAGCACTTCTCTCAGACGAGCTTCGTCCTGTAATTAAGGACAGGAATAGGAGTAAATAATCGAAGCAAAGATTCCAAAATCGCAGAATAATCTGATATGTGAAGTTATTTGTATTTTTTACCTCAAGCACAGCACGGTCATCAACAACATTGCAAAGCAAGGCACCAACATATGAATCACCAGCACCAGTTGTATCCACTGTGTCCACATGGAAAGGATCAACAGATCCACGGAAGCTCTGTAATCATACAAGCACAACAACACAACTTGAGTAACATTAATGGTAAAGTAAAACAGTCAAGAGAGAAAACTCTTTAAAAAAAAACATTTTACCTTGGTGTAATATCTACAACCCTTTTCACCCAAAGTGACCAAGAGAAGTTTCAAGTTGGAGTGCCACAGAGACAAAGCAGTCTCATCATCAACCTTATCAGATCCAGTCAAGAACAAAAGCTCTTCATCGCTGACCTTGATCACTTCAGCTTTGTCCCAGATGCTAAGAATCTGCTTCTTAGCCTCCTCCTTCGATGGCCACAAAGGCAGCCTCAAGTTTGGGTCATACGAGAGCAACGCACCGGCTTCTTTAGCCACCTCCATGGCCTTCAAGTGAGCAGATCGACATGGCTCAACGATGAGGCTTATTGATCCATAGTGGAACACCTTAGCCTGTAGAAAAAACCCAACACAAAACAGAGCACTTCGTTAACCTAACGTTTCCTTTAAGTTAGGTCTACCAATATCCGTTACGGTGACGGTCTAGCACCGTCTGATAATTAAATGCGGGAATATTTGCTTACGTGTCATATACCGATTGTATTAAATTTTCATTAATAGTTGATTATAGGTCAAAATAACGACAGTTTCAAAAAAAAAAAAAAAGGTCAAAATAACGTACCGATCTGATGAGATCGAGATTGAGCTCATCGGGACGGAGGAGCATATCTGCGCTAGGGTTCCGGTAGAACATAAACTCACGTTCTCCGTCGGATCTTAGGGTCACGAATGCGAGGGCCGTCCTGGCTCCAGTGTCGAAATTGATTCCTTCGCCAGAAACGCCGTTTTCTTTCAAGATTCCGGCGAGCATGTGACCGAACTCGTCGTCACCGAGTTTACCAACGAAAGCAGAGCGACCGCCAAGGCGGGAGACGGCGATCGCAACGTTGGCAGGTGCGCCACCGGGTGCCTTGATGAAGCCAGGAGCCTCGGCGAGGGATACGCCGGAGACGGTGGGAACGAAATCGATGAGCATCTCACCGAAGCTAACGATCAAGCTTTTCTCGCCGTTGGATGTAGCCATTTGTGGTCGAGTGTGTTTATCGGACGGTAGTGAAATAGTAATGAGGGAGGTTTTGGATATGAATGAGATATACAATCAGAAAACGAAGAAAGGGGTTTATATAGAAGTGTGGATCACTTGGTTTAGTCAAATCCTCGAGACTTTTAATTAATTTAAAAGAAAGTTTCATATTATCCAGTTAAAAATGTTATTATCCGAATTTGTATTTGGTAACTAATTAATATCGAAATATTCGATTGGTCCATTGCATAATATTATGATCTTATAAGATTAGTGTTTAATTTCATATTATCCAGTTAAAAATGTTATTATCCGAATCTGTATTTGGTAACTAATTAATATCGAAATATTCGATTGGTCCATTGCATAATATTATGATCTTATGAGATTAGTGATTGGTGCTTTTATCGGATTTTCTGCTTGTTCATGGGCCCCACGTGACGTATTTCGCAAGTTTATCTGTTGTTAGATAAAGATATCTCCTCTTTTAATTCGGATTGTTTCATTTGTTAGGATTACTTTCATTTACGATAATATAGAGTTAATGGATATTAAATCTACTAAATCGACGAAAAATAATGTGTGATTTTTATAATTTTTAGAAACGGAATTAGGTTTTGACTTATATGATTCTTTATTTACGAGATATCTGCCAACGCTATTTAAATTCCTATTTCCCAAGTAACAAATATTTTTGTATTTAATTATCATTAATTAACGGAATCTCCTTCGATCCTGACGTTAAAACAATTTCATAATTTATTTCGTTATTCGTATGAAAAACTAGAAACGAAAAAGTCAAACTAATTGGTAAATGCTAAGGTAATAATTTTTTAAAAAAACGGATATATTATCCAAAAGAAATGAAACATCTATACTAAATAAAAAGAACTATTTGGGACTCTTTAAGCTATCCACCTCAGCTTTTCAAATCACTCTAAAAATATGACATATCAGCAAAAAATAATAATACAAATTCCCACTTTAGATTTTTTTGAAATACACATAAAGTAAATAAATAGAACCAAAATTAATATAGTTAAATACAAGAGTAAATAAAAATAAATTATTATTTTTTAAATCAAAAATAAATATTATTTAAATCTATAGCATCAATATATACTCTTTTGTTTGTAATATAACAAATTAACAATAATGAAAATTTTCACTTTAGATTTTTTGAAATACACATAAAATAAATAAATAGAACCATTAAATTAATATAGTTATTGGCAAAAACTAAATAAAACTATATATCATTTAATCAGTAAAATAAATATCATTTAAATCTGTAACATTAATATATACTCATTTTTGTCACTAAAATTAATATAGTTACCAACAAAAATAAATAAAATTAAAATATCATTTTTTGAATCAGTAAAATAAACATCATTAAAATTTATAGCATCAATATATACTTCTTTTGTTTGTAATATAACAATAATAAAAAATTTCACTTTATATCTTTTGAAATACACATAAAATAAATAAATAGAACCACTAAGTTAATATAATTATTAGGAATAAGTAAATAAAACTAAATATCATTTTCTAAATCAGTAAAATAAATATCATTTAAATCTGTAGCATTAATATATACTCATTTTTGTAATATAGTGAATATATTAGACAACAAATTACGCTAAAAAACTTAAATAATAGTTAATAGAACCAAGATTACAAAATAATCATTTCTAAAATAAAATTTAAAACATTTACAAATTATAAAAATTTAAAACATTCACCTTTTAGAAACATACATATTAAACATCATAGTACGTTAGATTATGGTAACCAACAAGACAACATAAATTATAGGAAGCTTTTCAAAGCATCTATCTATATGAAGATTTCGATCATTGTTATTATTTACATTGTAGAAAATGATAGACAAAAGAAGAATTTCATGTACTGATATTTATTCAATGTGTGTCTTAGTTGAAAGTTACTACAAGCGATACATGTCAACACATGAGTTAAACAGTTTATAAACAAAAATTAAGTTTTAGATGACAGTTAATTTTTATATATATCAAGTTAGTAAATTCTTAAATTAAATAATAATGCATTTTTGAAAAAAAATAATATACACATTTTTATGTAGAAGAAAATGTCTAAAAAAATCTTTAATTATCCACATCAACAAAATTCTTTATAAACCCAACTTGAATGAAAAACTAATATGGTTTTTTTTACTGGGTTAAGAAACTCCTTTAAAAATAATATAATATATATTATTAGTTTAATTATAAAGGCTCATCAAAATATATATGTGTAGTTTAAGAAAAAAATGTTCAAGTTAAATTACAAGCAAAATTTTTTACATTTTTTGAGTTTTGAGAAACTCAACATACTTTATTTAACATAATGAGTTAGTATGAAATTGTATTTGTATATGTATTACTTGCCTTATTCATCTATATTTTTTATAGTTTACGTATACTTCATAGACCAAATCAAAATTGCATTTTATCAATATGATTGTGATTTTTTATACTATATAAATATTGTTTTTATTTATATGAATCATAGTTATTTTATATATTTATAAGAGATTAGAACATTGAGTGTTGTTTGTATTTGAGATTGCTAATTAAATAAAAACACTACACGAACACAGTTGAAATAAAAATAAAAATCTAAATTAATTGGAATAATAATAATCAAATTTAGTCAAAACAAAAATAATTTTAATAATATTTTGAAAGTTAATAGTGAATAGCAGTGAGTTTATATACAAATATTAAGTTTTAGATTAACAGTTAATTTTAGCATATATCAAGTAGGTAATTCTTAAAATTATATCATGATACATTTTTTGAATATGTTAAAATATTTTTGATGTATAATCATATCAAAACAATTTTAAAAATTAAATATTATATTTAAAATATTAACTTAAAGTGAAAATAATAAAACTTAAATAATAATTAAATATTTATATAAAAATAGTCTGCGCGTAGCGCGGTAACATCCCTAGTATTAGTGAAACGCAACAGGGAGCATTATGGAAACATATTAGTGCCACGTGTCTTACTAAAAATATTGTTACAAATTTCAAGGATTGGAAGTTCAGTTTTTTTGATTCATCTTCTTCGCTTTGAAACGTTTTGTATTAATCACTTTCTCTTTAACATTTTGCATTCTACAGATTTAAAAGCAATACCGTATAGTAAAGCTATTAAAATTCAATCTACTAAGTTGTCATTCTCATCTTCTATTTCGTCTCTGCTTCCTCAAGCCTAGAAATTTCCAGCTACTCTTGATTAAAAACTATCTTTCTGAAAAGATCTGGACACCTCTCACTTCATTTCTAAGGTTAAGATTTATGTTCTAAGTTGGATGGCGTCTGAGATACTTTTGCACTTGTCCAGGTTAAATATCTCAAGCTGGTTATGATTAACTCACAAGTAAAAAGCTTTTGTTGATTACATGCACCAGAACCACATGGGATCGCAACCCATCAACGAGGTGACATGAGCATCCTATCTTAGGCAGATGTGTGTTCAATCATGTATAATGTCGTCGGCTTCTGTTAACAGGTATAGACGGCGAAACCATGGCAACATACAAATAATAATAGACATGAGCAAAGCGCAATGTGGTAATAAATCAAAGTATGGGTTTGTTTGGATTTCAACTACAAAAGTGTGAACTTCAATAAAATCAATGGCAAATCAATTTTGGAATAATGAGGAAGAACGTTTATTAGGTTAGTTAAGTGAACCCATTAATCTAGAGTTGATTCTCGTTAATGAGGATGATTCATGGCAAGTTAACTTACTATTTGAAGTTCCACTCTTTCCCTGTTTAGTTCACAAAAAACCATGTCTTCTATACTTGGCAGACAGAACGACTGGTGAACAATTTTCATTCAATCATTATGACTCGCAGACACAAATATATTCCATGTGACTGAGGGCAAAAACTTCTTGGTGGCCTAGATTGCAACATGAATGTCCTAGTTTTTACACATCTTCTCATTTATATTGGATTTTGACACATCCATCTACCAAGCTACAGATTACGATTTTACTCTTGAAAGTGGTCCTCTCACTGGTTTTTACCTTTGCGGATGCAGTCCACCAGTAGGAGCACCCTCCTATATGCGGTTGAAACGGTCACTCACAGGCAGTGTTTCGAGTTGTGGATTGAGAAGAAAGTGGACAGCGCACTCTTCGGTAAGACACGTCAGAAGCCTATCGAGATTTACACATGCTTTGATCTTCAGTTCCCTTGTAAGAGGAATTATAGCTTCTAAAACCCAGAGCATTCTGTCGCAGGGATCATCCAGGAAGAGACAAATGACCTGGTTCCAGGTTTGGTTGATCAGATTATCTTCTAGATTCCATATGCAGTGACTGAGATCTGGTACCAGGTCTTGGCCAAGTACATGAGCAAGCAAACGCAAGCATGTCACTCTGACCAACTCTTCATCATGAGTCGCCGCATCGATATCCAGGAGGTGAGGCAAAAGACGAGGAAGAGCCACCTGAGCAAAGTTGAAGGCTGTACCTTCACGGGTTTGTAAAATGTAGAGCTCTTTCTTCAAAATGGAGATCCAAAGCACAATGACGCTTTTAACCACAGAGTTTGTTGCTATGGGAGCCGTAGCATTAATTATAGATGGCACGTGGACTCTGAGGTTAGCATAGAAGTTCCAGGTTTGATTGCTTTGATTGCTTTGTTGCTATGGGAGCCGTAGCATCCATGGTAGTCTGAACAACAGGCAAATGAAAGACGACGGACAAATGCGTTCTGGGTTATCGCAATCCAACTAAGAAAGAAACGGATTATCGCGAATTAGAGGCTATATTCAAGTACAGAGATGATCTTCGAAACAGAGATAAATGCAGCGAACCAATTCCAGGGAAATCTCAAACAAAACTTCCTAACCAGAGCAGGCAAATGAAAGATGCGTTGTGGGTTATAGCAATCGCAATCGAACTAAGAAAGAAACGGATTCTCGCGATCTTCAAACAAATCTAAATGCGAAACCAAAAATTGAACAAGAGAACACACCGAGAGTCCGTGCGTCGAGATTTCTTTCTGAGAAGTTGAGGTTTCCCGAACAAAAAGAACTCTTTCCGATTACTCTCACGACGAAGAAAAACCCATGAGTATTTATACTCAATCTCTCACCGAAATAGTTACAAATGTCCCTAACTAACTCTAACTTCTGATGACAGAAAACAAGAAAATTATTATTAATTATTTATTTATTTTGAAAACAAAAATTTCTGATTCACCAGAGACTCGCAGACCTCCGTTTTCCGTTTTCGACTTCTGCAAGTCGTCGATTTGGTGATTTATCAGACAAGAACGACACGATGTCGTTTCCTCTGCTTCAGTAACCAGCTTTCAACTAGTGCAAACCAACTTCGGATTTACGGTTTCTCCTTGGTTCATTTAATCAGACTCAACCAGCCAATTTTACTGCCTCCTCGACTTAAACCGGCCCGGAAAACAAAAGTAAGTACCGACAAAATATAATTGTGAAGTATAATATATTCTTTTTGAATAAAAATACAAAGTTTCTTAAAAATTGGAAAAAAATAAATAGATAATGTGGAACAACATGTAAGTCTATCAGATTTTGCTCGTATAAAAATATATTTTAATAAAAAAAATTAATTGAAATAAAAATATAATTATTAATTTATCAATATCTGATAGCTAAAATATAATAGAAGTAATCATAATTCAAATACGAATTGGAAAACTTATTTAGAAATATGTTTTAATTTAATGAAAATATCAAATAATAAATACTGTATATATAAGGGAAGTATGAGCGATTCAAAGTCAAACCCTTTTACAATTATCTATCAAACCCCATCTCTACCTCTCTCTTCCACAAAAATATGGTAAAACTTTCTATTGCCTTTGTTGGATTCTTCTTCTCGTATAATTATCAGATTCAGTTTCTTGAGCTAGGGTTAACACATCCCACGAGATAATTGTTTATATCCATTAATATTTTCTTTTGTTTTTGTCTTCTAAATTCGTTGTGGATGCATCAGGCTTTACGTAACCAGCAAACAACCGAATATCCTGCCTTCAAACTTGTCATTATTGGTGATGGAGGCACAGGTACCGTATATAGTTTTTTTTTTTTTTTTTGGTGTCTAGGAGTGTGGTGGGATTTAATGTTCCTTGCGAATTTCTTTTAATGTTTCCAACAAAATAATATCGACTTATTATATGATATCCTATCCGCCCTGCTTCGAAAATCCTGATGTTGGGAGGGGCTGATCTTCTGATGGTTGATTTTGAAGGAAAAACCACTTTGATCAAGAGACATCTAACCGGTGAATTTGAGAAGAAGTATGAACGTAAGTATTTATGAATGCAAGAAACAATGGCTATTTGTCAGATTCTGATGCCTGATGTATTTATGACTTTGGATGTTGTAGCTACTAATAGAGTGAAGGTTTATCCTTTGGATTTCTACACCAACTTTGGCAAGATCTGCTTCGACTGTTGGGGAAGAAATATCTGACTGTATAAGTTTTGGATACTTGTAAGTTAATTACCTTCTTTTTTTTTCATAATCCCTGGACGATGCTATAACCTGAGCACTTCTCTCATAATCCCTTTATGATTTAGCTAATAACAACCTTATTTGTTGTCTCGCAGCGTCCGTAGTCACTGTGCGATCATTATGTTTGATGTTACATCACGGCTCACATACAAACACGTTTCGACATGGCACACTGAACTCTGCTGGTATATATTTAATTTGTTTCTCTCTCGCATATATCTGTATTAATTTGCCTTGAACAAGCTAGAGAAGTCAAAATTGTCATGCAATAATTTGGTAATAACAGGATTCGTCCAGACATCCCCATTGTTCTGTGCGGGAACAAAGTTGATGCAAGGGATCGGCAAGTGACAGCGAGAGAGATTACGTTCCGGAGAAGGAACAATATGCATTACTATGAGATATCTGCAAAGAGCAACTACAATCTTGAGAAGCCATTCTTGTATTTTGCGAGAAGACTTCTTGGAGAACCAAACCTTCACTTTGTGGAATCACCAGCTCCTCTTCCACCACAAGTGCACATTGACACTGCTGCTCATGATAAGTAAGCTTTGAGAATACGTACTCTTAATTAAGATCGCTAGCTATATACTGATAATGAATGTTCTTTTTTTGGTATATTTTGCTTTGTTGATTAACTACTTTTTGTTTGTATATGTAGGAATGAAGCTGAGCTCGCAGTGGCTGTAAGTCAGGCACTTCCCGATGACGATGATGACGACGAGGAGAACGCCGCCTTTGAGTAAATCTTTTCAAAACGTTTGTTTTGTTATATTATACTTTTATCAAAACAAAATTATGATTTCGTGATTGATTACTTACATGGTCTATCCGTCGCTCTGATAAAGTACCCATAATTTTAAGGGTACTACTATTATTTATTTATGATTTGTTTCGTTTTTTTTTTTGACATACAGATTGAATTATAATACTTGTTTATGCTATGTAAACTTACTGTTATACAAATATCTCAAATAATAACCAATAAATAGACGACCACGAATATTCGCTTCAAAACTAGACACCCACGAGTTTATTGACATATATGCATCAAGACGAGGAAGTAGCTAGAACTTACAGCTAGTGTAATTTATTATGTTTGGTCGTTTTATTCGGAAGACACTTATATGAGTAGGTCGATTAAAGATTATTGTTAGTAGTCAAAAAGATTTTTGATCATTGGAAATGAGTCATGAGACCCAAACAAATTTCAGACCGGTTTGGAATCTAACCGGCTGAACTTAATCGGCTGAGACGAAAAATGAAGGTTAGAAAACTAGATAATTTGTTAGTATAAGTGTGATTTTATAAATGAAGATAGTAAAGGGATCGGATTTACAATTATAAAAACTAGTGGACACACCGGTCTAACGGGTGCGTCGGTCGTCGAGAATTACGGTGTAAAAAGAGAAAAAACTAAAACATAGGACGAGAAAAAAAAAAGTGGAGGAATTATCAGACGAGGAGAAGCGCACTGGGAGAACCATAGAGTCGATAACCCCAAAGGTTAGATGAACGGGGAGTTGACTTATTTCCGATATTGACCCAATCATCTCTCGCCACGTCATAGGTTTCTGCGTTCCTTGTAATCCATACCCTGAACCGGCACCTTCTCTGTCTCCCCCTCATCGAAAACCTAAATCGATCGTCGCCGCCGCCTCCGACCCACATCTCCCGGCGGCGAACACTCCCCGGAAAAACTTTGACAGTAAGATTGTTTATTCTTTCACAGTTATTTCGTTCCTTCAACTGAAATTGGGTATTTACGGATTTGGGATTTTCGATTTTCGATTTGGATTCATCGCTTAAGCTGTTTAGTAAAGTATGATACCGAGAAGTTTGACATCTCAAGCTTTTAATACTTTTGGAGACCCGATTTGATGATTTACAGACCTCTCCATTGTTTATGTTCCACGAGTGATGCTAAAAGCTATGAGAAGGTGAATCTTGAATAGATTCATCCCAACGATACGTTTCATTTAAGCTTTGCTTTTATATTGTTGTGGAGACTGGAGGATTCTGAAACCACTTTGTAGTTGAGCTTTGTCTTTATATCTTAAATTGGATCATGGGAAACAGTAGAGAAGAGACGACATTTTTGCAGCTATTTGTAAGAGCATTAAAAACTTGTACTTTGTTCTTGGGTAGAGATATCTGATGTGTGTCAAAAAATGTGTTTTTTTCTCTGAGCATTTCTTGTTTATCTTCTTGGTAAATCATTTCCTTGTTAATCTGCAGTGGATTTCAGGATCGATAATGGTGTAACTGCTGGGATGATGATGGGGATTCCAGTCGAGCTAGAGGTTACCACAGTGGAGAACCATAATGAAATGGGCGAGAGCTCAGGTCAAGCAATGATTGAGCAAGACGATGAAGACCACAACGAAGCAGGTGAGAACTCTGGTCAAGCAATGCTTGAGCAAGATGAGAAGGTGGATCCGGGTTCTATCCTTCTGGCGGTTGCAGATATGGCGGAGGCTCAGGGGGTTGAGCCTTACGTTGGGCAGGAGTTTGAATCTGAAGCAGCCGCACACGGGTTCTATAATGCTTACGCTACAAGAGTAGGGTTCGTCATCCGTGTCAGTAAGCTGTCACGGTCAAGGCACGATGGATCTCCCATAGGGAGGCAACTTGTTTGTAACAAGGAAGGCTACAGGTTACCTAGCAAGCGGGACAAGGTCATTAGACAGAGAGCCGAAACAAGGGTTGGATGCAGAGCGATGATCTTGATTAGGAAAGAAAATTCTGGTAAATGGGTTATCACAAAGTTTGTCAAGGAGCACAATCATCCTCTTATGCCTGGAAGGGTTCGAAGGGGTTGCATCTATGATCAATATCCGGTTAGTCGAAGATTTTTGATTCTGATTTTTGCTTCTTTCGAACTGAATCCTAAGAGTAGTTTTGCTTTTCTCATTTGCAGAACGAGCACGACAAAATCCAGGAGCTGATGCAGCAGCTAGCTGCAGAGAAGAAGAGGGCGGCTACTTACAAAAGGCATCTGGAGATGCTCTTTGAGCAGATCGAACAGCACAACGAGAGTCTTACTAAGAGAATCCAACACATAGTAGACAATGTGAGGGATTTGGAACAGAGAGATCGTCAACAGAACCAAGTATAGTCTTTTTTTGTCTTTTTCCTTTGTTCATTTTTCACCAGTTTGATTTAGGAGATAGATCTTCTCTTCTTTATTCCTCCTTTTTCTCTCTTTTAATAAAGTTTCTTTTCTTGTCGAAAAAACAAAAGAGCTTGCGTTTGCCTTAAACAAAGTTTTGCTTTTGTTTTTCATTCTTCTTATGTTCTAACATTGATTTGGTTCGGGTGATGCATAGGCGTAGTTTAGTAGTGTACATAAGGTGATGTTTTTTAAGCTATGTCAAGATACTCTGTAATAATATCATCTTTTTTTTCCGGAAGATCTTCCTGCTGGTTGAAAAAATTAAGTAGCTTTTGTCTAATATATTTTAACAATTCAGTTCAAGATTGCAAAACATAAAACGAAATTATTTACAGAGGAAAAAAGGATAAGATCAGCTTAATTAGACTTGGCTAAAGCCACTAGTTTTCATCATCTGAAGAAACTCCTTGAAATTGACTCTACCATCCCCATCTTCATCCACTTGCCTAATCATCTCCTTACAACACTCTAGGGTTTTACCTTGCTTGAGTCCCAAGGAAGCCATCACAGACTTTAACTCCTCAACAGTAATAAACCCATCACCGTCTTGATCAAACACATTGAACGCATCTCGCATATCCTCTTCCACTTTTTCTTCGACGATCGAACCGCAGATAGACTCAAACTCGTGTATGTCTACACATCCATCTCCGTTTGCATCCATCTTCTGGATCATTTGGATCAGATCTTTGTCTGGCATGAAGATTCCTAGATTCTCTAGGGAATCGTTTAGCTCTTCTTTTGTAATGCGTCCGTCTCCGTTCTTGTCGAACACCTGAAACACTCGTTTTAGATCCACCGCGTCTGTTCTCGCCGGAGATTCAGATTTCGACGGTGGTGGGTTCTTGTCGTCGATATACCAAGAGGGCGGGAAGAGAACTCTTAGCTTCTTGGGGACCAAACAGAGAAGAAAGGAGTTAAAAAGACTGTAGAGAAGAAAGGCTCTCACCATAGTTCTTGGCTTTGTTAAGAACAGAGATCGAAAGAAAACAGAGCTTTGATGTTCTGTTACACAGAGAAACTTGAAATGGATATCGTCTCAGATGATCTTTTATAGAGGGGGACTGGGGAGAGAGATGGGGATGCAGTTAATATATAGTATCATTTTTGGTACAACCGTTGATTCCAATAATTAACCTAGATGTTACCTCTTTGCTTAGTATTTTAACTCTTTTTTTCTTGGAGTTACAAAAAAACTAAACTAAAATTGAATAATAAGCACAACTGTACAAACTACAAGTGATCAAAATACATTTCATATAATTTTTCCAAGAAAAAGTGTCATAAAGTTAGCCAAAAGTATTTGATACTTAAATAAAGAGTAAGAGCTAAAGTCTTTCTCAATAAACACTAGTTACTAGTTTTCTTTATATTTTAAGGAATTACCATATAATATCATTTCACCTTATCTTGGTGCAAATTTTAAAAGTTAAAACTATCAATATTAAAGTTAAGAGTAGATATAGGTGGAGTTTTCACAGTCTATAAAGAATAATAAAAGACTTATAAAAAGACAAAGGTTAGTTGGGAAATCTTTATTTAAAAAAATCGAGAAGTTGGGAGAATACGCGTGGATAAAAAATGAAGGGAATTTCTTATTTTATTTTCCTTTTCTTTAATAGAATAAATGACATTGATATACATTTAACAAAACGCGTTCTGATAATTGTTGATGCATGTTTGGTTCTTGTCCCCAATTAATGATCATTTCGTTACTCATATGAATATTGGAACGAGTAAACCATACTGTATAAAGTTAACGTAGAAAAATTGAATCGGACGAAAACGAATGCAAGAATCAAAATGCAGTGTAACCAAAATCTGAATAGTGACTTCACGTAACGAATAACGATATCCATATCACTATCAGATTTGATTTTCTTTTTGGTTCCAAACCAATTATATAGCAAACTCATATCGACACTTTTTATCATCGTGGGACTACTTCGGACGGACCTGTCAGGATACAAATCAATGAAACGAGAGAGAAGAAAAAACAATTTTTTTGGTCTTTCGTTTTTTATAGAAATGATTTAATATCCCCCAAAAAATGGCAATTTGTGTGGATCCACTTGTGCCACAACAAAAAGATGACAAGTTTTTAATAGACAAATTTCCACAAAGCTTTTGTGTAAGTGGGTATTTTATTTGATTAATTCTTTATATTTTGTAGAATATACTATATTTATATGTATAAGGGGATGTTTAAACCAGTAAGGGGATCCAATGACACATAGAATACTGCTGTTATAGTTGTCTTCCAGCTCATCCAGAGCCACTACTCCTCATGATCCTTAATTATAAACATCACTATAGTATTTATTAATTCTATCAGTTACACTCCCACAGCTATTTAAATGCTGAAACAGCATTGACGAATAATGAAAATTGAACTATTAGTAATTTACAAGTTTTTTTTTTCAATATCTTTGACATGATTTGTTTATAAAGTCTGTCCTTGGTATTCGAAAAGTCTTTTTGAGATCTCGAAGAGAAAGGCGAAGCTGTTCTCTGTGTTTTGTGGAAAAACATGATGTTTTTGTTATTAGAAATGTTTAAGAGCCAACGTTTAATTGAAATCATAATGAAAGGATTAGAAGAACTCTAGTTTCTCAATTCACAAAATGAATCATTCAACTATTATTCCATCTAAGATTCAAAAAAGAAAAAAACTATTATTCCACCATATAAGTTGGTTATATTATAAAGGTTTTGGATTTTTGGTTAAATATATGATCCAATGTTGATAAACCATATGGTACGTATCATCTTTTACCAAACATGATATCATAGATTCAGAATCAGATTAATTCAAATTTTTGAACGTTCAGATTTTAAGCAGACATATAAGTATACATATATTCAAAGGTAAAATCTTAAGTTTAAAAAAAAAAAATTCAAACTGTATTTTGTATGAATATATTTATAATACCTTTAGTGTAAACTTAAATATACTTGAAAGAATTAAATCCTAAAAATAAACAGTTTTTAAACTATTACTTCAGTTATATCATGATCATTCTTGAGACGGAACATATTTGGGTTGCATGTACTGTGGGAATGTGCATGCACGTGCTTCTTCTCGTCACACACTTTCTACACAGCCATGTTATGGATTGTTTATTTAACTTGTTAATGTAGACAAACATAAACTGATCTATTGTTTGTATAGGAATTGATTCATTTAGAAATCTCACAACATCACAATAAATTTTTTTTTTTATCATCATATTATATCCCACTATTGATAGATAAACGAGTTATCTATGCATCATCATATCCTTATCGTCATTAAGATATTTGATAGATATAGACGATCCCATGTCGATCGCTTATGATGATTCTTGTCAAAATATTCATCTATCAACGCATCTTCCCACTCCCGTTTGACTAAGAACTGTTGGTTTATGGTTGGTTTGACTTTGAGCCTATGATTTGGCAGCGTACCAAATCGGTTTATCACAAGCAAATAAATGTGACTATTCACATTGTAACTCTTCACAAAGTGACTCCTCATATTGTGTCTCTTGGCTAAGTATATATATATATAACATTACAGCCCATTTTCAAATCTTACCGAATCATTAACCGGATTAAGGTATGTTATCAAATTACACACTTTTGCGGATTTTTTTTACAAAAACATTTAAACCAGACATTTTTAAGTATGACATTGACGAATAAGTTGTTGATATCCAGCAAGAATGTGTTGTTTCGAATGAAATCTCTTCATCCATAAATTTAATAATGATCTGATCATAAAATAATCATAATGGGCTTTGAGTAAGGCCCATATAGTCACAATTTCGAGTTTTATTTGACATCCATATTTGAAGACACATCTCCACATAAGTGGGCTCTTTCTGTCTGCTTCGGTCCCTGCAGAATTTCGAAATCGTACTTTCATTTTTTCCAGAAATCTTCTCACACCTTCTCGGCAAAATTCCCGGAAAAGCACCCGATCAGCAGGTACCACTATCCCCCCTCCATTAAATCCTCTCTCTTTCTCCACGAATTTAATTCGCCGTTTCCTTTTTCAAAATTCAATCTTCCTTCGATCTAAATGGGATTATCTCTTACCGTTCTTTGGTTAGTGTTAGGCTGTCTCCTAGGTTTTTGATGTTCTGTAACAGGAAGCATTCTCTTTGCATTAAATTTCCTGTCTTTTATATCTCTTTCAATTGAATATTAGTTCTTTCGATACAACTAAGATGCTGTAATCCCCTGTTCCTAGATTCGTAATTAAATTTTGGGGAAATCGTTTTATATTGCTTCAAATTTGTGACCGTTGGAAAAATCTTCAACATTGACTCGTAAATGTCACTGCTTTCGTATGTCTTTGTTTAATTCTCCTGAAAAGAAAAGTGTATTGATTTTTTTTTTTTGAAATGCTGTAATGGTTAACAGATGGTCAGCAAAAAGGATGTGGATTACTATTGCGGATATTCGAGGAAAGAGCTTCAGAGTTTGTGCAAGAAATACAAGTTGCCCGCAAATAGATCAAGTTTGGATATGGCTGAATCGTTGGCTTCTTTTTTCGAGGTAATCTTTGTTCGTTGGCTCTCTTCTAATTTTCTCAGAAAACCAAAATATGTCCGAGGAGGAAAGAAAGTCGTGGCTTTTAAGATAATCTGATATCATTAATATGCATCTTCATGCCTTTGTTGGTAGTTAATTTAATGTCCCTGGTGTCTCTCCTTATGATTTTCCTTGTTTTGGTATCTAACAGTTGCAGAAAAATAGTTTGAACTCGGTAGGCGTTGGGTTTGGGGTCGCTGGGAACCGAGCTGGTTTAGCTACTACTTCTAAAGCACCTGTGAAAAGAGGTTTGGCGAATATATCTCTGTCACTTTTTAAAGTTTTTGTTGATGTGTCATTTAAGCAAAGCTATTATTGAAGACTGGTTAAATGTGGTTACAGATTTTTATGGTAAAGAATTGAATACTGAAAGAGGGAATCGCTTTCAAGGTGCAGTGGCTAGAGAACCAGGCGTTATCATTGGGGAGAGAACAAAATATCAGGTTTGATTCACCTCTTTTAAGAATATCCATTCGCTTACAATCGTTTCTATGAGCCTGCAGGACTTTTCTCTTGTTGGTTTTTCATCGAAATGCACTGTCTTTCCTTACTTCTCTGCCACTTCTTTGGTGTTCTGAAATATCTTAAACGTTTCCGTGGAGATGCAGGCGCGAAATGGTGGTTTGATTGGTTCTGAATGTGTTCCTCCATATACGAGGAAATTGAATGGAAAAGGCCCAACGGAGCCTCGGCTACACAGTGGTGATCGTCCTAGTTCGTCTTCGTTTGAGTTTCATGTCAGTTCGGAAGAGGGTATTAGCCTTTCGGTTGACTTAAATTTCAATCCATTAGACTGGAGCAAGAGCATGAGAGGTGAGGTCAATGTACATGATAGCTTGCGTCGCAGAAAACCCCCACATTCTGATATCGCCATTGATAATGCGACAATTTGTAAGAAACAGAAGAGTTTAGGAGAAGACAAAGATGGGTATGTAAGGAGAGAAACACCTATGAGTTCGGCAATGATGGACAACACTCAAGTACTTTCTGATCATCATTCCAATGGTGAACTGTCTCTAGCATCATCTGGGATTCAACCATGCAGCAGAACCATAGAGGGCTCAGACACTTGCAAGGGGAAAAAGGCGCTTAACTCGTCCTTACCTGATTCTGCAGGACCTGGCCAGATTGTGTCATCTTGTGTTGAATCGTATAGCAAAAGCCGCAGTGTAAATCCACTTGATGTGGACTGTGTTAATCCTCATGGGAAGAAGTTGTCAAGTGACTCTGTTGTGGGTGTTGCTGCAGTACAGAATCGTCCAGCTGGTGATCTCCTTATCGAAGTTCCGGAAACTCCATCCATGGAAAGTTTTCAAAAGGTCGGAAACTCAAGTACTGTTATATGTCCACGGGGACCTGGTTCTGAGTTATCATCATCAGAAGCAGAAGCTTACTACTCAAACCCGCCTTGTTCTCCCCGCAATATCTCTTCTTCACAGCTCATCATCGATGGAGAGTGTGCTAGCTATTCTGAATCATTCAAGTTACGATACAATGGAGGGAAGAACTGTTTGCCACCAAATAATGAAGAGCAGGTAAAAACATCTTCTTCCTAATCTTATCTGTAACAAGCAATAAACACCATGATTGTCTTATCCTTTGCGTTGTTTCTTCTTTCGCAGGAAAAGAGCGAAGTTTTAAGTGAGCAGGCGCGGTCAGAGTGACTGTTTGAATGGGGAAGAAACCACTAATGTTGTACAATATTGTTCAGTTGAGAGAAGAATGGTTATCGTACTAATGTGAAGTTAGCCAATGGAGATTACTTTGAGAGCAGTGGGTCAATTATTACTGAAGGGTTCTTTCTGCAATGACCTAGGGAGGAGTCAGTTTTAGGTTAGTATGCCATTCTTTTTGGTTTCGTCCTTTCGGATTTTGGAGGTTGAAAACGCAATTGTTTGTTGTTATACACATCATCCATAGACCAGTGTTGGAGATTAGCTTACAAGCCAATGTTGTATACACCATGTTGTTGAGTATACATCAAAGTTTTGACTGTAGTATTTTACACAAGAGATGAAGATTATCAGCTTTGTTTGCACTTTCTTTAATTCTGCAATATATTTATATGATTTCGTTAGCGTGTGAACAGCACGTGATTGGCTAGTTATCATCCGTTGGATCTGAACCAAAAAGTTGGTTGAGAATATGATCTTATAATCAGTAGAGGATATCTCGTCAACTTTAAAATATAACTTTCATAAGGAAGATCGTATGAATCCATCAACTTAACCAAAAAAAAAGAAAAAGGAAGAGAATTGTGGTATGTGTAGAAAATATCTAATCTGAAGAGGACAAATCATTTTTTAGGGAGGCACAAGGAGATGAGGAGGAAGAAGACAAAAGAGGATGTTTGTGTCTCGAGAGACAGAGTTGAACAAACATAAGTGCATGAAACGGCACAAAGCCCATTACTATTGTAGTATATAATATGAGTTTTGGAGATTCATCTATGTTTCGGTTTGCTCGAAACCAAACACCAACGGCAACGGCGCAAGTACACACAAGCAAAAGTAAACCCATTTAAAAAAAAAAAAAAAACGTTACTTTTTGTTCGTTTTGTGAACAAGAAAGATTATAGAGGGAATACTTAATGTCTCATTGATTCGGGTGTTAACTCCAATGTGCATAGAAATGGAAACTTGATATTAAAACTTTGGGGTTAGATTGCTAAAATTTGGGAAGAAGTGGGGAAAATTAGAATAAAAAAAGGAAGAGGAGAAAGGAGAAGCGAAAAATTTGGTAACAATAACTCGCATATTAAATAGCTTCACCTACATTTGCCATTACTGAGAAGTAGCAGTTTTGGTCGCATTTATTGCCCTCTCAGTACTACAGGACACTGTGATAAGCTCCATGACTCTCTCTCTCTCTTCCTATCTGAGGTTCTCAAGATTTCCATGAGCTAGTGCTGAATGTATAACTCTATCTCCTACTTTCATCACCCAATTTCTCTCTCTACACTTCTTTAGTCGGCAAAGAAAAACAGAACAAAAATCCCAGTTCAAGAATTCATTGGAGGATGCGTCATTCTTTATTTGGAAATTTCGGAGAAGCTTTAGCTTAAAAAGGTCTTTTATGGATGTCGTGTGAAGTTATCACCTTGCGCTCTGAGATCTGAAAGGGGTAAGTGTATTTGAATTCGTTGCAGAAGCATAAAGAGACAAGAGATCCTTCTTTGACAAGGTTGTCTGAATTAGAATCTGAATTTCCACTTCAAGATTATTTCCTGAATCTCCGGAGACCTGTCTTCTCATGGCTCTCTGTCGTTTTCTTCGGCTCTAGTTCAGTTCTCATTGTCTGGAAATTTCAATTCTTTTAGAAGTTGCATGCCTTTAATTGCAGTAAAGAAAGGTCTCAGTCATGTGGAAGTTCTTGTGACCTTTTTCCAATTCACCCAATCTATGGAATGTCTCAGAAAAAGTGAAGAGAGTAACTAAGAAACGTGTGGGTTGACTTTGAAAAGAAGAATGAGAATGACTGAAAAGAGAGTAAGGAAATGGAATCTCCTTGCAAAGCTTGTACTTTTCACTAATCTATGGCAGCTTGCTTCAGCTCTCGGCTCAATAGCTTCAATTGCAATTTCCTACGGAGAAGGTGGCTCTGTGTTCTGTGGTCTGAAATCTGATGGTTCTCATTTCGCGGTTTGCTATGGATCGAACGCAGCGATCCTCTACGGAACTCCAGCTCATTTACAGTTCACCGGCTTAACCGGTGGAGATGGGTTCATGTGTGGGCTTCTGATGCAGTCTCATCAGCCTTATTGTTGGGGAAGCAGTGGATTCATTCAGATGGGAGTTCCTCAACCAATGATCAAAGGAGCTGAGTACTTTGAACTTAGTGCAGGTGATCACCATCTCTGCGGCTTGAGGAAGCCATTAGTGGGAAGACGAAAGAGCGCTTCTTCTTCTTCTTCTTCTTCTTCTTCTTCTTCTTCTCATCATGTTGATTGTTGGGGATACAATATGACCAGAAACTTTGTGTTTGATAAGCAGCTGTATTCGCTCTCGGCTGGCTCGGATTTCAACTGTGGGATATCCTCCGAGGACAAATCTGTCTTCTGTTGGGGAGACGAGAACAGCAGTCAAGTAATCAGTTTGATGCCGAAGGAAACAAAGTTTCAGAAGATTGCAGCTGGTGGATACCATGTCTGTGGCATTCTTAACGGTTTAGATTCTCGAGTGCTCTGCTGGGGAAAGAGCTTCGATTTCGTAGAGGAGATCTCGGGGACCTCTACTGCAGATCAGAGCCTTGATTTGCCACCAAAAGAGCCACTCTTAACGGTTGTTGGAGGCAGGTTTTACGCTTGTGGAGTCAAACGGTATGATCGTAGTGCGGTTTGCTGGGGGTTCTTCGTGAACAAGAGCACTCCTGCTCCTAAAGGTGTCGACTTTTATGATCTCGCAGCAGGGGATTACTTCACTTGTGGTGTTCTCTCAGGGAACTCTATGTCTCCGGTTTGTTGGGGTCTTGGTTTCCCTGCTTCTATCCCGTTAGCTGTCTCACCTGGACTCTGTAGAGACACTCCTTGCCCTCCGGGAAGCTATGTACTCGGTGACCGAGACAGCTCCTCGCCTTGCAAACCTCTTGGCTCTCACATTTGCTTGCCCTGTGGTGCCACTTGCCCTCCTGAGATGTATCCGAAGAGTGAATGCACAGAGAGATCTGACCAGATTTGTGTCTACAACTGCTCCAGTTGCTTCTCCCCTGACTGTTCCTCGAACTGCTCTTCTTCTTCTTCCCTGACTAATGAGGGCAAGTCAAGAGGGAAGTTTTGGTCACTGCAGTTACCTATTGCAACTGCAGAGATTGGCTTCGCTCTGCTTTTGATAGCGGTTGTCTCGATAACGGCGGTTTTATACATACGGTACAGACTCAGGCATTGTAGGTGCTCAGGGAGTGATGCAAGGTCTTCCAAAGACTCGGCTTTTACGAAAGATAATGGCAAAAGACTCGATGAGCTGCAGAAGCGCAGAAGGGCTCGAGTGTTCACTTATGAAGAGCTCGAGAAAGCTGCTGAAGGATTCAAAGAAGAATCAATCGTGGGGAAAGGGAGTTTCTCATGTGTGTACAAAGGCGTGCTGAGAGATGGAACCACTGTTGCCGTGAAGAAAGCCATAATGACATCAGACAAACAGAAGAACTCAAACGAGTTTCGAACCGAGCTCGATCTGTTGTCAAGACTCAACCATGCTCATCTGCTTAGCCTTCTTGGTTACTGCGAAGAAGGAGGAGAGAGGCTTCTGGTGTATGAGTTTATGGCACACGGCTCGCTTCACAACCATCTTCATGGGAAGAACAAGGCCTTGAAAGAGCAACTAGACTGGGTCAAACGAGTGACGATTGCAGTCCAAGCCGCCAGAGGAATCGAATACTTGCACGGTTACGCTTGCCCTCCCGTGATTCACCGTGATATCAAGTCATCGAACATTCTTATAGACGAAGAACACAACGCTCGAGTAGCTGATTTTGGCCTCTCCTTGCTCGGGCCTATCGATAGCGGCTCTCCTTTAGCAGAGCTACCAGCAGGCACTCTAGGTTACCTTGATCCCGAGTACTATCGGCTACACTATCTCACGACCAAATCTGATGTCTACAGCTTCGGAGTCTTGCTTCTGGAGATCCTTAGCGGAAGAAAAGCCATTGACATGCACTACGAAGAAGGGAACATAGTGGAATGGGCGGTCCCTTTGATCAAAGCAGGAGATATAAACGCCATCTTGGACCCGGTCTTGAAACAGCCAACTGAGATCGAAGCTCTGAGAAGAATCGTGAGTGTGGCCTGCAAATGCGTGAGGATGAGAGGGAAAGACAGACCATCTATGGATAAAGTGACGACGGCGTTGGAGCGAGCGCTCGCGCAGCTAATGGGAAACCCGAGCAGCGAGCAGCCGATATTACCAACGGAAGTAGTTCTTGGGAGCAGCAGAATGCACAAGAAGTCATGGAGGATCGGCTCGAAAAGGTCGGCTTCAGAGAACACTGAGTTCAGAGGCGGGTCGTGGATAACTTTCCCAAGCGTGACGTCATCGCAGAGGAGGAAGTCGTCGGCGTCGGAAGGAGATGTTGCGGAGGAGGAGGATGAAGGGAGGAAACAACAAGAGGCGTTGAGGAGCCTTGAAGAAGAGATAGGGCCAGCTTCTCCTGGACAGAGCTTGTTCTTGCATCATAATTTCTGAGAAAAAAGTGTTTTCTCAGGCTTTACATATATAACTTAATTACTCTGATGTATAATGTGTTTGCAAGGCAAGAATGTAACAGAGAGAGAGAGACCCTTTGAGGAAGAATGATTATATTACTAAGTTCTTATTGTAAAAGTGATCTTCAGGTTCTCTCAACACTCAAGCCAACTAACAACAATACTTAATATTTTCTGGAGGGAGTAATGAATAAATAAATGAGAAAAATTTTAAAGGAGATAAAAGAAAATAATAATGCCCACACGCAGGATCGAACTACGGACCTTCAGTTTACAAGACTGACGCTCTACCACTGAGCTATACGGGCTTTTGTTCCTCTAAATCCTATGAAGACATTATAGACCATTAACCTTTTTATATATTTTCTAAAATCATCATGAACAAATTTGTGACATTATCAAGTATCAACCTGTCAATATTCGTACTGTTTAACAATTTCACAGTGAACACCAGTTTATGATACAATGACCCATATATTTGAACTGACAAAAACCTTTGCATTAAGGACCAAATCGCATCCAGCAAATCTTCATAATGACCAAAGTTTGAGTAGTACCGAATTGAAGAGAGGTTGTTGGGCTCGTGTACGTAAACGAACATAACCAGCCGACACCAATCAATATGTGCATATATTATATATTGACGTACGATGCACGTAAACGTGGAAAGAAGATGTGCACTCTTCTTTAGCTCCAAACAGAGGGGTTTCTAAATTGAACAGCCATTGCAGCCAACAGAAATCTCACAAGTTCCTCTCTTTGTACTACTTTCTCCCTCTTCAATTCAAGGTGCCGAACCTGCAAAACGCAGTTTTTTCCTAAGTTGATCATAGCAGAATTTTGACTAAGACTTATCACATGTCATAAGTTATTACCTTTACAAACTCTATTTGATTTTGAGTCACCCCAGACTCTGTGATAATCACTAGACACTTGATTTCATGTTCGTTTGCATATTCATACTGCTCTGTAAGACTTGGATCAGGTGTTGGAACAAACTCAGCCTGCCAAAATATTCAGACGCGTTGTTAGGTGGTGTTTAACACAAATGATATTTTCAAACAAATTATAATCAAAAGAAAGAAAAAAAAGACAAATATAAGCTTTTCACCTTTATACTTCTTTCCCATAGTTCCGCAACTAGCTCCATGCGCTGCACCAGTAAACCGCCACCTCCTCTTGAACAAACAAGTACACTGGTGTTGACTTCATTTCTGCAGCTCAATGCAGAGATTATGGGTGAGTCAGGTGTTTGCATTTTAGATCATGATAATAGATGCAGAAAGTAACAACGCACCTAATAGGCCTTAGATCCATAGGAAGATGCTGAAATATTGTCTCCAATGCAAGACTGACGCCAACAGCACCAGGGAGATTCATTTTCTGGATGCAATAACAGAAAGAGAATCAACCTCTCAATAAACCTTCAGTATCTTCTTTGCATTGGTAATCCTAATGAAAATGCGAGATATCATATATTCTCTCCATGCAAGATAAATGTATGTAGAAAGAACTTACATATTCACGATCACACACTTGATGAACCAAATAATCATAACGACCACCAACAGCAAGTAAAACGCCATCATTAGATGTCCCAGTGCTATTTTCTTTGGTTAAGAAAACCTGAAAAAACATTGTATTACTTCGGGAGTTAGGAGCAATTAGAAGGATTCTAAATTGCATGCACCAAATTACAAACGTCTTCACTAACTCTCTTACTAATAAACAGAGTTTTTGCTCATATAGTATGAGACAGAATCAATTAACAATCTAGCATTAACTAAATTATTTATTACGAACCCATCACTTCTCCTGATACCAGGGTAGGGATATCAATCACTATAAACAACGATATATTACGCTAAGAAACCATCGAAAAGCCTATCAAAGACCCAAAGAAGCAACATTCATTTGTACCTGAAAAAACAAATTCCGGTGATAACTTTCCGTAGGTGGCATCAGAGGATCAATGTGAACATGCTCTTCTATTCTCCAGACTCTCAAGTAGGTTAAGAGGTTTGACAACTCATCAAGTGCCTTGCGTGTAGGTCGATCTGCAGCAAAATGAGACCAATGATAATCTCGTACACGATTTTAGGGGGAAACAAAGCTTTAGATCGTACCAGCACGAAGAGCCCCCCTTAAACGAGGAAGTGCTTGATCTGCAGCTCCACAAAACCTTGAAGCCACAGTCTGCAGCCTATTGACAACAGCTTCAGGTAACTTCAACTCCTGATAAGCAGGAGATTCCAAGTAAGACATAGAAAACTACAATATTTGATATGTGATATGTGGCATGTTACTATGATTGTCAACCATGTAAAGGTTATAGCCTCAAACCTGAAGAAGTTGACGCCTTATGAAAACCCATTTTAGCTTCCGCTCAGATGACTGAGGACGCAAGGATCCCATCATGGAAAGAAGCTTCAATTCGAAAACAGAAAAAAGAAATGGATAAAAGAGCATTGATACAATGACACTATATCCTTGAACTAAACAATAACCATACCTCTGCAACCTTTCTCCTATGCTCTGCCTTAATTCCTGCCCAGGACCAAATCGCATCCAGCAAATCTCCATGATTCAAATGAATGTCACAAGATCCGCGGTGAAAGATGTGGGTCGTGATGTCCACTACTACCTGCAAAGTTGGTGGATTTAAAATAATGTAGGAGATGCAAGCTTTTTCTATGAAAATGCACAAGTCAGAGCGTCTTTGTGTATAGCACCTTGAGAACTTCTGCCTCTGTCAGGGATGTTGTACCTCCAACGATGTCGAAGTCCGCCTAATGGCAATCAAACATCAAAACATATATATCTTTTCTCACAGAGAAACTATAAGGTAACATAACCAACCAGCATTTATCTTATCTTACATTATATTAGCAGAGTGTCTGAGTACAATACCTGAAGACACAGATTCGGTGGAGAGTGGCCAATTGCTCTCCTGTAGACATGAGATATCTCATAACGTTTGAATGAGGATTTCTGTATTGGAAAATTGAAGTGTTCCATTAGATAAAATATAGCAAGAAAGGAAAATCAAAACCTTCATCTCAAGGGATGCTATGACTTGTTCAGAATTAAGAATAGAAATATACAATCACTTCTCTGTTTAACAAACAAGAAACAGAAGAACCAAAAAAAATTAGACCTGATTAACGCTGATCCAATGTACAAAAGGCAGACGTAGCTCATAACATAGTTCAAGCATATCTCCTCCATTGGTCAAAAGTTTTACAGTTTTCCTTTAGAGGGAAGGTAAAAGTTAAGATCAAAATCTAGTTGGCATGAGAGATGATGGATAGTAGTAATAAGGAAAGAAGTATACCTGCTAAACTGGGGACAATCGGCAAGCAAACGCATCGGGATGACCTCTAGATGCTTCGCACAGTGCTGCCTAAAGACTTCCTTTGTGATTTCAACAACATAATCGCGAAGCTCCGTATCCATCTCTGTGTATTGAACATAACTATCATCTGCGCAGACTCTCGATTTACCAGACTGATGGGTTTTCGTCTCTAATACTTCTTCATCAAATATCACATTCACTACTCTATCATATACACTTGAATCTTCAGAACTTTGCATTATTCTTAGAATATCTGAAATTCAGAAAAGAATGGGTTACTTCATGCCATCCGAAAGAACATAGAGCACACAGTTTTGAGAAAACAATCAACATTGTTTGTCTAATAAGAGAGAACATAAACAATACTAACAACAACTCGAAACTCGTATATCATGAGCTTATGACCTAAACAAAAATTGGAAACAGACAGTTGACGAACTGTTAGTTCAGCTGAATGAAGACAGAGCAAGACTATGGCTTAATAGAAAAACATCACATAATAAATTGGCCGCAGTAGAGAACTTACTATCCAATAACTCAGATTCCATTCTGGGAGGAAATGCGTGCTGAAGAAGTTCAGTGGCAGAGGGGCGATCAGACGGACTTGAAGACATCAGACGCTGCAGTAGAGAAGCCTGTTCGGGAAATTCATTTACCCATTCGAGAGGCAATTCCCCTTTCAGCTTCAGATTACTTAAAATGACGTGTCTCTCCATAGCGGTTCCAAAAGGGTGCCAAAGTTCGAAGAATACAACCCCTAAGCTATACATGTCAGCCTGTAATGTAAAAAACATCATTTAGATTCACAGAGAAATACGAAGAAAGAATAATATCCTGAGGAGCAGAAGAAAGAACATGTTCAAACATTTCCTGGATGAAACTCAACCAAGGCACTTACAAGCACTAACCTTTTCATCAATCTTGGGCCAACCTTGCTCAATTTCAGGTGCTGTGTAAAAGTAAGTACCGGCTTGACCAGTACTATCAACTCCGCTTCCAGCCACATCCATAGAGAAACCCCCATCTTGATCCAACTGTTCCAGCTTCAAGAACTTTGCTGATAAGGTAAAATAAAACTGCATGTTTTATTCGTTTTTGTTTTCCAAATGACAGCCGAATAATCACAGTATAATAATATGGCTAAGCTGATTCTTTTATTCCAAAGACTTGAGGAACACAGTCGGTAATATTCATACATCATAGTTGGATGATAGAATGCAAAAATGCAGTATGGCAAGGAAGACATCATAGGAAAGAAAAGCATTTAGTAGGGAATCATACCAAGGCCAAAATCACCAATTTTGACATCATTCCGGGCGTCAAAGAAAATATTGTTAGGTGTAAAATCCCTGTGAATTATTCCTTGTCCATGGATGTGAGCTAATCCTTCCACAATTTGGCGAATTAAATGCAATGCAAAATCTTTGTCGAAGTGATTGTATGATTCAAAAACCTGGCGGAGAGTCCTTAAACATAATATGAACAAAATCAGTAAGAAAAGTAAAGACATGATACATTACAGATTAAAGATAAATGTGTACTGATCCGCAAACTTCAAACATTCTAAAACAATTTAATCTGCCTACGTTTGTTTGGACCACTACATTATGTGACTGAGTAGAATATGACACTAAGGAACATATAAATAACATTTAAAGCCTTTACCTGGGACAGTACTCCATTTGAATATATAGATAAGTAGACTCAAGTTTACTGTCCTGCTCAGGAATTTCAGTTGACACCGCGCCCGAGTAGCTGAACATTGAACTCCCTGCAGTTTTTGATCCCCAATTTGCGCCAGCATAAGGATCAGTAACTCCTGTTTCGAACCAGGCCTATTTCCATGAAAAATAGAAGCGTTCACAAACATATAACATGCAAAAGAATAGCACTAAGACAGCAACAGGAATTTACTGGAACAAGGAACATTGTGATGTATAAGTATCCAATATACCTGATAGTAACGTACAACATGTTGATGCTGCAAGCGGGAAAGTGTAGCTACTTCTCTGAGTAGCTCACAACAAGCATATGCAGAAACAGTTTTAGCATCATACTCTAAAACATCATATACAGAGTATAATAATATGCTGACCTAACTATTCGGTTGTTGACAGGTATTTCTTTGTCCTTCAGTCGAATTTTCTTCACTGCATATTGTCTTCCATCCAGTTTATTTTTGCACAAAACAACGTGACCAAATCCACCTTGGCCTGCAGAGAGATTGGAGGATTTCAGCAGAGAGATAGAAGGATAACTACTTACTCTAAACAAGATTGCAGAACAAATAAAAAAGGTTGAGAATGTGAAAATAACTTTAGCGAAGACAGTTTGATGCAGAAGTTGATACATAACTAAATAACTAATGAATAAATTCTAATAAGCCCTTGCGCAAAGACGCTACTGAATTTGATCAAGTTCACATCATATCTCTCATATACAAAGATCCACATTTGAAACTAGAGAAATAAAGAAAAGCATAATGGAGGTACCAAGGGGTTTCAACTCTTCAAAATCACTGAGGTACCGCGAGCTTGGGAGTGACTCGTTTGGCTCGCCGAAATCAGAAGGTGGCTCCCAAAACTGAGGAACTTTGGTTGAGGCCTAAAAAAAATAACATTAATCATATGCATTAAATAAATAATAACCATTAAAAGTGCCAAGAGACGCACCATGTTTTGGTTGAATACGTCTTCAAAAGTTCTATTGAAGTCTGGAGAAGATTTGGAAGCTAAATCTAACACCCCTTCAGACAATATCTGAAGTGCCCATTTAACATGGTTTTGGAGAAAAAAAGGAAGAAACTTCTCTTAATAGAATGAAACCAATATTGAGAACTGAAACTTGAGAATTCAGATTATGTAAAGACTTACACCAAGCTGATAAAGTTCATCGGTTATCCGCGGCAATGCATCAGCCAAATGCCCTTTGGAAGAGCAAGCAACTCGAAGTAAATGGACCTATTAGAGTAAAACACAAGGCGATTAGAGCTATATTAATATTCAATACATGTAAAAAGACGAAAAGGTGATTACCATTAGTAGATCTTGCTTGCTAATCTGGGGCAGTTGATCTTGAGCTAAGGAACCAGAAGACCATGACGACTCACTTTCGGAATGATTGTTGTCGTCTTCACTTGTGTCATCATGTAGATTTGATTCTTGCTAAAAGAAACAAAACTTCTAAGACCACCTGCTGATTTTCTTGTACGAATTTACAATTAAAGAAAAATAAGGTGAGGGATTAAGATAAAACAGAAAGACCTCCCCTCACCTTCTTCTCGCTTTGGAAAAATCCAGATTCCACATCTTCAGTAGAGTTACTTGAGTCGAAGGAAGAGATGCTTGTACCATCAACATGATCTCCTTGAAGAGCATTTACTTTGGCAGTGGGAGAAGGCAATGCAACTTCTTCTTTAGCGTGGCTTTCAGATCGCTTCAGAGTCTTGTCCGGCTTCTCATGCAAAATTTTTGAAGTATCTAGTGGGTGAGATTGGACTGTAGATACGATTCCCCTATTTTCGTCTAGATTCAGACTCCAATTCCTCGAATCTTCCAGTCCACTAAAAAGGTCTATAAAACCATACACGAAAGGTCCAACAGAAGAGGGTTTTGCTTTATTTGAAGGCATAGCTTCTTCAATGAACTGAGCGCTCTGATGTGCAGTCAAGCATGGAACCTTCATAAGAAGTAATGACAATGTATTTACAGGAAGAACGACCAATGCAAAACACATATGAGATGCAATGACAATGCATTTTGCAGGATAATATTGATAAATTAGCAGTGTACTTACAGATTCCTCATCATGGCTGTCCGGAATTATTTCTGATAAAAACTCTTGAGCAGCCTCCACCAAGTTGAATATCATAACCCGACCTTCACGAGCATTGGAATTCGCCTGCATCGAATACAATTTTTTTATTTATTTCTGTCCATATCCGAAGCAAAAAGAAAATGACTTGGAATGCCCCAATCCCAAACCTGGTCCTGGAGAAGAGATAGAAGCTTCTCAGCATCAGCTGTTGTCAAGCCTTGCTCTGGAGTAATCTGAAGCTTGGGGCATTTGTAAGGATATCCCGGTAAGCACCTAGGAAGAAAAATTAGTCACCTAAAAAAGATCATCATCTTAGCTATTTCATAGATTCAAAAAGAAGATACTCACCTAACTATAAGCATAGCAGAGATGTTGGTGTCCTCATATCCCATATCTTTCGAGTAAGGCCTGCTCAGATTACAAGGAATCAGACGCATAAAACATCACAGGTGAACTTGAACGCAAACACACGTTGATAAAGAAGGAAACCTGAGTTTAATAACTATCTGAGGAGGCGAACGCGAATCCGAAACGATTTTGCAGTCCTCTTGGAATATCGCAGAGCTGAAAACATGAAAACAAAAACCCCATCCCTAAGTTCCAATGGTTCACGACTTTCCGAAAATAGGTTTCATTTGTTTCAGTGTCGCACAAATTCCAACATAGCACACCTTCAATTCTCCAATAAAAACCCTAATTCTCACGTTGCCTTGCCTCGATGATGGCTTAATTTTCACACCAGATTGAACAGATAAACAATCGCGACTTACAGAGCAGTGATCTCCTCGGAGAGAAGCTCGTTCTCTTCGTCATCATTAGATCCATGGTCCTTTAGCTGACCCCTTCTTCCGTTATTGCCTCCTCGTTGTTTCTTCTTCTTCTTCGAACTGCGACCCATTCCCTCAGCTCTAATCAAACTAGCTCTTTCAATCCAAAAACCTTTCTCCTCCTATCCTCTCTCGAATCACCACTACCCAAAAAAAAAAAAATCCCCAAAACTCCGTAAAACCTCCTCTTCTTCGTCTCAATAATCTCGATTGAGAATTTCAAAAGCAGAGAAATATGAAATTTTGGCTCTCGATGAATCGTTTATATAAGTCTTCAATAACCAAAATGCATCGACGGCTGCTCTTCAAAGATGGCGCCATCAAGGACAAAGTATATACATAGTCCAGTCCATTCCAGCAAAGACAGTCAAAACGGCGGCGCATTGGTAACAAGAAGATACTGGGCTTATTTATACCCAATCAGCTACATGTCCATTAAAGGCCCATTAGGGGGGGGGGGGAATAGCTTTGTGAGTTCTGACCATCATCACATGATAGTTATTTGGTCCAGACACATAACGTGGCTACAAGCCTACAAACACTTACATATGTATGTCCTGTATTGACTATTTTCTTTATAATTATAAAGGAAAATTTTGGTCCACTAATCTTATATTTACGAGAATATAAGACTTTCATTAATATCGAAAACGAGCGAAATGACGTAGACATCCAATCCATCATTAAAAACAATTGTTCAAGTATAAATTAAAATTCTTTAGAAATTTAGTGGAAAATACATTTCTCTTGCAATTCTCTTGGAAAAATGAAAGTAAAGAAAAAGAGAATCAAACCTGACCCTTAAGTGGCCAATCAGAAACGACCCCGCCTAGTCCTTCCTGATTTTCCACATCTTATCTCTCTCTCTCTCTCTTTCTTCTTCTTTAAACTCTCCAACTTCACTCTCTATCTTCCTGACGCGTGACTTCTCTCTCTTCCTCCGTCAATGGCGACCACAAACTCTCTCCACCACCACCACCATTCCTCATCTTACCAACACCACCGCCACAATCTCCATTCCCAATCTCACTTCGGACCAACTACTCTCTCCCTCAAACAACCCACTTCCGTCGCCACATTCTCATCACTCATCTGCTCTTCTTCTTCTTCTTCCTCCTCCTCCGTCGTCGTCTCCGCCGCTACCACCGCAAACGCCTCCGCTGTAACCGCCGAAACCGCGACAAAATTCGATGTCCTAGGGACCCATCTGATCAATCAAGATTTCAGGAAAGCCGACGAGGAGACTCGGCGATTACTCATTCAAATTGCAGGAGAAGCCGCCGTGAAACGAGGTTACGTTTTCTTCTCCGAAGTGAAATCGATCTCAACCGAAGATCTCCAGGCCATTGACAATCTATGGACTAAACACAGCGATGGGAGATTCGGATACAGCGTGCAACGCAAAATCTGGTTAAAGGTCAAGAAAGATTTCACCAGATTCTTCATTAAAGTTGAATGGATGAAGCTTCTCGACACAGAGGTGGTTCAGTACAATTACAGAGCTTTCCCTGACGAATTCAAGTGGGAGCTCAACGATGAAACGCCTCTCGGACACTTGCCGCTTACAAACGCGTTGAGAGGAACGCAGCTTCTGAAATGCGTTTTAAGCCATCCTGCGTTTGTGATAGCTGATGATGACAATGAAGAGGCTGAAGAAGCAGAAAACAGAGGTGGGGCTAAAGAACAGAAGAAAGACACCAGATTGTTCAAAACAGATTACAGCTTCTGATGTCTTTTTTTCAAATCTAATTATTTTTCCTTCATAATTTGAAAGTATAAACGAATCTCTGTAATCAAATCATCAATTAAATTGGGTCTTCTTTCTCTTTAATGGCGGTTTCCCTTGGGATTATGAATGATGAACACAGTCAAATCATTAGTTAATGAATTAAAAAAAAAAAAAACAAGTCTTTCTTGGTTGTTCAATGTAAAAATTCACAAGTTCTACAGATACTAAGATCACGAAACTACTGTATTCATTCTCAGACAAATGAACTCTGAAACAACTTCAAACTCAATGATAAGTTTTGGCTCTTCTCTTCAAAATCTGACCATAAAGGCCCTTCTCGTGTGTGTCGTCTTTGCTGATTTGATGAAAGGATACAAAGTTGTGATTTTGGCTCTGTTCAAGAAAACTGCACCTCAATGTGTGAAAAAGATCTAAAGGATACGTTGCTGCTTCTGTAGCCTTGTAGTTAATTCTCGACATGGGCCACACACGTCACAGTTGATGTGGACGGTTGCTTTCTGTCATTCTGTGGTGTTAAATGAATAAACGTTTAATCATACGCATAAATATCGTGCATGTATATATATCAAAATTATGTTTTCTTCCACCATGTAAAAACATGTCATGATTCAACGAAATAAGAGTTGCAAGTAGCATTCTAAAACCGTAAAGAGAGGGGAAAATTTGTGGAAAAACACTAAAATCAATACTGACTAGTTCCTAGGCACATGGGCAGAGTCGTCGGGTGTATTGGTGTGAACCGTCACAAGAAAGCATTGATTGTGTCCGTGTATACAAGCAGGCGCCGGGATACTGAAAAACCAAGAAAATAAACACACACATACGGAATCACTCAGTTTATGATCACGATGTGAATGAGATGTTTCACTGAGTAGATAAAAAGATAGAAATACCAAATCTCTGGGCGCATCATCGACAACTTCAGCAGGTTGGTCAGCCCCTGCACTTGCTAAACAGGAGCCTTTGCAGGTCATGTATCTTTGCATACTGAGCAAACAAAGAAACGAAAAATAACCATGTGAACATCAAATTGCTAGTTTTGAATCTCTGAAACATGGCTTCATGGTTGGCTTAAAAGATGAGTCTGGTAACTTACACGTCACATTGGTTTAGGAGCGATAGTTTATTCATCACACACAATTGTCCACGTGACTTGCAAACTGCATCGCATGAATCTCCTTGTCTATGGAAACCAATTCAATAAATCGAGTCTAAGAATATGGTATCAAACTAAATCGTATACAAATACATCCTGGTAGAGAAGTGTGTGTGTGTTTTACCTTCCGACAATAACGTCAATGCCAAGAAGTCTTGTTTCAACTTGTGTAAGATTAGCCCCTGTTTCAGTTATTTAGTGAATGTGAAAAGATGTTTTGACATTTAAACGAGAGTTGAAAGAAAACATAGGCTATCATCAAAGCTAACCTGAAGCATTTGATGTCAGAGAAAAACAATGGTGAAACTTGCTGTGGTATGCATTTTCATGAACCTGTAAGTTTCAGGACAAAAACATTACACTCTCATAAGCATCCCACCATCATTTTCAGATTAAAAAGAACGTCGCTTCCACACTAAATTGCTCCACCTTCACGACCATAACCTCAAGAAACTTGCCAAAGTAAAGAAGAAGAAAAAACAGTCATTAGCTTACCACACTCTCAGAATTATGGCGGCATCTTCCGGCACAAAAATCAAACACAGTCTTGTATGTCCCTGCTGTAGCCGGCTTTGAGACTTTGACCTTAACCACCTTCTGAAGAAGCGTCTGCAGAAGAAGATAGATATACTCATGAGCGAAAAAACGATGAAGCGAGAACAGAGACTAATCTGGAAAGAAAAACAAAAGGTTCCATATAATACCCGCGTAGGATTCAAGCAGCAAGAAACGCAAAATTCATAAGAGGTGCAGCATTGTGAAAGGAGGTTGCATCCACTTCAAGCCAAACCACAGAAATTGAAGTCTGATTAAGAACGCATTAGTCTAAAAAAACACGATAAGGCTATGATCATCTCAAAAATGACTCACTGACAAGGAAATCTTTCTCCTTTCCATGGGCAACAACGGGTTCGAGAATCCAATGACAGAGCATCACACACATTGCCTGAAACAACAACCATTCAAGCTCAAAAAAAAACAAGTCTTTCTAGCTAAATCTCTTGACCCAAAATAGATTAAATTCTGTAAAAGTGAATCTTCAAAGAGTGGATGGGTGGGGAAATTGCAGACCTTCGTCATCGGAGATCAAATACCTTCCTTGGACAGTTGTTCTGCAACTCCGCTCTTCTAAAAACCCAATATCCTTCCTGCAAAAAACTCGATCTAGATCTTAAGGAATCACTGAATCAAGCGAGCGAGACAAAAACAGGGGTACGCAACTCTTAGATATAAAGGGTGTTACACAGAATTAATCACCTAATTGCAGAAATTCTCAACGGAAGTAACAAACCCGCGAGTTGTAGAAAAGCGAGGAACAGACGAAACCGAGATGTCGTCGACATTCTTGTCGGAGAAAGAAGGAATCTTTCGAGTTTCGACCAGATTATGCTCCGACTCCGAGCACTTTAACGCCTTCACTCGGTCAGATCGAATTGATCGGTTTTTTTTTTTGTCGTTGGATTGGGTAAATCTGCGAGCCGACGATAACCGGTTCCCATTTTTTATTTCGGTTATCTTCGATAAATTCCCAGTACTCGAGAAAAGCAAGTACACGCGCGCGATATATGAGATTATGAGTTGCTCACGTACATTACGATAGTTGACCCCTGCATTGCAACTTTAAAGTCAATATTGTTTTTTGCACTAAAACATCAACAAAATGAGTTCAATCAACTTTCTCTTGGAATTCGAAGACTGTCAAGCCTATGGGCATAGTGCAATCTTAAATTTAGCACAAAGGCACATCATGTTGAACAAACAAAAGTATGGAACAGATCAGTGAGAATAAGAAACAGAGAGAGAGATAATATGGTTTTATTAAATTGGAGGTTTGATAAACAAAGCATAGATGATGGTTTTGATAACTGAGGTTATCCCACACCCCTAACAAAAGCACTCAAAGTCTCGAGACAAAGACATCCCAACTTGCCTTATTATGGGCATTAAGATTACAGAATAAGTAAACATTAAAAGGTGTTAACAAAAGAAAGCTTTAAACGCCCAGTGTTGCTTGAATCGTGTCTTGTGGTTCTGGGTTGCGAGACCTTCACCGCCCAGTGCTGTTTTAATCGCTTTCTCTTTCAGTCTTTCCTCTTTCAGTCTTTTCTCTTTCAGTCTTTTCTCTTTCAGCATTTCAAGCAGAATCAACTGTTAAGAAGAAGAAGAAGAGGAAGCTGTAAACAAAATTCAACTGGAATGGTTTTAGAATGAAGAAAAAACAGTAAGTCTCTCACTTTTTTATGTTTAGCCATGACATGACCATTATTACCGGCGACGAAGAAACCCAATCACCTGTCTCTGATACCTTTGATAGAGGATAATCGTAAGTTCACGATGATCCAATGGATGATAGAATCAATGTTCTTAAAACACAGATCATGAACTCGATACAAGAGATTCTTAGCTTTGTATAAGCTGAATACAAATTCTTATATAATAAAATAAACTGCCCCCAAAAATATGGAAAACTTTTAATTTAAAAAACCAGATAATGAAAACTAGTCAAATACGTGACTCTCGTAATAAGTAAATATTCTTATAACACCAAAATCCAAAACAATCGAATTTCAAAACCTTAAGACCAATCGATTTCAAAATAAAATTACGTTAAAAGTTAATTGGGTAATGGGCCAACTCGGCTCAACACATAACCCTTTTCGTTAAATTTGTGTTTATTTCTAGAAAGGTTAATATGCTAGAACAAGCTTTTTAGGCCTTTGTAGCACAAAGAGAGTAATGGGTTTTATTAATAAAGTTATTTTTCGAACAAACAAAAGAATTCCTTTTTTCTAATTATAAATAAATAACGATACAAAAATTAACAAACAAAATTACCATCTTTCAAATAATTATCTAATCTTATATTGACCTTTTTTATGTTTTTAACTTTTATGAAACCGGTCAAGTTAAAAAGTAGCAAAGGTAAATCAAAATGTAATCAAATATTTGTTTGTAATTATTTGGAGGAAGCATATATCCATCATATAAAGAACAAATGTGATTCAATGCTAGTAGTATAAACACGATTCAATTGGGTTTGAATTAAAAATTCATGACTCATCACAGTAATATCTATGGATGAACTTAAATTATCTGAAAGTAATAAAAAAATCAAATTTGATATTATTAATGTTTATTAGTATCCAATATATATATATATATAGATAATATACTATAAATGTCTATTAGTATCCACTAGTGTTATTTTCAAGATTTTTATATTAATATATCTAAGAAACAAAATGTCTTCTTTATATCAAACAAACTAAGCAATTGTCATTAGATGGAAAATTAACAAACCTCTTTTATATATACTAGGGATGTTACCGCGTTACGCGCGGACTGTTTTTATATAGATATTTAATTATTATTTAAGTTTTATTATTTTTACTTTAAGTTAATATTTTAAATATAATATTTAATTTTTAAAATTGTTTTGATATGATTATACATCAAAAATATTTTAACGTATTCAAAAAATATATCATGATATAATTTTAAGAATTACCTACTTGATATATGCTAAAATTAACTGTTAATCTAAAACTTAATATTTGTATATAAACTCACTGTTATTCACTATTAACTTTTAAAATATTATTAAAATTATTTTTGTTTTGACTAAATTTGATTATTATTGTTCCAATTAATTTAGATTTTTATTTTTATTTCAACTGTGTTTGTGTAGTGTTTTTATTTAATTAGCAATCTCAAATACAAACAACACTCAATGTTCTAATCTCTTATAAATCTATAAAATAACTATGATTCATATAAATAAAAACAATATTTACATAGTATAAAAAATCACAATCATATTGATAAAATGCAATTTTGATTTGGTCTATGAAGTATACGTAAACTATAAAAAATATAGATGAATAAGGTAAGTAATACATATACAAATACAATTTCATACTAACTCATTATGTTAAATAAAGTATGTTGAGTTTCTCAAAACTCAAAAGATGTAAAAATTTTTGCTTGTAATTCAACTTAAACATTTTTTTCTTAAACTACACATATATATTTTGATGAGCCTTTATAATTAAACTAATAATATATATTATATTATTTTTAAAGGAGTTTCTTAACCCAGTAAAAAAAAACCATATTAGTTTTTTTCATTCAAGTTGGGTTTATAAGGAATTTTGTTGATGTGGATAATTAAAGATTTTTTAGACATTTTTTTTTACATAAAAATGTGTATATTATTTTTTCAAAAATGCATTATTATTTAATTTAAGAATTTACTAACTTGATATATATAAAAATTAACTGTCATCTAAAACTTAATTTTTGTTTATAAACTGTTTAACTCATGTGTTGACATGTATCGCTTGTAGTAACTTGACTACCTTAAGCCAACTAAGACACGCATTGAATAAATATCAGTGCATGAAATTCTTCTTTTGTCTATCATTTTCTACAATGTAAATAGTAACAATGATCGAAATCTTCATATAGATAGATGCTTTGAAAAGCTTCCTATAATTTATGTTGTCTTGTTGGTTGCCATAATCTAACGTACTATGATGTTTAATCTGTATGTTTCTAAAAGGTGAATGTTTTAGATTTTTATAATTTGTAAATGTTTTAAATTTTATTTTAGAAATTATTATTTTGTAATCTTGGTTCTATTAACTATTATTTAAGTTTTTTAGCGCAATTTATTGTCTAATATATTCACTATATTACAAAAAGGAGTATATATTAATGCTACAGATTTAAATGATATTTATTTTACTGATTTAGAAAATGATATTTAGTTTTATTTACTTATTCCTAATAATTATATTAACTTAGTGGTTCTATTTATTTATTTTATGTGTATTTCAAAATATATAAAGTGAAATTTTTTATTATTGTTATATTACAAACAAAAGAAGTATATATTGATGCTATAAATTTAAATGATGTTTATTTTACTGATTCAAAAAATAATATTTTAATTTTATTTATTTTTGTTGGTAACTATATTAATTTTAGTGACAAAAATGAGTATATATTAATGCTACAGATTTAAATAATATTTATTTTACTGATTAAAATGATATATAATTTTATTTAGTTTTTACTAATAACTATATTAATTTAATGGTTCTATTTATTTATTTTATGTGTATTTTAAAAAAATCTAAAGTGAGAATTTTCATTATTGTTAATTTGTTATATTACAAACAAAAGAGTATATATTGATGCTATAGATTTAAATAATATTTATTTTACTGATTTAAAAAATAATAATTTATTTTTATTTACTTTTGTATTTAACTATATTAATTTTGGTTCTATTTATTTACTTTATGTGTATTTCAAAAAAATCTAAAGTGAGAATTGATATTATTATTTTTTGCTGATATATCATATTTTTAGAGTAGTTTGAAAAGCTGAGGTGGATAGCTTAAGGAGCCCCAAATAGTTCCTTTTATTTAGTATAGATAGTTAACCAAAATTAAAACAAAAACTTCAACTATGTTTTTAAAACGGTCTATTTAGTATCCACTATAATTCGTATCAGGACGTCTATTAGTAGTATCCAATAACTTTTGAATGTTATTGTCAACATTGTATAAGACTATCTCAGAATTATAAAATCCAAGAAATTTGTATTCATATAAATAACCAAACTAAGCATAGTCACAAGATTTATTTCTCAAAAACTGCTGTCATTAACATTGCAATTCTACTCTTGTTTTCACACATCACACACAAGGAGACAGACACAGCAGGAAATAAATATAAATGGCATTACTATTAGGCTACTCCATTAGATATTATCGTTAAACTCCCGTAATTAATTAAGAACTTAAAAGAAACGTTGTTGTGAATCAAAGCAAAAGGGTCGTCCAACAATAAGAGAGCACTCGCGAAGAAGGAACAAACAAACGACCCACTGATTCAATCTCCCTCTCTGCATATTCTTCGAATCTTTTTTTCCCGGTACTGAAGCTCTCAGGAAAGTTCTAGATCTTGTTCCATTTCTGCAATTCAGAGCGAGGAAAGGAGAGGATTATTGATTTCCTCTGGAAGGCAAGTTCTGGATCTGTGTGGGGGAGATAATAATACGTCTCGTGGCTTGTTGGGAATGTTTCGTTAAGCTGATCGTTTAGGTCAATTGAGGTTAGTTTGATCGATCTGGTTCATGAATTTGATGTTTTTTTTCTGCAGAATTTTGCAACCGACAAGTATTACGATGGCGGCTTAGATCCATGTTTGGGTTTTGAGATCTGTTTTCGCTCAATGTTTCTATTGAATTGTGATTTTATTGAGCTATTGAGATCTGATCGTGGCTTTACACTTGGTGTTGCGAGAATCTTTGTTTGAATCTGTCACTTACCTCTAATGTTCATATTCCACTTCAAAGTTAGTATCTTCTTGTGATCATTGGCCAGGAATGTTTATTTGAATTCTCTTCATCTTTTTTTTTTTGTTTATCAGGTTGGCTCAGTCTAGAAATTGTCAGTTTGGGGAAGACAAACGATGAACGGGATGGCTGAGTGCAGTGTATGTCGCTCAAAGCTGGTCTCTCCCGGTAGCAAAAGTATTTCGAGGGCTTATGACGACCATAAGATTAGGGTATCCTCAAAACAACGCGTTCTCAATGTCCTTTTGGTAGTAGGTGATTGTATGCTTGTTGGTCTACAGGTAAACCATCTCGATTAGATTAATATAACGAGAATATTCATATCAGTGCTGTTTGAATCTTTACATACTTTTGCTTTCCAGCCTGTCTTGGTGTACATGTCTAAGGTGGATGGGAAGTTCAACTTCAGTCCTATCAGCGTCAACTTCTTGACTGAGATTGCAAAAGTTATTTTTGCGATTGTGATGCTTTTACTCCAGGTATGTTTCTGATTTGGCTTAGCAGTATCTACTATTTTAGCGGGACATTTAAGTGACACTCTACTATGTAGGACCAGTTGCTAGATGATTCTTCTGTATTAGAAGATGATAAGTACTAGAAGTTCATGAAACGTTGGCTAGTTGCTGGAAGTTGATTTAGAACTTTGCTCTTCTAATTTTATATGTTGGATGTTCTGATGTTGATTAACTATTCAGTTCTGTGCATAAAGACGACTCCTTAATTTCCTAAAATTATTACCTTTTTCTTGAGTCTCTCGCCTTTCTGTGGACGGTCCATTATTGCTTAAGTGTTTATGTTCAAATTGTAGGCTCGGCACCAGAAAGTTGGAGAGAAGCCTCTCCTATCTGTTTCCACATTTGTCCAGGTACTTGTTCTCTGTCAATTACCGAAAGTATAATCAATTGCAAAGCTTCTTTACTTGAATCCTGCTATGGCATATTCTCAAATTTGAAGCTAGCTTCTGGTCTTTTCGTTGCCTGATAGCTTGGCATATGTCATACACATATTTGGTCTACTAATCACTTTCTATTTTTTACAGTTCATTAGGTTTTGTTAAATTTTGAAATTTGGATGTTACTGATATTTTAGTTGTCTAGTAACTCTTATTCCTGCCGAACCTGAAACTTTTAAGCTCAGTAGGTTGACTAATTATAATGCAGATCGCATTGACATGTGTATATTTTGCAGGCAGCCCGAAATAATGTGCTTCTTGCTGTTCCAGCCCTGTTGTATGCAATTAATAACTATCTGAAGTTCACAATGCAGGTACAACCACTTGTCTTATTTTTGTTTGTTTGGGATACTTAAGTCTAATTAAGCTGCTGAAGTGTGAGGTCTGTTGTCAGAGGTTTTGGGGTTTATGACCATAGCATGTCCTGTGGTGTTGTTCTGTTAATCCAATTTTGTTGATCCTGTATTTTGTGACTTTCCATGTCAGACACTACTTAGTGCACCCTAAACAAATGAATGATTACCATTTTCTAAGGAGAAGTTTTTATACCTCTCTTTTCGAGCTTATGTACTTCTTCTTTAAGACCGGCTGGTTATGCGTTATATATTAAATTGCCTTTTGGTGATAGATATTTGAGTCGGCCAGCTGTTTTCATCTCTCTTACATTGTGCATTGCAGTTGGTTTATTTACCCGTCCTTCTAGGCTTGTACTATTTGTTTCTATCTTTCATTCTTTCCTGTATTTTAATTTCATACAGTACTGAAAGTTTTTACTGTGCCAGCTATATTTCAATCCTGCTACTGTGAAGATGCTTAGCAATCTTAAGGTTCTGGTCATTGCTGTTCTATTGAAGATGGTAATGAAGCGGCGGTTTTCCATCATACAGGTGGGGTTCATTTTTTCTTATTGATTTCATGTATGACCGGTTTCAGTATCAGACCATATTATAGTGGAAGATTGTGTGTAACCTTCCATTCGTAGTTACCTCTTTATTCTCCATTGGATTTTATATGTTTTCATATTTATATTGCTCAATCCTGTTTATCTTTAATTTTGTTATAGTGGGAGGCACTTGCACTTTTGCTGATAGGGATCAGTGTAAATCAACTGCGTTCTCTTCCTGAAGGTGTTACTGCTATTGGAATTCCTCTTGCTACGGGTGCATACATCTGTACCGTTATTTTTGTAAGTTTCTTCTTCTCGTGCTTGTATTTGTTCATCTTGGAGTTGAAGATATGAAGTGGTTCCATGCACATAATCTAACTTTCGCATTCGTCCCGTTGATGCATTATGGAAAAGTTCTAATTCAAGAATCGTGCTAGAGGCTAATTTCAAACTTCACATGCAGGTTACTGTTCCATCGATGGCATCTGTCTTCAACGAGTACGCTCTAAAGAGTCAGTATGACACAAGCATTTATCTTCAGGTTAGATAGTCCTGATACATTTTTTTCATCTTGCATCCGGGAAATGAGATGCTTGTAGTAAATGGAACCTTTTGGTGATTCGTTACTTGTAATTTTTTTGAAATGATGTGCTCTGTGTTGTCAATGGAGTGGAATAAGCCATTTTACATGTGTCCTCTTGCTTAATCAGTTGCTATTTAAAAGCAAAGAACCTTGGGTTGTTGAACTCTATGTTCTGTTTTCTGGTCAAGTTAGCTCTGTTATGGCTACTGTTCCTCATTTTAGGTTACATAGCTCATGTTCTTAGTAATGTCAAATTCTAGGATTATGGTCTTGTAGTTCTGCGACTTCCTCTTCTTTTGTCCTTTTTTGTATTTGTCGTCTGATTCGACATTTGTTCTTCTTCTGTTGCAGAACTTATTTCTTTATGGCTATGGTGCGATATTCAATTTTCTTGGAATACTAGGAACTGTTATATATAAAGGTATGTGCTTTTGTAATTTAAAAGTGGCATGGAAGAAAATAATACGTTTTAAGCACCAATATAGCTTTTGAGGATCCTATTGAATAATCCTGAAATTATTCACGATGCATTGCTGAGAAATTCATCATGATATTGACAGGTCCTGGCAGCTTTGACATCCTACAAGGACATTCTAGGGCAACCATGTTTCTGATACTGAACAACGCAGCACAAGGGATTCTATCCTCCTTTTTCTTCAAATATGCAGGTAATACTAAGACTAAGTTTTGTTAGATTCATTTGATTAGTTTGCTTGAGTTTATATGATTTTCTATACTGAAGGGTATTAGCAAGATTGCTCTAACGTGTCTTGAATGCTTTCAGATACAATCTTGAAGAAATATTCATCCACAGTAGCCACTATATTTACGGGGATAGCATCTGCAGCACTATTTGGACATGTTATAACCATGAACTTTCTTCTTGGAATTTCTATCGTTTTCATTTCAATGCACCAGGTAAACCCATATGAACCGTATCCTTGGTGAATCAATTCAACTTCAAAAAATCTCTTCTGTCGAACTTATTTATGTCTAATTTATGCATGTAGTTCTTTTCACCACTTGCCAAAGTGAAAGACGAGCAGCAACAGAACGGGAACGTAGAATTAAGCAATGCAAAGGATACTCACAGGTCAGTGGCAATATACATACTTCTTTGACATCTACCATGTCTATCAAATTTTCTTTACAGTTTTTTTTTTCATAAGCGGAAAGTCAATTAACAGATAGATGCGCGGTATTAACTTTTTTTCCTTCAGGGCTAATGACTCATTCATCAACATGGCCGCAGGAGCAAATGAAGAGGTGAAGAATACATTTGTGATGCCTGTTCTTGTACATTGTCCCAACTTGAGTCGACACTAATGTTTATTGCCTTTCTTTGTCTCTGTGTGTCTGTTCAGGCTACTCACCGGGGTGAATCAGACGACAGAACGCCGCTTCTTCCCAGATGAAGAGTTTCTCAAAAGTATGTTACTAATTCTCTCCCAACTTTATCATAATACCTTTCAAGCTCCCAAAAATCATCCGTCATCTAGATAGTTTCTTACCAAAGCAGCCTCTAAGAACTACTCTAGGTTGCAGAAAATGTGAAATACTCCAGTAATACCTGAATGTTATTAATATGGAGAATCATCTACTTTTGCAACTTGTCGCTCCAGGATTTTTGTTCCGAAGTATTCTTTTGGCCGACAACATTCTAGAAATTTGGAGGTTTTCAGTCGCATACTACTAGCAGGATACAGTGAAGCAAACTTTTGACGAGACCAACTCTTACTTCTCTCAAGAGTCGGTTCAAGTTCGTTGAAGAACCACCTCTCATGTCCAAAGCTGTATTGTTTTAAGATAGAGTGAGCAAACTTTGGTTGAGTGATATATGTAATTTGGATATATAATAATATTGTAGTATTCTTGTATTTTTGCAAAATATCAGGTTACTTTTTTGGTCGTTCTCTTGTTATACAAACTTACTCTCAGGGTTATTATATAAAGCATCTTTTCAGGCAGTGGATTTTAGGATATCTGAAAACTTGTTATGAAAAGACATTTTATAAAAGAAGAAAGAGAGAGGATACCCAAAAAAAAAAACCAGAAATAGAATAGACAAGACTCCACCAAACATTTGAAAAGAAGCACCAAATCACACTACTCATCACCTTCATAGACATATACATACTCAGCTGAAAGAAAAAAAGCCCCGACACTTAAGAACACATGAAACACAAACCAATCTCCCATTACTATTGCACACAAGAATCAAGTTTCCTGGGATGGAACAGCTGCTGCTGTTGACCTCAACAATGGTTGTAGAGCTTTTACAACGATGCTCATGTTCGGCCTAAACTCTGATTCGTACTGCACACACAACGCTGCTACTGCCGCAAGCTGAAGCACAAGAAAAAGGAGGAAAAAAAAACATTTCATGATTAGCTTCACCAACTGGTTTCACAGGTTAGAGATGAAACCGTAATAAAACAGATGAAGCTTTTTTACCTTTGCAACTGCTTTAGGAGGATATTCTCCTTTCAGTTTTGGATCAACACATTGCTTCACTTTGTCTTCACTCAGCCTTGGAGTGGCCTGAAGTTATAATGCAGAGATATTTTTATGTTTATGTCAAGAACAATAGCAAGATTATCCCTGGAGATTGAGAAGATTTTTGTGCTTACCCAAGTGACAAGACTTTGTTGGCCACGGGGCATTGTATGATCAACAGGTTTTCTACCAGTCAAGAGCTCTAAAAGCACTACACCAAAACTATAAACATCACTCTTCTGTGTCAGTTGACCAGTCATGGCATACCTGCAACAGCAAAACCGAAAAAGTTACAATCTTTGCTTCCTCAAGAACCAGAGTGATGATGGATTGTTGTTTCAGAAGCATTCATTACTCTGGTGCGTGGTAACCAAAGGTTCCCAAAACTCTGGTGGAATGAAGACGAGCAGCCATATCAGGAGATTGATTCGACAGGTTAAAATCAGCAATCTTGGCTTTGAAGTCTTCAAAGAGAAGCACATTGCTAGATCGAATATCCCTGTGTATTACCGGAGGTTGAGCTTTCTCGTGTAGATACTCAAGTCCTCGAGCTGCATCAACTGCGATTCTGACCCGTTGGATCCAATCAAGCGTTGGACCAGGCTGTGCTCCTTGGACTCCTTTCCTCCCGTGTAAGATGTCGTGCAAAGACCCCATTGTGGCAAACTCATACGCAAGGATACGGAGGTTCCCTTCAACACAGTAACCGAAGAGCTGAACAAAATTGTCATGCCTCAGCTTCGAAACCCTCGAGACCTGAGTCAAGAACTCAAAGTTTGATTCAGGCTCAGCTGAATTATCAAGCTTCTTCACTGCCACAGCCTTGCCATCATTCAAGGTTGCATAGTAGGCTCTTCCGTATGATCCCTCACCGATCAATGCCTTTGATCCAAAACCATCAGTCTTCTCTTTCAGCTCATCCAGTGACAACGCAGGCACATCAATAGATGGAGGCTCCTTTAAAGCATCAGGCCTCACAGCAGCTTGTGGTCTTTTATTGTGCCCTTTCAATACAAAACAATGAGAAAACATCAAAAGATGAACATAAACAACACTAACAAGATCTGCCACTAGCAAGAATAATCAAAGATATTGGCACCAAAGTATCCAACAACTAGGTTGAGGCAAAGAGCAGTACCATAATCATTATGGTGCTTAGGGCTTGTGAGGTGTTCATTGTCAGAAGAATGGTAAGGCTCTTCGACGTGGCAAGCACAGCACAACCACCTACGCATCTTTTCTCTCTTGCCTATATAAAGATCGTCCACAGCTCTCGGTTTATCCAGCCGAACAAAGTTGCCTGGTGATCGATCGTTCGCCTGCAAATGTCATCATTACAATAACTGACTCAATCCAACTCTAAACAAAGATTTTGACAAAAACCTTTTCTCATTACTAGAAATTACTCAATCAATACAAAGCCAAAGTAGCATTTTTTCAAATCAACCGCAACAATTAGGCCATTGAGCATTCTTATTATCATTATTATTCCACAGTTTCTGATCTTATCGAGATTCCAAATATGCGTACTGATTCGAGAGTTAAGAAGACCCTTTACACAAAACCCACGAGTGCTTAAACGTCAGTTTCCAAACTCCAAAAACAACTCAATTTTCGGAAAAAATCAAAGCTTTTGGACATAAATCTTACCACCAGACCACGACGATGATACTCAGAATCCATCGGATACATACCCAAAACGCGAATTACAAACAATCACCGGGAAACGAAAAAACGAGAGAGACGGATCCAATCAATTTAAGAAATCTGGCAGAGAAATGAGAAGGAAGAGACGAAAGGGGATCGAGCTTCTGGAGAAAAATGAGAAACCCAAAGAACTCAAAACCCCTAAAGGAGCAAAAGATTTTAAAAAGGGAGAAAAAACAGCTAAGAAGATGTGTCAAAAGCAAAGAGAGACAGGGAAGAATGATCAAAATAAAACATTTATTCCCAAAAAAAGAAACAAACAAAACCCCAAATTTAGTGATTATATTAATTAAAGAGGCGAGGAGAATATACCTGTAGACTAAAGTTTACCTCTTTCTCGGTGACAGAAATCGTATAATATGAATCTCTCTGATGTTGGTTCGATTGTTCTGTTTTTTTTTGTTTGTTAGAGATAAGGGAGAAACAGACGTGGGTAATTGAATTTCTTCGACAGAAAAGCTTTGAGCAAGGACAGAGAGATATTAATGGAGGAGACAGAGAAGCAAACGCGCTTAAGGAAAATCTTCGACAAAGATATTTAATATTTACTTCTGTCTGTACTGTAGCTTTTGCTTTCTGTCAACATCGTTTTTGCAGTGGTCAATTATTTTTCTTCTGGATAAACATTCTATAATTATGATTTTCTTCTTCTTTTTTTGGCGCGTTTTTTACGTATTTGACATAATCCGGTCTGTTTCGTCGGCTTTGTCCGACCTTTTGATCGGAAGACATATATATATATATATATCAGTTTCAATGACATAAAAGATAAATCTTCTGTGGAAAAAAGGGTAAAAGTCTGTTTCAAATTAACAAAGAACGAGAAAAATGTTTCTAACTGATTTAACAAGAATAAAAAGTGTGAAAAACATTGTTCTTAAAGTTGTTATTTAAGTAGTCCAAAACTAACAGCTGGATAAATTTCAAATGGGAAAAAATTGAAATTTTCTAGAATACTTTTGATAAAATAGAATAAATTTAAATTAATTCTTCTAATTCATTAGAGATGCGTTAGGCGTCGGAGAGTTACCGGCGGTAAGTTTGCCATATTCATTTTCTTAGTTACGTACGTTTGAGGCTTTGAAATTAAAAACTTAACTATGTAGTCTGTACATCTCATCTGTCTTCTCTGGGTCGTTGCAGCCCACAAATCCCAATATATATAGGCCCACAAAGATTATACTTCCATTTCATTTGACTTTTTTTTTTATTATTCCTGCGTTTCACGTTTATACTTAATTTATCTTTGATAAGCTAACTTTAAATTTACATTACACTGTCCACAGTGTTTTTTGTTTTTTTTTGTATCTTCTAAACCCCCATATTTCAATTAATAAATTATATATTTTCAATTTTCGACCACCAAGGCAAGAACAAATTGGTATATTTTCTATTTTCTTGTGTACTAAAATGAAGATGTTTTGTAACATTTACCTTAGTTGGTAAGTATTACAGTCTCTGGTAAAAGATTATCAAAATAAATATCACCAAATAAAACAATATTTACCTTAGTTAAACTAAGTTTAAACAATGTCAACGGTTGACAGCAACAACAGCACACTCCTCTCTTATCTGTATACATTCACCATGATTGACGATTTTCTCACCGGAGAATCTCAGCTTCTTCTGCAGCTGCTGGGGTTTCATTCTACTTCGCTCTTCAATTCTCGTTTCTTCTCCACAAACTGAAAGAAAGGGAGAGCAATGTCAATCGGTTTCAATTTCAAGACGAAGAAAACTTTGCTTGGACTTGGCTTAGGACAGATCCTCTCGCTTCTCGTTACTTGTAATACATTTACATCGTCTGAGCTCGCCAGAAAAGGTTCAAGCTTCTTCCTTTTTTTTTTTTGGGTTTAGTTTAGCATCATGGTCTGCTTGTAATTAGAAGATGAAGTGATTTCCTTATTAAATTATTGAAAATGTGAAAAATCTTTCTTTTTAAAGGAATTAATGCTCCAACAACACAATCGTTCCTCAGTTATATGTTACTAGCAATAGTCTATGGAGGTGTCATGCTGTATCAAAGAACCACAATTAAGGTCAGTAATGAAACTTCTCCTCTTAAAAGTATTTGTTTTTGCTAATTTCTCGATAAAGTAATGAGAGAGTGCATTCAAGTTTGAGTTTCAAAATCCTAATATTGCTAACATCTTCTTCCATTGTAGGCCAAGTGGTATCACTATTGCCTCCTTGCTCTCGTTGATGTGGAGGCGAATTTTCTCGGTGAGTGTTCTTATCTTCTTGAACACTGGATCCTGTGGTTCTTGTGACAGTCTAATTTGATTTTGGAGAAATGTAAATACTTGCATCACATTCTGGTAGCTGCTGCAGGGGAAGTAACATGTTCCACTTAACTTTCCTGCAATGTGGTTAAGAGGTTTTGAATCGAAACTCCATTGGTTTTACAGTGGTGAAGGCGAATCAGTACACATCGATAACGAGTGTGATGCTACTGGACTGCTGGGCGATCCCTTGCGTTTTGGTCTTGACTTGGGTTTTCCTGAGAACACAATACAGATTGATGAAGATCAGTGGTGTGCTTATCTGTATTGTTGGTGCCGTCATGGTAGTTTTCTCTGACGTTCACGCAGGAAGTCTAGCAGGTGATATGGTGGAAACTGATTCTTGCCTTCCGCAAGTATAAAACACTCACTGATGGTGGTAGCTTTTTTATCAGGAGGAAGTAATCCTGTGAAAGGAGATTTTCTTGTTGTAGCAGGAGCAACCTTATATGCTGTGAGTAATACGAGCGAGGTAAGCAAGTCTCTGCAAAATGCTTCATACCCCAATCAAATGTCCTTTGTAGTTTTAGTCTAGTGTTTCTTTGTTATAGGAGTTCCTTGTGAAGAATGCAAACAGAGTTGAGGTGGTGACCTTTTTGGGATTTTTCGGCGCCATTGTTAGTGCTATTCAGATGTATCCTCGTATGTTGATTAAGACTTGTATGCACATTTCTATTGGAAATTCCTTTTCCTTGACTAGTTTGTCTATAGAGGTGTACTTGAACGTGGTGAGCTCAAAGCTATTCACTGGTCAGCTGATGTTGTAAGTTTCTTCTTGCTATATGTCCTTTTCACTTTCAATCGCTGCAAACAAAAAGACTTTTATTTTAATGGTTTATACATGGTTTCAGGTTTTTCCTTTTCTTAGAGTCGCGGTCACGTTGTTTCTCTTCTACTCATTACTCCCGGTTTTACTCAAGGTATGAAAACATAACATGATCAAAACCCTCATCCACTCTGCCATCTGAAACATAAAAAACATCTTCTCAGACCAATGGTTCTGCAATGTTCACCCTCTCATTACTCACATCAGACATGTGGGCGGTTTTGATCCGAACTTTCGCTTACCACGAGAAGGTTAGCTCACGTTCTATATCGAGCATCAGGAAACTTTCACATCTCTGTCTTTAGAAACCAGCGGGTGAGATCAACTAGGCCCTTGTCTGTTAATGTCAGGTGGATTGGCTCTACTTCTTGGCATTTGCTACTACAGCTATTGGACTGGTCATATACTCAGTGTACTGCTTTTTTCTAATCTTTCTTCAACTCTTCGTTTATCTTCTCCACTCATCAAGCACAGTAAAACCATCCATGGAGGTCAGTGTTCATCACCCATTGTTTTCCTGATATATTCTCAGGAAGGAGAAAGATGAGGAGGAACAAGGAGATGAACAGAGGAAGCTGTTCGATGAGGAAGATGGTGAAACAATTCCAGTGAGCCTTCTATGTGCTTCCACCGGAACTCTAATCAAATCCTGATTTTTTTTTTTGTTCTTGTCTAATGTCATTGGCTCATTGTGTGACCTATTAAAGATTAAATCTTTCCGGGCAAAACAAAGAAAGATATACACTTTTGGCTTTACTTGATACCGTAATAATATGATGTTTCAGAGTCACAACATTTTATCTTTTTCCATATCAGAGTAACTCATATGATCTATGATTCTTGTGCTGCCACTATATCATCTTTACAAATAGTTTGAAAACAGTCAACGATTCGCTGAGACGTCACACTCCATGTTTGTAGAATAAAAAAAAAGGACTCGCCTTCACTCTCTTCTCTGAATCTCACTCTCTTCTCTGGATCTTCTCCATTCTAGTGTCACCGGAGAAATCTCAGCTTCCTCTGCAGCTTGGGTTTCCAGTTTCACCGGATTTGTTCGAAGGAAGAAAACAAGAATGGTGTGTTTCGATTTCAATGATATAAAGACGAAGAAGACTCTGATTGGACTCGGATTAGGACAGATCATCTCTCTTCTCTCTACTTGTATTGCCTTTGCATCGTCTCAGATCGCCAGAAAAGGTTAACCAGATCTTTTCAAGCCATTTTGTTACAGTCATGGGGTCTTTTACAAAATTTGAAATCTTTTTTAGGAATCAATGCTCCAACATCACAGTCGTTCCTGGGATATCTGTTACTAGCAATCGTCTATGGAGGCATCATGTTATATCGAAGACCAGCCATTAAAGTCAGTACATACTTTCTCTTTTTGGAAACTTTGATTGATTTCACTCTGTTTTACCATTTCCTCTTAGGGTAACTAATAAATCTTGGGAATGTGAGTTTTGTGTATTCAAGGTTTCATTACTGAATGTGCAAAAGCAGAGTGCTTAAACAAAAGTGTCTCTATGCTCAAACTTGCTAACATCTTCTTCAATGCATAAAAATTGCTGTAGGCAAAGTGGTATTACTATCTCCTCCTTGCTTTAGTTGATGTGGAGGCGAACTTTCTCGGTGAGTATACTTATTGACACACTCTTCTTTTGTCCTACTGTGCCAAGAAATGTAATATTTAACATGTTGTTTATGTGCTGCCTCAATGTTTCCTGTTTTTTTCCATCTGATGTTGAATCATTTTCAGTGGCCAAGGCATATCAGAACACATCGATAACGAGTGTGATGCTACTGGACTGCTGGGCGATCCCTTGTGTTTTGGTCTTGACTTGGGTTTTCCTGAGAACACAATACAGATTGATGAAGATCAGTGGTGTCCTTATCTGTATTGTTGGTGTTGTCATGGTAGTTTTCTCTGACGTCCATGCAGGGGATCGAGCTGGTAATGGTGTTAACTGGTTTCTTTTTGCTTTTCCTTACCATTGCTTCACTTTTACTCATCAGTCATCACAAGACTACAAGTAAACACTCAGAAGATTTTATCAGGAGGAAGTAATTCTGTGAAGGGAGATTTGCTTGTGATAGGTGGAGCAACCTTATATGCTGTCAGTAATACCAGCGAGGTAGGCAAGTCTTGATTCACATACCCTAAAGCAGATAAAGTGAAATTTCTTGCACCTGTAGACACATTGTTCCTCTGTTTCAGGAGTTCCTTGTGACCAATGCAGACAGAATTGAGCTCATGTCCTTTATGGGTCTTTTCGGCGCAATTATTGGTGCTATTCAGATGTATCCTTTGAACCACAAAGGCTATGAAAATTTCATCTTTCTTAAGCTTATACGCACAGTCTCCAGGAAGTTTCACTCTTTTCAGCTGTGATGTCTATCAAAGAGAATACTCCTTGACTTGTCCATAGAAGCATACTTGAACGTGGTGCGCTCAAAGCTATTCACTGGTCAACTGAGACTGTAAGTGTCCCTTTTAATCTCTGAAAACCAAAGAGTTTTTCCTTTGTAGCAGTACAAACTCAAAGTGTTTATGCTTCTGTGGTTTCAGGTTTTACCTTACCTTGGAATCGCACTTGCGATGTTTCTCTTCTATTCATTACTCACAGTCTTACTCAAGGTATGAAAACAGAACCAAAAAAAACCATTTACTCTCTGTTTTTGCATGCCAATGTGTCTATTTATTGCCAATACCTCTGAAACATTAACATCTTTTGAGATATAATCTTCTCAGACCAATGGCTCAGCAATGTTCACCCTCTCGTTGCTTACATCAGACATGTGGGCGGTTTTGATCCGAACTTTCGCTTACCACGAGAAGGTTAGCTCACGTTCTATATCGAGCATCAGGAAACTTTCACATCTCTGTCTTTAGAAACCAGCGGGTGAGATCAACTAGGCCCTTGTCTGTTAATGTCAGGTGGATTGGCTCTACTTCTTGGCATTTGCTACTACAGCTATTGGACTGATCATATACTCAATGTACACTCTTTTTTTATAATCTTTCTTTAAGTACAGTATCTATTTTGTACTCATGGTTTCATCAAGTCTTCACCATTTTCCATTTTTCTCAGGAAGGAGAAAGACCAAGAGGAACAAAGAAATGTAGAAGTGGTAGACGTGGAGGCTGAGCAGAGGAATCTGTTCGATGAGGATGGTGAGCCGCTTCGTGGCAGCCTTATAGGTGCTTCCACCAGAACACTAATCAAAGCCTGAGGTTTTTTATTTGTCTATGCCATTGGCAATGAGATATACAGGGAAAAGAAGGAACCTCTGAGTGGAGAAAAGTTGATATAACATATTTCCAAAATTGGTACTGTAAAAAGAAATAAGATCTACCTTGAGAGAACAACTTCGGAATTATTATAGAGGTTACTTCAAATGTTTCAACTTCTCTTTATTCCATGTAGTTATTAGATGTGAGATATTAGATTATTGCTTCCAGCAAGAAGAAAGGAACTTTTGGTGGAGAATAGTAATATATATAATAATTGGTAAATGTAAAGAGTAAACAAAAAAGGCTTTATTTGATCTTAATTTAATTGTGGAAACAAAATATAATTTACCTTCTGAGAACAACAAACATTAGAGAAGTTACTTCAAATGTATCAACTTCTGTTTATTCTTAGGTGTTTTATTTAACTTACGACTACAATGTAAGAAGCTGCATCTCCACACAGCTCTAGTACGGTCACTTGAAAGCTCATCGTTATGTACACAACCCGTCAGAGCAAAGAACTCGTGTAAGAACCAGATAGATCCAGTGGCAAAACAGCTCCTTCTCTGTTTACTTGGTTTTTTGGTGTGGTGATTTTGATCAGTTTTAACGATATGCATCCTTCAAGCTCTCTTCATGAGACTTCAGTTTCCTTCTGCGTGAACGAGGGAACAGTAGCTGATGGATCTTCTTCTCCGCTGCCAATTCAGTCGTAGCCTGTAAACAATGACGAAGAGAAGCATAAGCATATCAATGTCCTCATGATTCTGCTTTCTTATTGAAAAATTCTCTCACCCTGGTTTTGAAAGGGAAACGGTGAGTTTGGACTTGTGCACCTGCGAAAACTCTCACATCCATACCGAGACTATCAACACTGATCAGGTTAGCTTCCTACATGAGATTACCGTAAAGTAGCAAAATGTGGTAGGTTAGTAAAACGGAAGTGTAACAGAGCGATCGCTATTAGTAATCAGCCGTATTCCAGATTATGCTCAGAGACTTGGATACAATACCTCTGCATGAAGACCCTTCTTTTTGCAGAGAGCTTTAAGGGCAATGCTGGAGTTAATCCCCCTGTCGTTGAAGCGCTCTATGATTGCAGAAGTAGAGTGCACTAGGATGTCTGCTTCAGCATCTTGAAAATCTTGCAAACTTATAGAAGACTGAAAATAGTCAAAGAATCTACATCAACGCACGGTGAGACCGTGGGAGCAAAAAACCGAAACACTGAGAGAGTTTGTATGAAAGTCTATGTCAGCATAATAGCCGAATATATGTTAAAACCGAGTTTTGCCTTAATCAAAATGACCTGACAAATATTTAAAGGAAATTGGAAAACAAGATAGATTGTTTCGAAAGTATACCTCAGCTCCATAGAGGGAGAGAAGCTCTATTCCCACAATCTCTAATCTATATAGACTTGAACTCATATCGTTCTCCTCTCGTCTGGAACTAGTGCTTGGATTGTCATCGCCTGCAGAGAAACATTAAAACGGAAGGATATACAAGATGTCAAACAAATGTACATTAATCTTTTAAGCAAAAGTCAAAAAACAGAATTTTGAAGGCGAAGAGAATATGAAAGGACCTTGAACCTCCCAGCTATAGTCATCTCTATCTTCCGAGAAAAATAATCTTCTGATATAGGATTCCTCGTCAAGGAAAGCAGGCCTAAGGCATCCGAGTATGGATACACCATTAGATGGATAGTCCATTTTCTTGTCATAGTCCATGCTGATGGCCTGAATGATTGCAAACACAAGAGACTCCAACTCAACTACATATCCAATGCAATGTAAGACCAGTATGTATCAAAGACTAATAATTCTTATCCGCAAAGTTCCAACTTTATAGACAGAAACAAGTGAGTGGACTCATTAAAGCATATCATTTTTATTAGGTTTTTTGTTGCAATTGTAAGGATATACAACCTTGGACATGTGTTTGGCAAAGTAAATAGGATGAACTCCGTTGGAAGTGTCAGGCATTCCCCAATCAACCGGAATATCTCGAGCTTCAGAATCCATAATCTACTCGAATTCTCAAAGTAAATCAACAATGAGCTTTAATAAGACAAGGGACTTGGAATGCTTTGCAAGAAAACTTAAAAGAGTACAGAAACCTCAACCTACCTCGAAATAATGGTCATCAAAAATAATTTGGTCAAGGTTACCAATTTCAGAAATGTTATATTCCTCATGGAGCCGTGAGTTTTCGTACCGCGGGACATCCATTCCAAAAAAGGCTTTCTACAAGTATGTGATGAAAACTCGAGATTAATTATCAATTATATACAGATATATGACATTCTCAACTAGATCAATGGCACGCTTACCACTGGATTACTAGCTCCAGGATCATCTAAGATGTTCTCATCGTCAGGAATCTCGAAAAAGATATCTAAATTAGAGAGAGAGAAAAACACACGATAAAGACAGTGCTGGTGAGAAGGAAAGTGGCCAATAAATATTAGCATATCGAGCTATGAATAACATAAGACTGACCTCCATAATCATCAATGACATACTTAAACTCGGACCATGAATTATGATCGTGTGGTTCACAGTGAATTGCTCCAGGAAACACCAACACAGCGGTGCTATTAGCCTACACATTTAAATGACGAAAACCCCAAACTCAATATAGCAAAACTCAACAATATACAAGTTCATGCGAAACTCGACAGTACTGATCTCAAATTTGTTTCCCAGCTACAAACCTCGACCGTAGTCCTTGCTACTTCAGGGGCAGAGAGTTTTGTCTCCTGGACTCTTTTGCACGGCTTCAATTCTTCGAGAGGATGATAGCCGTAGAAAGATGAATCAGGAACCGAATCGGAATAATCAGCAGCAACCGAAACTTTCGTGAGGCCAAGGTCATGTCCACCGGTTGATACATGAAATGCTGATCCAAAAAAAGGAATCTTGCATCTGGAACTGAACAGAGGATATCACACATTGCTCATAATCAGAGAGAGATAACATGATTTTGAAACTTTAATCAGATTCACTCGAAATCCAAAACAGTGCGCTAACAACATTCGAGGACAAGGAAGACTGTATACGAATTTTAAACTAATACCTTAAAACAGAGAGATTAGCAGAGCCACATCCATCAGAGACACGGTTTCTTGCGCTGCCGTTTCTCTTGTAAGGCGTGGAGAAAGAAGACTCATCCGTGAAAGATTGATGGCAATGAGATGGACCTGATGAAGACATACCAAAGAATGTTCAATTCCCCCAAGTTACAGAAAACAAATTTTCATGAAATAAGAAGCAAAAGAGGAAAGATCGAGACTTTATCAACATCTTCATAGATCTCTAGCAATGACATGAACATCTAATCAAGAGTCATTCAGAAAAGAAAAAAAATTGACACAGCGCTAATTTTCCCAGTTTCAAAAATGAAAATAATTTTCACGCTAACGGCAGAAAAAAATTCATCGGTTGATAAAATTATAACCCAGAAAACGATAACAAATTTCGATCGAGCTATAGAACAAAAATAAAACAAGTCAACCACAAAGGAAACTCCGAAATGCCTTCGCCATTAATAAAAAAAAAAAAAAAAGGTTTGACGAAGAGTTCATTAATTCGTCTCACACAGCCAATCAGCCATGCACTACCATCATCAGCTTCGGAATAATCAAAGAACAATAGTATGCGAAACAAAATGAATACAGAGAGAGAGAGATCTCGAAAGTTGGTGAGATACCGAGGGAAAAAGAAGAAGCAACCGCGATCACCATGATTACACAAATAGATGAAGCGGATCGGAGGAGCTGAAAATCTCAGCCGCCGTGAAATGTCGAAGTAGCTGATCGTTGGGAGTCTTCGTCGCCGCCGTATTCTTCGCCGTCGTCGCTGATCACGTTTCTGTCTCTTTGTTTGTGTTTACTGTCGCATCTAATTAATTTGCCAGAGACTTGAATAAAGTTTCAGCCTTTTTATTACTATTTTATTCCTTTTTCGTTTTGTTCTCTTTTTTTTTTTGTCGTCGTCATGGCAATATTGATTTTTAATTTCTGTTATCTATTTTGGGTCAGATCATGGGAAAGTTGTTGTGGTTGGTATTTCTTACGGAAATCTAAAATTTCGTTTTTCTATCCAAAATAAAAAATCTATCGAAATGAATAAAATGAAGGATGGATATTCCTTTGATTCTTTATTCAATGCTCATCATGAAAACTCTTTGACTCACATCGTGACTACTGAGACGGTTTAGCTGGTTTAGTTTAATATGGTCTGGTTTAGTGAACCTGGTTCAACAAGGCGATGATACCAACAAATTTTGCAAGTCTCTTTCTTTTCCTTTTTTTATTTGATTTTTCGTCCTTTTCAGACGTCGGCGATATTCGTGATTTCACCACCATAAGAATCCAGATATGACAGAATCTTTTATTGTTAAGTGAGTGGAAAATGTATTACAGAAAAATGTATAATATCAACATACATGTGTTACATCATTATGTATTTATGTGTACATAACAAAAGGGGAAGCAAGACTAGGACTTGATCTTATAATACGACTGACCAAACCCCAAATTACTTTAAACCGACCAAAAAAATTATAAATCCAAGTCAAAATGGTTGAGCTTTGTTCATGAACTTTTTACTAGTGTGAAAGTAAAATGGGTAAAACTGTGTTTGGCTCTGATTTTACCTGTATCCTCCACCATAAGGTTGTTGCTGCTGAGGGTTGTAACCACCTTGGCCCATCATCGGATTATAAGCAGCACCTGTTACGCCTGCTTGTGGACCATGAGCCATGGTCATCCCTTTTTGTGGTTGCATCGGGTAGCCTTGAGGCCCTTGACCATATCCTCCCATGTTCATGTCCATCCCCATATGATGGTTTTGATTCATGTTCATGCCCATTCTCATAGAATGGTTTTGGTTGATGTTCATGCCCATCCCCATGGGATGGTTTTGGTTCATGTTCATGCCCATTCCCATTCCCATCGGATGGTTTTGGTTCACGTTCATGCCCATTTCTATTAAATGATTTTGGTTCATGCTCATTCCCATTAGATGGTTTTGGTTCATGCCCATGGGTATGCTCATAGCACCTGCACCGGTACGGCCTAAGCCAGTACCAGATCCCATGGCTTTACCCATGTTGATAGTTGATGTTACTTGTTGTTGTGCGGTGGTTGGTTTCTCTAGCCGTTTCTCTTTCTTGTTGATCGCCTTAAAATCAACTCCTATATCTGCCAATGGATTTGTTTTCGCTGCACATTGATAAACCGAGATTAGGAATTTCGTTTCAAAATTTATGAACTGAAAGACCCTGTATATATAGCAAGATCTCGCTTACGTCCAGATATGTTGAAATTCACTAGCCCTCTGCTTAATGTGTCTGCCCAGATTGTTGATTTCAGCTCAAACTTTTTCTGAGTTTGAGGAACAATCTCCATCGCTCCTGTTAAAGGTGTGAGAGATGGTTGGGATGCAGAAGCTCCTAAGGAACCGTGTCCAGCTGGTGCAAACATGTCTCCAGTGGCATTATTATGATTTCCATATGCTGTAATATGTCCAGATTGAGTTCGCTGTGGTATATGGGTAGGGATACCTTGAACTTGAGCTTGATATGTCATGAAGTTTCCACCATCAAACTGACCAGATGGTGCATTGGGTGTAGTAGAGTAAGGAGATTGTGAGCTTGATGAAGTGGCAGAACCTGGTTGATGAGAAAAAGGCTCACTTGTTGGGTGTAAAGATAGTCCAGGAGTATGCTGTGGAGGTTGAGAATTCGCAGAACCTGCATAGCCTGGCTGTTGCGTGAATCCTGCATAGCCTGGCTGTTGCGTGAAGCCTCCATTGTTGAATTGTTGCACACCTCCAGGATGATTTTGTGAATGAGAAATCATATTGTACTGTTGTGAAGCTTGACCAAAGGGAGTCTGTCCTGGCATGTTAGGATCTGTAGGCGCTGCTTGAGGGTGAAAGCTTTGATACATGTTACCGTTGGGAGGAAATTGGGATGTCGGCATCGTGGGGTTTGGCTGAGACAAAGACACTGGTGGTCCAGATGGCGGGAGAATGCCGGCAAGAATATCGATTTCGTCCTGCGCTGTATTAAACTCTTCTTGAGGGAAGACAGATGAGTCCGATGGAGCTTGAAAGCCGGGTTCAGGATTGGGAACAGCAGAAAATGATTCCCCGAAACCAAAATTATCACCATTATCAAGATCTGGGGCCGGTGGTGTTGGCTGGAAAGGAACTCCAAAAGTCTGATGTTGACTTGGGTCAGTGTCAACAGAAGTGATGGCTTTGAAAGGAGAGTCACCAAAGGGATCATCAAACGGCTGCACAGGGGGTATAAAGCATCTGGTAAGGTTTAATGGTAACATACACAAAAGCTTCAAGCATGAATGGTTAAGCGTAGTATAAATACCTGAGTTGATGACTGGGAAGTAGAAAATGATGGAGCTGGACCAGCGTTTACTTGTTCATTGGCTACACCAGGAGCAGACTCAGATGTAACAATAGCCAACGGGTTTGGTGAAAATACATCTGAAAGAGAGCCAAACAAGTCCATTTCGGCATTATTTGAGACAGGCGCAGAAACCACTGTTGGTGGGGTAGGTGCAGGAGCCGAAGCAGCAGCTGTAGACACACATAATGAAGTATGTTTTTGTGCTGAGGCGTGTAAGAAAGAACACTAAGAAAAAAAAAGAAAAATCAAGCTTGGAGAAAGCTATACCTGGAACTGACCCTCGTGGATCAAATTCATCGAAAGCCTCGACTTGTTGAGGAGGTAACTCGTTAACAGAACCAGTAGGGTTGTTGTCCTCGCTGTTGCTTTCAACACGAGGAGAAACATCAGGTCCTGGAGGAGCAACTTGTGGGGTCTCTCCACCATCCCTTTAATCAATGATTTTAAAATGATTCATAGGCAATTCAGAATCGCTAAAATGCAAAGGTACTTCTCAATTTGTACTCTAGAGAATTGTTACCTTTCACTGTATACAGGGCTCCGTGATTTACTGACAGCTTCTTCATAACTTGGTGGTACGGCACCAATATTTTGTTCAGAAAACTTCCTATGTAGCCCCACTCTATCCAAATCCCAAAAGTAAGAGAAACAGGTTGATATTTATTCCATAATCCTCTTAATACAACAACCAAAAAAAGTCACATCCAAATCAGCACACATCTCAGATATTTACCTCTCATCTTGAGAATGATCATCAGCTCGTGCACCACTGTCCCTGCAGCAATAAGTAGAATGTTTCATCAAATTTCTTAAATGATTCTCACCACAGTTTTCTCGAGTTCAAATTAAAGCGGGGACTTTATTAATCAACATACCGTGATGAAGATTGACCATCATCCTCAAAAGGTCGTTCCTTGTCCGAGCTCCTACCTCTTGATCCATTTTGGTAATTATCAACACTTCTGCTTCTTCTATGGTATTCATCATCTCTGTTAGCTTCTCTTCCATATCGTTCTTCAGAGTCTCTAGAATAACGATCTCCATCACGACTATTTCTATCATCGTCCCTGTAACCATATTCTCTTTCTCTCCCATAACTACTTCGCCCTTCATCTCTGTCTCCAGAGCGGCCTTCGTAATCATATCTATCCCCATATCCACCTGACGGCCTATGCATCCCACCTCCGGGTGAGTTACGATATCTGTTGTACAGAAACATGTCAGGTTCTATGAAATATGTTCCCTTTCTTTCAAGGGAACATATGTGCATGAGACTGAACCTGTGAGGAAACAATCTAGAAATTCCATAAAGTTACACTGAGAAGAAGCAGGCTTACTTCTCTCTGTTAGCAGAAGCCTTCTCTCTGACCTCCGTTATTCTTTCTATGTCATTTACCAAAGCCACGATGCTCTGCGACTTCTTCCTGACATTGTTACCTTGATCTTTACCGCCGGAATCTATATACTGAAAATCAGACAATGTCTGACACATGGAAAGAGGATAAAATCCATCAGTAAGACAAATGAACAGCTGAGATACAAAAAAAAAGAAGCTTTCTTGTCGAATACACCCAATATTATTCACTACTATGCGGTCATTACCAAAATCTGATATGCACGTTCTTTAATCTCGTCTATGACACGTTCTGATCCATGGCCTACCATGTACTCCAAGACTGTCAGTGCCTGAAGAGTAAAAAAAAGATATAACTTAGTTTCATTGACAAGATCGGCCTATATATTTCTTGATAGTTTACCTTAAAGACATGCCGCCAATTTTTCCCAGTGTCACTTAGACGTTTCCATAACACTCCCATGATCAGCTGGTATTCATGGCTGCATGAGGAAGAAAAAAAAAACATAAAAAATTCATCCATAAGATAATATTATGAAAAATAATGATAGGATAAAGGTAAATGTAATTACTAATTTCTAGAAGCATGCGCAATATCAGCAAGAAGTGATCCATGCGGACCCCATGACTCGTTGCTGGTAGCTTCTAGAACCTGAGCAAGTAAACAAACTTCTAGGTGAAAAAGCATGTTTTGATGCATGACTTAGCAAATCCAGCATATGAATCCATGCGTTAGAAAAGGTTCAATAAAACTAAAAGTAGAGAAACATCATATGCTTTACTACCTTCTGCTCTATTCCAGGTACTTTATGCACTTTCTTGTTGACCCCTCTCTTACTACAAGCAATTGGATGAAAAGATAATATAAGACATCGTAAGTGGAAAAATATAGAATCCACAGACAATATGAAACCATTTTATTCTAGGTGCTCCGATTCTTACAGGTCTCTGACAGTTTGATCAAATGCTTTCTTCATGGTCTGCTCCGAATGTCAAAGAGCTTTCACTGTAAATTGTTTCACACAAATCATCAATCACCAAAAATGGTAAAACATTGTAATTCAAAAATGGAAAACAGGAACCCAGTTGAATCAGCAAAACCTCACATTTCAATATAAAACTACCAAATAAAAAAAATATAAAGGAAGTTTAATGCAGCACTAACGAAATCAAGCAACTATGACATAAACATACACCGCACCACAATAAGAGACATTACTCCTATAAATGATCAAAACATCAAATCAAACAGCAATCACAAATAAATCAAGCAATCCAATTCGACACACACACCGAAAAAATCGACGATAAAGTCAGAGTCACCTCTTGGATTCGGTTTAAAAATGAATGCTTGATCCAATGCGAAGAACAACATCAAAATCTCGTTTTTAAAACGATTTGTAATTTGATCAAACAGATTTCACAACCGAAACATAAAAATGACAAATTCAGCTGAATTTACAAGGAAATCAGAATCACGAACAAGCTGAATCAATCGAACCTGTTGGCAAAGGAAATTGGATGGCGAATCTATGAAGCACAGAAGAAGACGAAGAAAGAATCAAGACAAACATAGAGAGAGGAGATTCGGGAGCCAAAGAATCACAGCAGCCAAAATTAAATTTGAAATAATAAATAAAAGACACAGCGTATGACACGGAAAAAATTAAGGCCTTCAAAAGATTTTTAAAATCCTTCTTTTTCCTGTGCTGCTAATTACTTTGATTGAGATTACCAAAAATAGAATTACTTCCACTCAGATGGATCTTTTACTTTCGTTCATTGAATCAGAAGCTTAAGGGAAATTAAAATTATACATGCGCTTACAGAAGATTTGTTTAAGGTAAATTTCAAGTTCTGAAAACGCGCGTATTCGTCCAGAGACAAAAACCCATTTTTCTTTGTTTGATTATTGTCGGTCCAACTAGTTTTATTACGAAAGTTTAGGCACCCAGTAAAGATGGGCCTGATTTGTTAACGGCCCAAGTACATATCTATGACATGTGTTGCGTGTCTATTGGTTTTCGGTTAAAAAATACTCGTTGGGCGTCAATCCTCTGCTTCGTGGTAATCATCCGTCATTCCGTGTTTCTCCCAACTTTTTCATTACACGACGAACACGAGAACAGAAGAACACACAGAACCCTAGATTGTTCTACTGCCTTCGTCCAGGTTTATTTCTCTCTCCCCCACACGAAAACGAATCCGAATCTCGTTGACGAAAGAAGCATCTTTTCGAGTTTCAATCGATCAGTTAATCGGCTTCCATGGTGGGTTTTCTCTCTCTTCGCGTCTCCATTTTTGTGTTTTACTTTTATTGCCTCTTTAATCTCTTGGGTGATGAGTCTTACCCCATCGATTGCTTTTAGCATCCTCTGGTATCGTTTGTTAGTTTCACGTTGTTGGTTTGTACAAATCCGAGAGATTGATTAGTTCTATGAATTGGGTACGGGAATACTCCGCTGGTTGCTTCATTTCGGAGATCTCTCTTATCATTTTTGCATGTTTTGTGATCAAATTAAGGATTTTTATTGCCTGCCTCGTTGTGTTTTTGATTGAAATCCATCCATATATGTGATTAGAACATTCTTTTTGTAATTGAAGGAAACATGAAGTCTTCATATACTATCTACGCTTCTCTTTGATATGTCTTAATGTTGAAATTAATAATGGAATAGCTTCATTTCACATAGTAGTGGATAAAGGCATGTGCTTATATGTTGCAGTGATTCCAATTTCTCATTTCTTTCTTTTTACAGGCTGGGAAAATTATTGCGCAATTGATTGTGGTGGGTTCTGGGATATTGGGTCGTGCTTTCTTCCAAGCATATCGTCAGGCAATTGCAAGTATGTCCCAACACCTTTTTATAGAGTATATGTTAGCTTTTTGACATCAAGTTGTTGCTTCATGAAACCAATGATGACTAGTGATTCTGTGTTTTTTTTTTGTCCCAGCTCATGAGTTTTTGTACACTAGTATAAGAACGGTTTATATGTTTCCGAATCAGATTGCTCTAACTTGTTCGAGTATGTTGAATCAGTAGTTAAGACAAGTGGTCATGTATTTCTTTTGCAGATGCGTCTAAGTCTGGCGTTGCGCAGGAGGCGATGCAGAACACAGTACGTAAAGCAGGGAAAGCCATCAATGAGCAAGAGGCTAGGCAGATTCTTGGTGTAACCGAGAAGACCTCATGGGAAGAGATATTACAGGTAAAAACGTTTCTCTTCTTCATCACGGACGATGGTGATTTTCTCGGTCTAATTTGAAACTCTGAGTGGAATAACTCAAATGAGTGTGTCTATGTGTGATTGCAGAAATACGACAAACTGTTTGAGAATAACGCGAAAGCTGGGAGCTTTTACCTTCAATCTAAAGTTCTCCGAGCCAAAGAATGTCTTGAAGTTGTGTACAGGAGCAAAGCCAACGGTACACCTAGTTAAGATTTTACTCTTCTTCTTTTTTTCTTACAGATTCAAAAATTCTTGCTCTTTATGTAAAATCAAAGACGATATCACTGTTCTTTGAGATGATGTGGATCTTTAAAAAACGGCCATAGTTTTCTTCACCCATTCATTAGTAATAACGAAGACGGCTTGCTCTGTTATGGATCAGTGTCAATGAACCTCTTAAAATTAGAATGGATTGTTCTATGCGTGTATGTTGTATCGTTCACTCCTAAGAACAGACTCTTTTTAGAGTTTCGTTTCTGTTTTTGATTCTGATTGGAAACTGGGATAATATACTGTTTCTTATGTAAATGCTTGATAAAGCTAAATCTCAGATTATCTATAAGCTAAAAAGTGTGAATTGATGATCACGTGAAATAGGTAAAGTCGCCCAAGTATGAGTTTCAGCGGATACGAATGTATTTTTATCTGATTAGTTATGAAATTTGTATTTTTATGGTATATTTAATCGATCACTATCACTCATCTTCGGTATATATAAACAACTTCCAGAAATTTGAAGGAAAATTAGAAACGTGACTTAATTGCAAACAATTTTCATTTCATAACGGGTGGATTTATACAAAATAAAATTCTATGCACAACAAATAAATTACGATCCAGTTTTGGCAATCCGAATTGTGGAAGCTACAATGAAAACGTGAAAAGAGATGAGTAGCCCTATTGAAGTGAAAGTGAAGTGGTTCGTCTTTGGAAAATCGTAGTCGTTGAGTGAAATGTGACGATCCTTATTTGGTTCACCTCTTGATCTCCTCTTACACCTTTTCTTTATTTCATTTCTTAGTAGAAAACCTGTAAAACAGAGACGAAAGACTGGCTTTAGATCCATGAATCCATGTTAAAGTATGAAACTAACAAAAAGTCTAAAAGTTTGGACGATCAATTGTGTTTTAGCATAAAACTCACTTGAATAATGGGGAAATTTGGATGAACTTAATGAGTCTAGTAATGGATGGGAGGTGGGGGAGAAGCGTAGATGTAGACTGGAGGAGGAGGAGATTTTACGGGAGGAGGAGGAGAGTTGTAATGGTACGGTGGTGGTGGAGATTTGACTGGTGGTGGCGGTGAGTGGTAGTAGTATGATGGTGGAGGAGATTTGACAGGTGGTGGTGGAGAGTGGTAGTAGTATGGTGGTGGAGGAGATTTCACGGGAGGAGGTGGCGAATGATAGTAGTACGGTGGTGGGGGAGATTTGACCGGTGGTGGTGGTGACTGATAGTAGTAAGGAGGGGGAGGTGATTTCACTGGAGGAGGAGGAGAATGATAATAGTACGGTGGTGGGGGAGACTTCACTGGTGGGGGTGGTGAGTGATAATAGTAAGGAGGAGGGGGAGACTTCACTGGAGGAGGTGGAGAGTGATAATAGTATGGTGGAGGAGGAGATTTCACGGGAGGAGGCGGTGAATGATAGTAGTACGGTGGAGGAGGAGACTTCACCGGAGGAGGTGGAGAGTGGTAGTAGTATGGTGGTGGTGGAGACTTTACCGGTGGAGGTGGAGAATGATAGTAGTACGGTGGTGGTGGGGACTTCACCGGTGGAGGAGGAGAATGGTAGTAGTAGGGAGGTGGTGGTGATTTGACCGGAGGAGGAGGAGAGTGGTAATAGTACGGTGGTGGTGGAGATTTGACTGGTGGTGGAGGAGAGTGGTAGTAGTATGGAGGTGGAGGAGACTTCACCGGTGGTGGAGGTGACTGGTAGTAATACGGCGAAGGATGGTGTATTGGTGGTGGTGGAGACTTGTAAACATAAGTTGGAGTAGGCGGTGGTGGTGATTTGTAGACATACTTTGGGGTTGGTGGTGGTGGTGACTTGTAAACGTAAGTTGGAGTAGGCGGTGGTGGAGATTTGTAAACGTAGGTCGGGGTAGGTGGGGGCGGCGACTTGTAGACGTAAGTTGGGGCTGGAGGTGGCGGCGATTTGTAGTAGTAAACCGGGGTTGGAGGTGGCGGAGAATTGTAGTAGTAAGGTGAGTGGTAAGGAGCTGGTTTGTGGCATTCTTCATAAGGCTTCTTAGACGCATAAGCAAAAGACTTAGCGTAAAGCACAACCTCGTACTTTGTCTTTGATTTCACATGAAGTTTAGCTCCTTTGTTACCTAAATGGTAACTTGTCGGAATATTACACGGTGATCCCTTTGGCGGCGCGTGTAGTTTGGCCGTGCACACCTCGCCGCCGTACTTGCGGTAGTTGTATCCTTCCACGGTGATTGCGTACTTACCGTTGATCTTTGTCTTTCCGTACGCTTTGACCGTTTTATCCCCTGCCTTACACGTCACCTCCACGACAGCGCCTACGTTACAAAAAAAAAAGAGTTTTATTTATTAGATATTGGATATTTGACTACATCGTGACAATAAAAAATCGGATATTTTGATCACGTATTAAGTCTACAATAAATTCTGTCCTTTTTAAAAAATAAAAAATATGTAGTAATTAATCGTTTTCTTTTCTCCGCTAAAAATATATAGATATGTATTATGCCATAGTATTCTGTTGTTTGTAATTGTATATAGTAGATTAGAAATGATTTGTAAATTTAATTACCTTTGAGATGCTTCTTGTCGTGGGACTTTTTGGGGTAAGTCCAGTCGTAGCATCGATAGCAATAAACTTTACCAACGACTTTGAATACGAGTGGTTTGGGGTGAGGATGAGGGTATGATACCGGCGGTGGTGGGGATGTGTAGTAGTAAGGTGGCGAGTATGATTTTGGTGGTGGTGGTGGAGATGAGTAGTAGTAAGGTGGAGAGTAGGTTTTTGGTGGTGGTGGAGGTGATTGGTAATAGTATGGTGGTGGTGGAGATTTCACCGGAGGAGGAGGCGACTTATAGTAGTAAGGAGGTGGTGGAGATTTCACCGGAGGAGGTGGGGAGTTGTAATAGTAAGGAGGAGGAGGAGATTTTACGGGAGGAGGAGGAGAATGGTAGTAGTATGGTGGTGGTGGAGATTTCACTGGAGGAGGCGGTGAATGATAATAATATGGTGGTGGAGGAGACTTCACCGGTGGAGGTGGAGAGTGATAATAGTATGGTGGAGGAGGAGATTTCACGGGAGGAGGCGGTGAATGATAGTAGTATGGTGGAGGAGGAGACTTCACCGGAGGAGGAGGTGAATGGTAGTAGTATGGTGGGGGTGGAGACTTCATCGGTGGAGGTGGAGAATGGTAGTAGTACGGTGGTGGTGGGGACTTCACCGGAGGAGGAGGAGAATGGTAGTAGTAGGGAGGTGGTGGTGATTTGACCGGAGGAGGAGGAGAGTGGTAATAGTACGGTGGTGGTGGAGATTTGACCGGAGGAGGTGGAGAATGGTAGTAGTACGGTGGTGATGGAGATTTAACCGGAGGAGGAGGTGAATGGTAATAATAAGGTGGAGGAGGAGACTTCACGGGAGGAGGCGGTGAGTGGTAATAATATGGAGGTGGAGGAGACTTTACCGGAGGAGGAGGAGATTTATATTCATACGGAGGAGGAGGAGATTTCACTGGAGGTGGCGGAGATTTGTATACATAGGGTGGTGGAGGAGAAGTATAGTAATAAGGTTCCGTTGCCAAGGTCAAACCCACGAGTAGTGCCAAAACACCAACTACTAAGTGACTCCCGCCGGCATGACTCCATGCCGGAGTTGTCATTGTATTTCACCGGAAAAGTCTCACCGGTGGCTAATTATTTCTTCAATAGAGACGATGTTTAATTTTTTGTTTTTGATTAGGGATAAGATATATGTTTAAGAAGAGATGGTTTGTGTTATCTGCATGCAAAATAGTCTGTTTATATAATGAAACTTGGTCATCGGAGGTGTGCTTCATTATTTAGAAGCCGGTTCAATATTTTTGTACTCTTTTGATTGTTTCCTCATGCTTTATTATCAGCTGGCATATAATCACTGAAGAAAAAAAAAAAACCAATTACAGAGAATCTATTTAGAAAATATTCAGAAAACTAATCTTCAACCACCCAATTAAAATATCCTTACTCTGATTGATTATTGATACATTATTTAAAATTAATCCTACTATATACTAGTATACTAGTACGTACTAGCTAGCTGCTTGTTAACCTATGCTAATCACAATGACGTTCACATTGTTTATGCTATGATACTCTTACCGACACGATACGAGTTTAATGTAACGGTTTATGCTATCCTCAAATATGTCTAGCAGAAGATCATAAAGTTTCCTGACCAAGTTGATAAGATGAGTTCAAATTTTAATAATTTGTAAAAATATTTCGATCTGCATAGTAGATGGTTATAAAATAAATTGTTTTTACAAATATTTCCTACTGTTTACAAGTCATACATGTGTAAATCAAGACATTGTTATATAATTAAATGTAAATTAATAATGATAATATTAATATATCTATAAGGTCATAAGTTACTCAAGTCAAATATGTATGCTAAAATTTGCTGGTTTATAAAAGAAATAATGATCACTAACTCGACAGCCTGTCTATGAAAGATGAAACCGAGTTACACTAGAACAATAATTACATCGACTGAAAAAAAAAAAAAATTAATAATAATAATTACATCGACTGGACCAACTGCTGAAATACGAAAAAAAATTCCAGATAATTTGTTTCTTAATTATGTTAAAATAAAAATAAAAATAGACGTGCATAAGAATAAAAAGTGAAATTGATAAAAGAATTTGTGTTGCGGGATCACTTGTTTTATATAATGTATTTGTGTCGACTCACTTCAGATGGGATTTAGTTCAAAACATACTTATACCAAATACTAACTTAGGATTATGCTTTCTATTATCTTTGAAGATAAGAAATTCGATCCCTTTTTCTTTGAACGATATATATATTTACAACTTCTCTACATTGTGTACCAATAATTATGAGGGTTATATTCACCTTATTTAACTGCATAATTAACATTTTAGTACTTATATATGTATATATTGTTTTTGTGTGTATATATATACGTACGAGAATCCATGTGAAATTTCGATCATGAGGAATTAATCATGTGGGGTAGAAGTAGAACAAAGTGAAATTGCAGCTTTTTCTTGTCATAGTTGAGGAAGATTGGCGAAGATGCGCATACAAAACATAAAACAATTTCAAGTATGCAATATAATGTCTTCACATGGTATGTAATTAATAGTTCAACATGATTGTAGTAGCTTTTAGGAAACACGAGCTACAGTACTTTAGATTCATCTTCAATTTCAATGTGAAAAAAAAAAAAAATGTACAAATAGCTGAACTCCAAAGTGTTTTGTTCTCTCATGATCGAGATCGTATATAATCTATATTTATTTTGTTGGTATCTAAAGGACATACAAGAAAAAGCCAAAAGCAAAAGGAACATACAAGAACTAAAGAAAGTAGGACCTCCATAATAGACGTTGCCCGCATATACTGCGGGTTTAAATTTTCGTGCGTAAGTAAATAATAATCATGTTTCCATTATTTTGTGCGTAAAAATGCAGTCTTGCCCCCACCACCTCTTTGATAACTGGCTAACTTGATTTAAATTTTAAATTTTGTTTTTCAATGCAGAGTTTTTCAGAAACCAAATTTGTCTAAATAAATGGTCTGATCAAAAATAAGAAAGACGAACAGATCAACGGAGTTCTGCGCACAAAAACATTCATACTTGTTACCTTCAAGATCACGGTACAAAGTTGATCAGCATCTTTTTTTTTTAATTCACAAAAACATTTTAAATGTAGAAAAAATGGCATTAAATTTTTTAATGATATTAGGTATTTTCCAGTCCAAAAATCATAGCTTTCTTGCAGTGTAATAGCAAAATCCAACAACTAAAAGTAATCTATACTAAATAAAAGGAACTATTTGGGGCTCCTTAAGCTATCCACCTCAACTTTTCAAACTACTTTAAAAATATGACACATCAGCAAAAAATAATAATACAAATTTCCACTTTAGATTTTTTTTGAAATACACATAAAGTAAATAAATAGAATCAAAATTAATATAGTTAAATACAAGAGTAAATAAAAATAAATTATTATTTTTTGAATCAGTAAAATAAATATTATTTAAATCTATATCATCAATATATACTCTTTTATTTGTAATATAACAAATTAACAATAATGAAAATTCTCACTTTAGATTTTTTAAAATACACATAAAATAAATAAATAGAACCATTAAATTAATATAGTTATTAGCAAAAAAATAAAAGGAACTATTTGGAGCTCCTTAAGCTATCCACCTCAGCTTTTCAAACTATTCTAAAAATATGACATATCAACAAAAAATAATAATACAAATTTCCACTTTAGATTTTTTTGAAATACACATAAAGTAAATAAATAGAACCAAAATTAATATAGTTAAATACAAGAGTAAATAAAAATAAATTATTATTTTTTGAATCAGTAAAATAAATATTATTTAAATCTATAGCATCAATATATACTCTTTTGTTTGTAATATAACAAATTAACAATAATGAAAATTCTCACTTTAGATTTTTTGAAATACACATAAAATAAATCTATATTAAATAAAAGGAACTATTTGGGGCTCCTTAAGCTATCCACCTAAACTTTTCAAACTACTCAAAAATATGACACATCAGCAAAAAATAATAATACAAATTTCCACTTTAGATTTTTTTTGAAATACACATAAAGTAAATAAATAGAACCAAAATTAATATAGTTAAATACAAGAGTAAATAAAAATAAATTATTATTTTTTGAATCAGTAAAATAAATATTATTTAAATCTATATCATCAATATATACTCTTTTGTTTGTAATATAACAAATTAACAATAATGAAAATTCTCACTTTAGATTTTTGAAATACACATAAAATAAATAAATAGAACCATTAAATTAATATAGTTATTAGCAAAAAAATAAAAGAAACTATTTGGAGCTCCTTAAGCTATCCACCTCAGCTTTTCAAACTATTCTAAAAATATGACATATCAGCAAAAAATAATAATACAAATTTCCACTTTAGATTTTTTTGAAATACACATAAAGTAAATAAATAGAACCAAAATTAATATAGTTAAATACAAGAGCAAATAAAAATAAATTATTATTTTTTGAATCAGTAAAATAAATATTATTTAAATCTATAGCATCAATATATACTCTTTTGTTTGTAATATAACAAATTAACAATAATGAAAATTCTCACTTTAGATTTTTTGAAATACACATAAAATAAATAAATAGAACCATTAAATTAATATAGTTATTAGCAAAAACTAAATAAAACTATATATCATTTTAATCAGTAAAATAAATATCATTTAAATCTGTAGCATTAATATATACTTATTTTTATCACTAAAATTAATATAGTTACCAACAAAAATAAATAAAATTAAAATATCATTTTTTGAATCAGTAAAATAAACATCATTTAAATTTATAGCATCAATATATACTTCTTTTGTTTGTAATATAACAATAATAAAAAAATTCACTTTATATCTTTTGAAATACACATAAAATAAATAAATAGAACCACTAAGTTAATATAATTATTAGGAATAAGTAAATAAAACTAAATATCATTTTCTAAATCAGTAAAATAAATATCATTTAAATCTGTAGCATTAATATATACTCCTTTTTGTAATATAGTGAATATATTGGACAACAAATTGCTCTAAAAAACTTAAATAATAGTTAATAGAAACAAGATTACAAAATGATAATTTCTAAAATAAAATTTAAAACATTTACAAATTATAAAAATCTAAAACATTCACCTTTTAGAAACATACAGATTAAACATCATAGTACGTTAGATTATGGCAACCAACAAGACAAGAAGCTTTTCAAAGCATCTATCTATATGAAGATTTCGATCATTGTTACTATTTACATTGTAGAAAATGATAGACAAAAGAAGAATTTCATGCACTGATATTTATTCAATGTGTGTCTTAGTTGGCTTAAGGTAGTCAAGTTACTACAAACTATACATGTCAACACATGAGTTAAACAGTTTATAAACAAAAATTAAGTTTTAGATGACAGTTAATTTTTATATATATCAAGTTAGTAAATTCTTAAATTAAATAATAATGCATTTCTGAAAAAATAACATACACATTTTTATGTAGAAGAAAATGTCTAAAAAAATCTTTAATTATCCACATCAACAAAATTCCTTATAAACCCAACTTGAATGAAAAACTAATATGGTTTTTTTTCCTGGGTTAAGAAACTCTTTTAAAAATAATATAATATATATTATTAGTTTAATTATAAAGGTTTATCAAAATATATATGTGTAGTTTAAGAAAAAAATGTTTAAGTTAAGTTACAAGCAAATTTTTTTACATCTTTTGAGTTTTGAGAAACTCAACATACTTTATTTAACATAATGAGTTAGTATGAAATTGTATTTGTATATGTATTACTTGCCTTATTCATCTATATTTTTTATAGTTTACGTATACTTCATAGACCAAATCAAAATTACATTTTATCAATATGATTGTGATTTTTTATACTATGTAAATATTGTTTTTATTTATATGAATCAAAGTTATTTTATAGATTTATAAGAGATTAGAACATTGAGTGTTGTTTGTATTTGAGATTGCTAATTAAATAAAAACACTACACGAACACAGTTGAAATAAAAATAAAAATCTAAATTAATTGGAATAATAATAATCAAATTTAGTCAAAACAAAAAAAAATTTAATAATATTTTGAAAGTTAGTAGTGAATAACAGTGAGTTTATATACAAATATTAAATTTTAGATTAACAGTTAATTTTAGCATATATCAAGTAGGTAATTCTTAAAATTATATCATGATACATTTTTTGAATATGTTAAAATATTTTTGATGTATAATCATATCAAAACAATTTTAAAAATTAAATATTATATTTAAAATATTAACTTAAAGTGAAAATAATAAAACTTAAATAATAATCAAATATCTATATAAAAACAGTCTGCACGTAGCGCAGAAACATCCCTAGTAAGACAATTAAACTAAGAAAATGACACATTATAACAGAGTCAACTTGAGTCCTTAACTAATCTCCATTTGTTGAGTCCTTAACTAATCTCCATTAACAAATGACGCCGAAGACACTTGTCTGAATATTAAAGAAGAGGTGACCCATATGGGCAAATATCTTTTTCTTAAATTTAATTAAAAACAGATTCGATTCGTCTCATAACTTGTCATTCACTCAATGCTATCCAAATTATGTCAAAAATATTGAGTTAGCCGTAATAGGTTTTGATATATTACTGGTTTTTCAGCTGATTCGTAAAAACTTGTTCACAAAAGCGTTTCTAAAATTTAGGTCATGTGCCTAAACTTCGTTTCAAAATTCTCGTAACGAAAGATGAAAATCAATGTGAAAAAATTGTGGGATTTGTAAGTTAACTGCAAGGTCTAATTATCAAACATTGTATTATATCTAGTTACAAAAAAAAAACATTGTATTATATATCTGCAGCCATTGTATAATTTATTGCACCTATGATATGATTTAAATACTCCGAAGTTGCTGGTATTGTTAGTTATCTTTATAAGTCATTGTTATATACTACTTATTTTTCTTAATTAAGGTCATTGTGGTGATTCATCCAAGAAAATGAACTACATACAAAAAAAAAAAGATTTAAGCTTTAGAATATATGTAAAATGTTACTATGTATATATATATATATATACTGCAGTATGCAGGTCATATTGGGTTCATCATCTGCATAATACTGATTCTCGTCTTTTTAATATTAAAATATACACATAAAATTACTGGACTTTGTATTTCAAATTAGATAGTGGATAAACAAACTACGGAAGCTAGATTTTCATTTTTTTATATAGTAATATCATATTAATACTAACATAAATTAGGTAAACTACCAACTCATATGCTATATATTAGCATATTCCTAATTTCCAATGTAGCTGGTTTATAGCAGCCATCACCACTGGTCCCATACTCCCATGCATGCCACACATAGAGGTTTGGTCAGAGTTTGGACCTTTTTTTACTGAGCGTTAAGCCAATTTTTTTGTTTTTTTGTGAAATATATTCTCTACAAAAATGTGTGCAGAATCCTTCAAAAATTTTCTTATAAATTTTCTTATTTTAGAACTAGAATTTTTAGGTTTTCAAAAAAAAAAAAAATAACAGTAGAGCATTTTAAATTTATATTTTTAGCATATCTTATCATTATTTTATCATTTTGGATGGGAATCAGTAATGGCTTTAGTCATTAAAGGATGATTTACGTTTTTACAAATTACATTTTTAAAAAACAAATTACATGTAACCAGATCCTATGATGCACACGAGATCAAAAGCAGAGAATCAGAGAGATTATAAAATTTACTTGCTTTGGCTGTAAAAGCAGAGCCCAACCAAATCACTCTACATCCTTGTTATAACCGTTTTCTCCAAATTTCAATATCTTCAGAAACTTCACCGGACATGATGATAGTGAAGAAGGAGTTTTCTCCAAACCTTGGCACAATCACAGATCCCCACATCTATCTGAAGCTTTGTGGAGGATCCCCAAAAGCATAAATTAAGAAACATCTCAAGCTTTGCTGTAAAATGAATGAGTCAGCGGATTCTTTCTCATGGGTCTGATTTGCTTACTTGGAAGACAAGGATTTCAAGATTTGGACAATTCTTGAGAAGATCTGGCAATGATTCCCATCCAACTTCCAGATAAGGTTTAACCAAGTGCAAGATTCAAGTAATCGATAACCTCAACTTGTCATCTCCTTAAGCATGCTTCAGTTTCATCGACGATATGGATTTTCGAAAGAACCTTCCTGTTTCTCAAGGTCTTATGGATTCACTCATGCCTCTTTTTACCTTCTCAAGTCATGAGTGTGTCTCGGCTTTAAGTTTGTAATAGTTCCTAATGACGTGTTTTTATCTACGTTACCAACAATGTCAACTTAATGTTTTAGTTTTTCAGTTCTTCTGTGTACAAAGCTTTGATTTGGAAATTTGATGAAACCATCCTAAATTGCACAGATCAACAAAAAAATTAGTTCACTTAAACCAAAAAGAAACGGATTCAAATTGTTAAACAATTCTTCCGCTTCTCTGATTTGTGAATCTGAAAGTGCTACAATTGAACTAGAATTAGTCAACTTTCTGAAATGTATAAGCATGTTGCTATTACCTAACACTGATATGGCCTTAAAACGTACGATAAAGAAAGTGTCTCTTGGCTAATATTGTTTCAAACTCTTCTTACTCTGATCTCCAATTCTTTGCCATTTCAAAGCCATTCTTGGCATTGCGATAGTCCTCAATGGCCATATCAATCTCAGCCTGTGAGTTCATCACAAATGGCTCGTGCTGAACCACAGGCTCGCCTATCGGTTCCCCTGCAATCAACAAGAACCTCACTGACCTAGCGCTTGACGTATTCCACACGCTAACTTCCCTGTTCCAAAAACCACAACATTGTGTGCTTCTACTGTGGAAGAGTCCGAGGAGCTAAACACGCCGTCATCGCCTTCTATAACATAGGCGAAGGCGGTCCATGACTCTGGAATGGTCTGGTTGATTTGACCTCTTGGCTGGAGAGTAACGTCAAGGAACATGATCGGTGTTTTTGTGTAGAAAGGAGACTGGACTCCCATTGATTCTCCGGCTATGACTTTGACCTCTACTCCTTCTTCCTCTGCTCTCGGAATCTCTGAAATCGATATTTCTAGGCTTTTTGGGTCGATCCTGTCGGAAAATAAAAGAACGCAGATGTTAAAAACGATGAGAAAGCTGGGAAGAAAAGTAGAATCTTGATGAAAAATCGTCTTTTACATTTTGTCATCTGAAGGGAGGTTGATCCAAAGCTGTAAGCCACTGTTGATTTCTTTTTCAGGCATTTCAGAATGAATGATGCCTCTTCCCGCTGTCATCCACTGTAATATATAAAAAGAATCTCTGAATAAGCTCCGGGATTTAGGGTTTATTTTCTAGGTTTTATGTTTTTTTTTTTAACCTGAACATCTCCTTCATGGATTGTACCACTATGACCATTGAAGTCCTGGTGAATGATGCCTCCCTGAACAAGTTAAAACGATTTGAGTAAGCAAAAAGAAGAAGTTGTTATTATTGATTAGAGTCATCGATGAAGAGTAGACTTGTCTCTTACCTGCAACATGTATGTAACACTTTCAAAACCTGCACAGAGTTGATCGATTACATGAGAGACATTACGGATAATGGTAGTCTTTGTGTACATGTAAAAGAATGAATTAGCTGATTTGACCTCTGTGAGGATGATCTCGGAATCCGCCTGGAGGTGAAACTGGTCAAGAAACAGAGCAAAACAGCTTAAGATTGATCCTATAATAGGTAAACACCAAAACCACAATCTTAATTTTACACATTGGGGAAGGAAGTGAACAAACTTTACCGGAAAATTCAACCAACGACACGAACGGGTCCAATAACTCATGGTCACTCCTGAATTAACCCAAAGAGAACAAACATATATGAAACTTGAGGGTGAAGCCATTGGATTTTCCTGAGAAATTTAGGGCAAAAAAAAAAAGAACAACATGAAACTCACTTGGTGATGCCTTGTCTGATGACAGCACCATCACTTTCACTCTCGAAATTTGCAAGTATCTTCTTAATGACCTGTCTCGATGACATATTGATGATGATAAAATTCTGCTATCTCTGTTCTCTTTAGTCAAAGATCGATAATACCAAAAATGCAGGGTATCGACTAAAAATTGGGTTCATATGATCGATCTTATTGGCGTAAATCGTAACAGCCAAAACAAATAAAAAGGAAATAAATCCAGAATTTTAGGAAAATTGAATGCTCCTATACGATTCTCGTTTCCATAGTTGTTTGTAATAAAATCAGAATTCACGCGTCCCGCCACAACTCATTTCCTTAAAAACCCTAACTTCCTTTTCTACTTCCCCTCTTAGAATCATGAATCCATGATTAACCTCTGAATCCGTATGTCCCAAGTTTGTCACATTTTGCTGATTTGGATGGATTCTTCCCTGAAACCGTAAGTGAGTCCCCTCATTTCTTGTTTTGATCATTGTGATTCTGTAGGTTCTTTGTTTAAAGAATAAGACTTTGAAACTGGTTTTGCAATTGAGACCACTCTTTCCAAATCATGTCATGTTTTTCTTTTCTTTTCAGGTTTAACTATTGAGATCTGTCACTATATATTCGAATAAGATGGATATTGGTCCCAAAGATTTAATCAGCAAGCTACCAGAAGCTCTGATTTTCCACATATTGTCATTCCTTCCCATAGAAGACTCTGCTTTGACTTCGCTTCTCTCGAAAAAGTGGCGTTATCTGTTTGCTTACAGACCAAACCTTGATTTCGATGGCTCCGTAATACATTTTCATCCTGAAACGTGTGACAGAGAAAGAGATCAGATTCTGAGTGTTTTTACGGGTTTCGTGGATCGAGTATTGGATTTGCAAGGGAACTCTGCTGTAAACAACTTCTCTCTAAAGTGTGGACATGGTGTTGATCCAGGTTATGTCACACAATGGATACTAAACGTGTTGGAACGTGGGGTATCGGAACTTGACCTACACGTTACTCTGGATGGGGGTTGTCTGCCTTCAAATGTCTTTGTGAGCAAATCACTGGTGAGTCTGAGAATAGAATCTCGAAATGTCTATGGCATTGCTTTTGAGGATGTTCTTCTTCCAAAGCTTAAGACTCTCTGCATCAACAAAGTTATGCTAGGAAAAGCTGATGATTGCTTTGACAAGCTCACTTCTGGTTGTCATGTCCTTGAGGAACTAGTTCTGATCAATGTCTACTCTGATATTTGGAACCGCTCTGTGTCTTCCAAAACCCTCAAGAGACTGACGCTACCTTGTATCGACTATGATAAAAATCCGGATAGTGTTTCATTTGATGCTCCAAATGTTGTCTACTTGGACTACGCTGACTATGTTGCGGGCAAGTATCCAAAAGTGAACTTTGGATCGCTAGTTGAAGCTAGAATCGATCTTGCAATGACAAGTGATCAGTGTGCACATGCAAGCTATGGACATTTGGTCGGCAATGCAACAGACTTTCTCAAGGGAATATGCATTGTCCAGATTCTTTACTTATCTGCCAAGACTCTTGAGGTATATATTAGCGTAACATTGCTTAATAATCTTTATTTGAGTTATCGATTGCATATGGATGAAACATGAATGATGATATGGTTGATTTGGTTTTTGTTTCAGGTTCTTACTTTCTGCTGTGAGCCAGTACATGTATTCATCAACATGACTCATTTAACTGTTCCTCTATAGACTTGACCAAAACCTCCTCTTCCAAGAAGCTGTTTCTCCTTAAAACCCTTCGCTGCATTGAAAAGCTCCTTATAAGCAAACCTGTGAGGTCTAAAGACAAGGTTATGCTCTCGTTCTGCTTCATACAAGATCTTTTCGATGCTACTAGGTTGTCTGAAGATTGGAAGGAATGAATTGGTTTCTCCATTTCTTAACTTGTTTCCTAAACCTTTCTTCTTCTTTTCTTTGGTACTCTTACTCTCCGGTTTTATCTTTTCAAAAACACCAAAAGCATACACACTACAATCATCAATTCATCATTTCAGTTTATGAAAGCAAAATGTTTTATGTATTTTAAACTTTCTTACGTTCTTGTTTAGCTGCTTCCACTTTAGTAAAGACTTAAAACTCTAAAGGAGAAAAGACTTTGAACACACAATTATAGGTCTGTAGAAGCTTTCTGCAAAAGGAAAAAAGACTTTCAGTAATAAGCCTTCTTGGCCTTGTTGGAGATCTTTAAGGCATGTAGTGTTGGCTTTGCAGTTTGTGCGTCCCTAAGTGAAGCTTGCTGAAATCATCAAAGAGAAGATGTTTGTAATGAGACACATAATGAGAACATAGTTTAAAATCAAAAGAGAAATAATGAGAACATAGTTTGTAATGAGAACACATAATGAGAACAATGTATTACCTCGTTAAGAAGAACCTGGACATTGTGTCTTATTGCAGCAAGTCGGCGTTGATGTGTCTCTCTGATCAAGTTAAGCCGAGGAAGCTCTGTACAGAGACGATTAAACATCATTCTATTTTCAAGATATTCGTTAATGGCTAACAAGAAAGCAAGAGGAAGTAAAGGCAAAAAAAAACACCTGCAGCATTGTTATCTGCCCTCTCTATGTTTCCGACTGCTTCAACAACACGTCTAATTTACATAACCACTCACTTGCAGCAAGTCGGCGTTGATGTGTCTCTCTGATCAAGTTAATGCTTTAGAAAACTGTTAAAAAAAAACCACTCACTTGTTCAAGAGTAGGCTTCCGCAAATTCGCATAATAGTCAACCATTTTGTCGTACTCCTTCTGCATTAGCAATTGCATTTCTGCTAAAGAAGTTTAATTTACACGAAAGGATAACTAACGTTAGTAGAGAGTTCCAAATTCAATCAATGAGACAATAGTTACAAATAAGTAAAAGATTTAGTCTTACTGGATGAGCCGGATGCTCTAACTTCCTCCAACGCCCTGGCAAAAACTTCGAGGATCTCCTTCTCATGTTTTTCAAAGGCACCATCCACCTGACAGCAACGTAATGGGAACATTCAATCACTAACGGGGACTTATCTGATTGTAGTAAGCTCTTTCATAAGATACAACACTCTTGTCAAAAATACATGAAACAGATAATCATCATACCCTCTTTACGAGTTTGTGTTGGGCTTACCCCTTAAATTAAAAAGAAACTTTTTTTTGTTTGTTTGATAAAGGTTGTGTGCATTTCAGGATACAAACAGAAAGACTCTATATATAAAACATGCATGTAACCATGCGCATCATCATTCAAATTAATGGATCAAATATTAGTTTCCTAGATAAACAAAATAAATTGATGATTCATAATATACCAGATAAATATGAGGATTGCTTTCTGTATCAAATGGTTTATTATATTTGATATGTTGTAAATATATAATGAAAATAAAACAAATTTGTTGGAACCACAAAAATATCAAATAGAGTCAGATTACAGCATTCAAGATAATTATATTTGTTGAAAGTTATTACTATTAATCTAGATAGATGAGTGAACACTTTTTTTTCATTTTGGCATGATTAATAGGTGTATGGTAACTACAAATGACTAACTACAAATAAGATGTGCAATATTAGGTCATCTCCATTGGTAACAAATTTCAAGTGATTATCTAAACAATATTATATTACTATTTTCGTTTTATTTATTTATAAAATTAAATTTTGGTTATAAAAAGAAAATTGAACCAATCATCGATAAACAAGTGTCATTAATTTGCCATCAAAGAGTAAGATACGGTTCTAACTTCTTTTTCATATTTTTTTATTTATTCTAATATTTAATACTTAAGATACTTTTTAAGAAATTCTCGATGGAGTTGCTCTTATTTTATAAAAACAAATTACTTTTCATGCTTGTCAAAGAATTACAATTTACAAGCGTAGAGGTAGTTATAAAAACAAATTACTAACATTTCAGTAGAGCCCATCATTTCCATTTATAAAAGGTAGTTGTATAAAAATAAATGTTTTTATGCCAGTTGAAAGAAATTTTAAATTTAGTAGGTAAAAAAGTATTTTAACTTGAATTAAGCTTCTGCTGAGTGCTCACCATAAGCTTGAATTAAACTTGAGTCTACTTATCTATATATTCAAATGGAGTACTGTCCCAGGTAAAGGCTTTAAATGTTATTTCTATGTTCCTTAGTGTCATATATTCTACTCAGTCACATAGTGTAGTGGTCCAAGCAAACGTAGGCAGATTAAATTGTGTTAGAATGTTTGAAATTTGCGGATCAGTACACATTCATCTTTAATCTGTAATGTATCCTGTCTTTACTTTTCTTACTGATTTTGTTCATGTTATGTTTAAGGACTCTCCGCCAGGTTTTTGGATCATATAATCACTTCGACAAAGATTTTGCATGGCATTTAAATCGCCAAATTGTGGAAGGATTAGCTCACATCCATGGACAAGGAATAATTCACAGGGATTTTACACCTAACAATATTTTCTTTGACGCCCGGAACGATGTCAAAATTGGGGATTTTGGTATTGGTAATGATTACTTACTTAGTGCTTTTGTTTCCTATGATGTCTTCCTTGCCATACTGCAATTTTCAGGTGATAGTGGACATCACGACCCACATCTTTCACCGCGGATCTTGTGACATTCATTTGAATCATGGAGATTTGCTGGATGCTATTTGGTCCTGGGCAGGAATTAAGGCAGAGCATAGGCGAAAGGTTGCAGAGGTATGGTTATTGTTTAGTTCAAGGATATGGTGTCATTGTATCAATGCTCTTTTATCCATTTCTTATTCCTGTTTTCGAATTGAAGCTTCTTTCCATGATGGGATCCTTGCGTCCTCAGTCATCTGAGCGGAAGCTAAAATGGGTTTTCATAAGGCGTCAACTTCTTCAGGTTTGAGGCTATACAATAACCTTTTCATGTAACATGTCACATATCACATATCAAATACTGTAGCTATCTCTGTCTTACTTGGGTAATCTCCTGCTTATCAGGAGTTGAAGTTACCTGAAGCTGTTGTCAATAGGCTGCAGACTGTTGCTTCAAGGTTTTGTGGAGCTGCAGATCAAGCACTTCCTCGTTTAAGGGGGGCTCTTCGTGCTGGTACGATCTAACCTTCGCTATCTCCCCAAAACCGTGTACGAGATTATCATTGGTCTCACTTTGCTGCAGATCGACCTACACGCAAGGCACTTGATGAGTTGTCAAACCTCTTAACCTACTTGAGAGTCTGGAGAATAGAAGAGCATGTTCACATTGATCCTCTGATGCCACCTACTGAAAGTTATCACCGAAATTTGTTTTTTTCAGGTTCAAGTGAATGTTGCTTTTTTTGGTCTTTCGTAGGCTTTTGGATGGTTTCTTAGCGTAATAGATCGTTGTGTATAATGATTGATATCCCTACTCTGGTATCAGGAGAAGTGATGGGTTCATAATTAATAGATAATTAGTTAATGTTAGCTTGTTAATTGATTCCGTCTCATATTATATGAGCAAAACTCTGTTTATTAGTAAGAGAGACTTAGTGAACACGTTTGTAATTTGGTACATGCAATTTAGAATTCTTTTTAATTGCTGCTAACTCCCGAAGTAATACAATGTTTTTTCAGGTTTTCTTAACCAAAGAAAACAGCACTGGGACATCTGTTGATGGCGTTTTACTTGCTGTTGGTGGTCGTTATGATTATTTGGTTCATCAAGTCTGTGATCGTGAGTATGTAAGTTCTTTCTACATACATTCATCTTGCATGAAGAGAAAGTTAGGATATCTCGCATTTTCATTATGATTACCAATGCAAAGAAGATACTGAAGGTTTATTGACAGGTTATTTTTCTTTCTGTTATTGCATCCAGAAAATGAATCTCAGCATCTTCCTGTGGATCTAAGGCCTATTAGGTGCGTTGTTACTTTCTGCATCTATTATCATGATCTAAAATGCAAACACCTGCCGAACATGAAATCAAGTGCCTAGTGATTATCACCGAGTCTGGGGTGACTCAAAATCAGATAGAGTTTGTAAAGGTAATAAAATACCACATGTGATCAAGTCTTAGTCAAAATTCTGCTATGATCTACTTAGGAAAAAACTGTGCGTTTTGCAGGGTTCGGCACCTTGAATTGAAGAGGGAGAAAGTGGTACAAAGAGAAGAACTTGTCAGATTTCTGTTGGCTGCAATGGCTGTTCAGTTTAGAAACCCCTATGTTTGGAGCTAAAGAGAGTAAGGAAGAGAGCACATCTTGTTTCCACCTTTTACGTGCGTCTTACGTCAATATATAAAATACAGTATACATATATGTATTGATTGGTGTCGGCTGGTTATATTCATTTACGTACACGAGCCCAACCTCTCTTCAATTCGGTACTACGCAAACTTTGGTCATTATGAATGAAACAAATTGTTTACTTTCTTAAAAAGGTAAAAAAAAAGATTAATAGTTTATTAGATATATAAAAACAACTTAGCTCTGCGCACAACAAAGTAAAATAAAAACAACTTAACACTAAAAGGAGAAACAAAATAGCCTTGTCTTTTTTGTGGTGAAATCTCCATTCCGCAATGCTTCAACCTCTGTTTTTTTAAGTCTTTCGAACAAAGCCAACTGTTTCACAAAATGGCAATAATAATAGTAGTAAATAATCGAGTTCTTATAGTAAAATGCTTTAGAAAACTGAAGTACGGAAAAAACTCACTTCTTCAACAACAGGTTGCCGCAAATTCGCCAAGTTGTTGGCCGAGTTGTCATACAACTCCTTCCTTTGCAAATATGCTAAAGCAATTTAATTTACACGAATGATATAGTATTATTAGTAGAGTTCAAATCAAACAATATGATCATAAGTAAAAGATTTGGTCCTACTCGATGCGTATTCCCCGCCGAAGTCGCTTGCGTTCTTCAACTCTCTGGCAGCATTTTCCAGGTCCTCCTTCTCATATTTTAAAACCATCTCATTCACCTGACAGGAACATTCGATCACAATATACCACATACTTTTGCTGGATTCAGCCAAATTAGTAAGCTCTTTTAAATTTTTGAGACAGAGAATCATACCTCGTTTAGCTCATCTATTACTCGTTGCAAAACATGAATCTTCTTCTTCTGACGCCTCTCGGCGAGCCAATTCCCCATCCTAGTACCGGCTGCTGTTACACCCATTCTGATCTCCTTACCAAATTCCAAACAATCAAACTTATTATAACTTTGAGCCAACAAATATTATAGGGTTTTCAGATTCCCGGCTAATCTAAATCTAAGGAGAGTTTCTACAAAAGAAATTAGGGTTTATACATTCCTAAAGTAATTCGAGATGCACACACACAAACCTGACGGATTAGAAAGCAATATGGACTTCCTGACTCTAGGATCTGACGACCTTGCTTGTTGGACACGATTAATCGTGCCGAGAGGAAAGAAGAACCCTTGCATTATATAAAGTTCCAACTCTAATTATTTACTAAAATGTAAAATCCAAAAAAAAAAAAAAAATAGAAACTACCAATCGGAAAATGTAAACTATATGTAAAAATTCTATAAATTAATAATGTCAATATTATAATATTCTATTGCAAACTATATGTAAATTAATAGAAACTACAAAATCAGAAAATGTAAACGTATATGTAAAAATTCTATAAATAAATAATGTCAATATTATAATATTATATTAATTATCAAAATATTGCATCACTATTTTTTTTTAGAATCATTTTCCTAAGTGATGTAAAATTCATTTGCATCAATTATAAGTAATGCAAATTTATAAAATAAATGATATCGTTTTCTCTTTTTTTTTGTAGTTTAAGCTATTGATATTCGAGAAATAAATATATAAGGATAATTTTTGAAATAACCCACTTAACAATTTTATTATAGGACGTGTCTACTAGTTTGCTATTAGTCTGCAAATAATTTGTAATTAATCTACCATTAGCCTATATCAGTAGTCTACATTCGATTATTTGACCAAACAGTCCGTCAGTAGTAGCCTTAGACATTCGGGTCGGATCGGGTCGGATCGGGTTTTTCGGGTTTCGGGTAGTTCAAGTAGGTAGGTATAGGACTGATTTCGGACCCGGTGAAATATCGGATCGGGTCGGGTCTTATAAAAAAAGAAAAACCCCGACAAAGACCCAAAAATTAGTGGGCTTCACCTGAAAGATCCGAATAGATCCAATAAACCCAAAAAATCTATTTTTTATTTAATATTTTTGGGACTTTTGGGCTTTTGCAAAACAACTAAACTACAAAAAAAACCAACAAATTTTAACCAAAATTACAATTGAGCCCGATTTAAAAAAACAATTGAACTAACAATAACAATAGATAACCGGTTCTAAACCAGATAAACAAGTAGTCCTAATTTTGCTAAGCCAGAGACGAAGGAGCCGCCGCCGACTGAGATGAGGGAAGTTGCCACTCATACCACCTCAGAAGCAGCCGCGAACATTCTCAGAGACCCTCGAAAAGCATTACCGGAAGGGAAACGCCGATTTGGAAGCAAGATGCATGTGGCTTTGAACATTTCTCTTCCAATATCTATCTCTTAAACATCTTTTCATAAAACCCTAATTTTATCTCTTGGTGTTTTCTTTCCAGATCGGTCGATCATCTCTTGATGTAGGAGAAGGAGAAGAATGCCGTGGAGAAAAGAGAGAAGAAAGAGGTGGAGAAGGACAGATAGCCACCTTGAGTTCTATGAAGATCCACGAAATCAGATCTTATTTGCCACACATTGTCGTTTCTTCCCACAAAAGAGTCTGCTCTCACATCGCTTTTCTCCAAAAAATGGCGCCATCTCTTTGCTTTCGCGCCAAGTCTTGATTTCGATGATTCTGTATGTATGCGTCCTGAATTGGTTAGTCAAGAGACGAATGAGATTCATAGAATCTTTACGGGGTTCGTGGATAGAGTAGTGGGTTTGCGTGGGGACTCTACTATAAATAAGTTCTCTCTCAAGTGACAAAATGGTGTTGATCCAGTTTGTGTCTCTCGTTGGATATCAAACGTGATGGAGCGTAAGGTATCCCATCTTGATTTACGTGTTACTGTGAACTGGGATGATTCTATGCCTGCAAGTATCTTCGTGAGCAAGTCACTGGTTACGCTGAGAATTGAAGCTGGAAATGGTGCCTGCATTGATGTGGAAGATGTTTTTCTTCCGAACCTAAAGAATCTACATCTTGACTGTATTGCGTTTGGAAACGGTGATCATTCCCTCGTCAAGCTTATCTCTGCATGCCATGTCCTTGAGGAACTAGTCCTGATCCATGTAACTTGGGACGGTTATTTGAACCGCTCCGTGTCTTCCAAAACCCTCAAGAGACTAACACTGCGCTGTGAAGACTGTGATCGAAACCCGGATAGTGTTTCATTTGATACGCCAAATTTTGTCTACTTTGAATACGCTGATCATGTTGCGTACAAGTATGAAATTTCGAGTTTCGACTCACTTGTTCAAGCTAGTATCGGTCTTCGATTGACACATGATCAGCGTGCACATGCAAGCTATGGAGATCTTTGGTCGGAAATGCAACAGAGCTTCTTAAGCGGATAAGCAATGTTCAGATCCTTTACTTATTTGCCAACACTCTTGAGGTTTGTGTCTTAACCCCACTCCTGTGGTTTGAATACCCTAGTTTAGTTAGTGGTTACATTGCATGCAAATGAAGTTGGTTTGGTTTTTGTGTCAGGTTCTTACCTTCTGCTGTGAACCAATACCGGTATTCAAAAACCTGATTCATTTAACCGTTAAGACTCACTGGGACATAGGATGGGAATCATCGCCGGCTCTACTCAAGAACTGTCCAAATGTAGAAACCCTCGTCTTCGAAGTACCAACACATATCCTTTCTACTGCATCTAGGCTAGTACAAATTTCCAAACAATATTAGAATTTGAAGTTGTTTCCTCTTATGATTCAGGGACTCCATCACAAAAATACAATCAAATGCGAGGACGTTGACGGGTGCCTATGCAAATCTTCAGAGGAAATTTCTAGTTTCCTATCATCAAGTCCAGTGAAGATTCTAAAGATACTCAAGTTTGGTGAAATTTCAGTTTACAGTGATGACAAGGAGAAGCAGAAGCAGGTGGAGCTGGTTAAGTATTTCCTCGACATAATGCCGAATCTTGAACAAATGATATTGTGCTACAATGCTCGAATTGATGAAGATTTGAAAAGCCGAGTTGAGAGGCTAGTTACTAGGGGATCTTCATCGAAGTGCAATGTCCAACTAATCAGTGATAACATCAGCGAACCAATTTACCCTTACTCCTTTGACGACTAAATGTGAGATTATGCTCCTTCGATCTCAGAGAATATTAGCAAGGCTTTCGTTCCAGTTTTTAGCATGGAATTATATAGTTTGGTCTCTGTTTTGTTTTATGGTACTCTTTCAGCTTCTCAATATGCATTTTCACTTTTTGTGTGTATTATATATACTTCATGTTTTCTCAAGGGTTCCACCAAGTTAATTGACAAAGCTTTTTTACTCTGCGCTTTAGCACAAAATGATACATTTATACTTTGTGTGTGTGTGCTTTATATTACACTTCATCTGATCTCAAGGGTTTACAAGTAACATTTGTCAATTGACAAAGATAACAAGACGTTTCTTAATATACAAGTTACATAGTTTGACCTAATCGTTATTAACATAACACTTAATGACAAAGCCCAATACACGGGCCCAATAACATCTTTAGCAGAAATGATAAAATAACAGAAGCCACATAAGATATGCATTAATTGCATGAACGTAAAGATGAAAATCAAGGAGGAAATTTTTTTTTTTTTTTTTTCCAAGAATCATATTTTCATTAGCAAGAATTTATAAGATCCACATACAAAGCATCTGTTATCCCAGAAGGATGATAGATATAATTGAAATTGTCAACATAAAGGAGGAAAATTAAATCCTCTTTTTTTAACGAAATAGATTGAGTTGTAGTCAAAGTTGTAAATTGCAATCTCGAGTCGAATCAACTTTCCGAAAGAGAGGATTCAAATGGTTTTTGTTTAAAAACTTTTTTCACTGTGACCCTTTCAAACCCTTGGGCATTTCAAACATGTTCAAACCCTTAGCCAACTCAAACCCGTTCGTAGCATTCTGGTAGTCCTCAAAAGCGGTATCGATCTCAGCCTGCGAATTCATCACAAAAGGACCACACTGAACCACAGGCTCACCGATTGGTTCCCCTGCAATCAACAGAAATCTCAATGACCTAGTAGTTGACTTGTTCCACACGCTAACTAAATCCCCTGGTCCAAACACTACAACATGGTGCGCCGATATAGCGGAAGAGTTCGAGGAACCGAACACACCCTCATCGCCTTCTATTATGTAGGCGAACGCGGTCCATGATTCAGGAACGGTCTGGTGGGTTTGAGATCCTGGCTTGAGGGTAAAGTCAAGGAACATGATTGGTGTTGTTGTGTAGAAAGGAGACTTGATTCCCATTGAATCTCCGGCTATGACTTTGACCTTAACTCCGTTTTCTTCTGCTCTTGGGATGTCTAAACTCGATAGTTCTTGATATTTAGGCTCAATCCTGTCGACATCAAAGAAGACAGAGATTCAAAACTGGAATCTTGACAGGTAATAGTGAAGAATTTTATCTCTTTTACATTCTGTGACTGGAAGGGAGGTTGATCCAAAGTTGTAAGCCATTGTTGACTTCTTCTTCCGGAAATTCGGAATGAATGATTCCTTTTCCTGCTGTCATCCACTGTGAAATTAACATCAAAACAGAGTGAAACCAGAAAAATCTGAGAGGATTTGATGTTTCTTTTTGTGTTCTATTGTTTTTGGTTTTCTACCTGAACACCTCCGGCTTGGATTGTACTTTTATGACCTATGGGATCTTTGTGAATAATACCTCCCTGCAGAAATTTGAAGCCATTTCCAAAATCATAAGAATCTTCGAATCAAAGATTCAAGAATCGATTCTATGTAGAAGAGGGAGTCTTTTATCTCACCTGTAGCATGTATGTAACACTTTCAAAACCTGCACAGAGTTGATCCAATTACATAAACATAAGAGACGTTACAGAACAGAGCAGGCTTTGTGTATATATGTGTATATATATATATATATATGCGTGTGTAAGAAGGTATAGGTGATATTGACCTCGGTGAGGATGATCAGGGAATCCAGCTAAAAGCGAAACTGATCAAGAAACAGAGCAAAACAGAACAAATAGATGGCTTGCTTTAGTTTAGATTATTCAATAAATATGCAAATACAGACTTTGGGATGGAAGAGATTTACAGGAAAATTCAACTAGCAACACGAACGGGTCCAATAACTCCTGGTCAATCCTGGATTAACCCCACAAGAAAGAAGGAAAAAATATAAGAGACTTGAAGTTTGAAGCCATTGGATATTCATGAAAATTATTTGAGAAAGAAAAAAGCAAACTCACTCTGTGATGACATTTCTTACAAGAGCCCCTTCGCCTTCTTTCTGAAGCTTTGCTAAAAAATTCTTGATTACCTGTCTCTGTACTCTATTATTGTCGGAAGAAGGAGACATGGTTGATGCTGATGATGATAAACTTTTGTTACTGTATGTTAATGGTTTTTTTCGTTTTCGAATCGATGAAATCTTGTTCGGTTGTTAGTGGAGGAAGTAGTTCTTTGTATTTGGTTTGTGGCGTGTGTGTGAGTGTTATATATATATATAGAGAGAGAGAGCTTAGAGCTAGAGATGCAGAGGATCGACTGAAACTAGAAGTTGTAGGTGAAAGTGAGTGGGTCCCATGGATACGTGGTGTGAACCAACTGTTTTTGTTGCTCAATATTCATGAAATTAGGAGTATACTCGTTTTTTGAAAATGTCGGATTTTTTTTTTTTTTGGTAAGATGAAAATGTCGGATTATCAAAACGTAATTTCACTATTTTTTTTTCACAGTGGTTATTTTCCTAAAAATTAAATTTTGTCAACATTTTATTCAATTAAAATATGTATTCACAAACATTCGACCATTCTATAATTTGACTATATAATTGATACTAATAAAGTACTGCTATTTCTTTTGTTAAATATTATGATGATGATTGACTGGAATTATTTATCTTAAATTAAATACATTAAAATGGTTTGAAGTTTTGAATCATACACGTTAGATCGAATGCTAAAAAATTCATACGGTGAAGAAGTCGAAAGGTATTTGCTTGTATATAAAAATAATAAAATCACGTTGCCCAGCTCTTGTCACTGACCAATCTGATGAGACCAATAATCGAAAGATATTTGCGTTCACACTAGTATAAGGATTCACATGCCACGTGTGTGTTAGAATACATGACACGTGGAAATATTTGCAGATGAATTACTCTTATTCGAGTGTGAATATGAAAATCGTACGCGTGCGGATATGATATAATTATATATATATATATATATATACACATTTCTAAAAATTAAAAGTCCCGAAATTGAAATGAAAAAAAAGAGAGAAATATTTGATCATCCACTAATCCAACGTTATGGCAATATCCCCAGCAGTAACATTCACTTTTTTTTTTTAATTATATTATAAAAATTTCACTTTTCACGTTCTGTTCGCTGATTGGTACATTTTAAGTAGATATCAACTGCTTGTTTTGTTTGCAGACACAAAACAACTTGTTCGCCATCTGCTTATAGACATTTTGTTTTCAAGTCAACAAGTTGACGCCAAATTCCTAAACAATATTGTGCGCGGAGTAAATTATTCATTCACATCTGATTCTTTTTTCCACTCTATTCAATCTCTGTGAAATTAAGTTTTATAATGGTCTAGACCCATGCAAAATGAGATTAAAAAACGTCATGTGTGAAATCTTATCGTATGAGTGTAAAAGTTGAGTACAATATCTAATTTTCTACATATATATATATATAGTTCATAAATCATAGTGTCTTAACTCTTCAAGTGCCGACATTGTTTCGAACAACAATTAAATGTTTTTTCATGGGGTATTCACACTATATCTAAATTTATAAATATAGAAATACTGTATTTCAACCGACTCAAACCTAACTTTTTGATTAATTGAAACGAATAGTGATCATATTTAAAGAAATGCAGTTCGTTGTCATGCTATACTTAAGTAATAAAATTGGCTGCTTAACCAGCTAATAAAGACAAATTTAATATTCTCCATTGTCAATTGTCAGACTCTATAAAATACCAAATAATATTGAATATTATTATACCTCTACATCAATCACATGTTGAAGTTGCTGCATATAAAATATGGTGGATGATTTGATCTCTGCTCGGACTGCCCCATGTATGAACGTCCCCACTTTATTCAAGGGATATAGTTGCGAAACATTATACTTCAAGATATGAATATAGAATATAATAGAATGATTTGAAACATCTTTTGAGTTTGTCCATATTGATCTTGGGACTTCTTGTGGTTGAACAGAAACGAGTATGTTCTAAGTAATACTAACTACAAAGAGATAGAAAACAGAAGAGAAACATGAAATTCCTACATCGACCTTACCTGACCCGTTATTTCAAAAGAACAATATCCCCAATAAAAGATCGGGCCACTTTTATTAAGGAAAAGTAGTGTCTTCTCTATTCTCTAACCCTTTAGAAAAAATAAATTAAATAAATAATAATGTCTTCAAAACATTAAAAGTAAGCAATGAGACCACATATTCACAAACTAAACTAGAGCACACAGCTTTTCTACTTAACATACTGATATTTCTTGATACTTGTTGTGTGAAAAGGTGAGAACAAAAGAAGATTTCACTTTTAGGTGTACTGAATCTAATTTAATGAAAAGTTCCAAAGTCAAAACTTTTAGAAGTTCTTTTGTAGGTGATTCCACCATTTTCTGCAGCTATGTGGTTCTTCTCCCCCACCATTACCCTCTCTATCACACAAACCCATTTTCCCAACAATATAGACGCATGACGCATGCATGCACATATCTATAGGGATCGTGTTCGTGTGCATGTATATGGAGAGGGAGAAGATGTGAACACAGTTTTTATACTGATTTGACTTTATATACCATCTTCTATATATCGAAATGGCCTCTCAAGTGGACCACCATTTCAACATATGTCTCTTGTTTTTTCCCAAGAACACCAATCGCTTGGTTTCTCACCAACTAGTTTCATGATTGACTTTCTTTGTGAGACGGAAACAAAGAGTGTCATTCATTCACACCATTCACAAAATAACTCACTATAAGAAGAATCATATCAAGTGAATCAGCTTGAGAGCAACAGAGATTTTGTTTAGTTTCTCTTCCACCCAATTAAGAACAATATATAAGATACCGCCACCTTTTTGAGAGAAGTGAACATAATTTCTTTCTTTTTATTTGACTTTATATTTTACATCTAAATGGCCCACCATTTCTACAGGTTTCTCTAGCTTTGCCCCAAGAAGACTAAACCCAACATTGTTCGGTTTCTCATGAATTGACTCTTTCTCACAGACGGAAACAGAATGCAGAATGCATCCATCCACACAATTCACAGAATGCAGCATCACAAAAAGAATTCAATAAATTGAATGTACAGCTTGAGAGCAAGAGAAGTTTTGATAGCTTCTTCTCCACTCAATTAAATATAATAATAAAATAACAATGACTTCTATTGCAAGTTAGGTCTCATATTTAGTTTATTCTCCACTCAACATTTAACACAACCGAAGAAACAAAACATTAAACTCAACCTCCACCAAAAAAAAAATAATCATAAACAGACAAGGATGCCAAGCAGAAAAGTATATGCAAATAACATAAACAAGACAAGGATGCTAAGCAGCGAAGTATACAGACAGCATAAACAAAACAGAATCTTCATTTGAGTTTTCAGATAATCTAGTGACTACAAATACTTGTAACCACACGAGTCATATCCACAGCTTCCGAAAGGTACAAAAATAGGCATGACTGTATGAGTGATTCCCAAAGGAGTTGAGAGACGATAAAGGTTCTTTTAGAGGAGCAGTCCAAATCTCATCGATAAGGAAATGGGTTAAGTGGATGATGATAAGGTGAGGTTGTTAGAGATTACTTGGACCTTGCACTTGAGTGAAGCTACTGCAGGAATCATCTGAAGTTGGCTTGATACTTCAACCAGATTATCATCAATTGATGTATTGTAGTATATTATGAGTTGTTCAAGATTCGGCATTTTCTCCAAGAAATGCTTGATCTGCTCCATTTCCACATCCTTGTTATTACCGTTTTCTCCAAATTTCAATATCTTCAGAAACTTCACCGGACATGATGATAGTGAAGAAGGAGTTTTCTCCAAACCTTGGCACAAGCACATATCCCCACATCTATCTGAAGCTTTGTGGAGGAGCCCCTAAAGCATAAATTAAGAAACATCTCAAGCTTTGATGTAAAATGAATGAGTCAGCGGATTCTTTCTCATGGGTCTGATTTGCTTACTTGGAAGACAAGTACTTCAAGATTTGGACAATTCTTGAGAAGATCGGGAAATGATTCCCATCCAACTTCCAGATTACTCTCAATACTTAGATAAGTTAAGTTGTTGAACATCGGTATGGCTTCACAGCAAAAACTAAGTGTCTAAAAAAAAAATCAACAAGATTATCACTAATTTCCAGTCACTAATTAACTAAAACCCTAAAGTAATGTTAGATTTACATACCTCAAGAGTGTTGTCAGATAAGTGTAGGGTCTTAACATTGCATATTCCCATAAGAAGATCTGTTGCGTTACTAACCTTCTCTGTTTCCTCATCACCATCTGATCTATATATTGCATTTGCTCTCTGGTCAACCGTCATACGAATAGCAATATGAGCTTCAACCACTGAATCAAAGTTCACTTTTGGGTACTTGTCCGCTATAGTATCAGAATATTCAAAGTAGACAACATTTGGAGTATCAAATGAAACGCTATTGGAAGTTTCATCATACTCATCAAAACACAGTGATAGTCTCTTGATGGTTTTTGAAGACACAGAGCAATAATCCCAAGAATCCCAGGCCAGATTACGCAGAATCAGTTCCTCAAGCAAGGGACAACACGAAATAAGCTCCGCGAACTCACTCTCAATCTCATCTCCTTCAAACACAACCGAGTCCAAACAGAGAGTCTTAAGCTTCGGAAGATCAACATTTCTCAGTTTTATTCCGAGACTATGTTCAGTTGCTATCTTCAGCCTAACCAGTGTCTTGCTCTCAAAGACATTTGAAGGCAACAGATAATCCACTTGAGGAGAGAGGTGTAGAGAAAGATCTGATACACCACGTCTCAACACATTTGATATCCAAGGGAAGACGTTATCTCTCTCAACACCAACTCCACATTTCAGAGAGAACTTGTTAACCTGGTCTCTCCCTCCCAGTTTCAGTACTCTATCCACAAAGCTTATGAAACTCGTCGGGTCCAGCATCATAACTTCAGGGTGCAGAGAGGATAAGTCATCAAAATCAAGATTTGGTACAAGAGCAAACAGATAACGCCACCTTTTTGAGAGAAGTGATGTCAGAGCAGCTTCTTTCGTAGACAGGTTGGACAAGATTTGGCAAAGGAGATTGTCTGGTAAGCTATTGATTACATCTTTAACACAATCATCCATGTTTCTGTGAGACAGATCAGCACTTACAAGCCTGAACAGTATTATCCAACATGAGATTTTAAGATATTGAACTCAAAATACATGACCTGTTTCAAGATCTTTTCCCTTACACAATCGTCAGGTTCGTTTAGGATTCATGAGGAGAAAAACATGAACCACAAAAGAAAAACCAGATCCTATAATACACACATGATCAGAAGCAGAGAATCAGAGAGATTAGAAAATTTACTTGCTTTGGCTGTAAAAGCAGAGCCAATCCAAATCACTTTACAACTTCAAACAGACGGTGAGGGCTCATTAGGGTAGTGGAAGAGGAATACTAGGATTTTTATGCAAAGTGATGTACCAATTTGATATTAAAAAACGATTTGTAAACATGAAGAAGCAAGCCATGAGATGTTTACATTATTTAGGCAAAAAAATGCATTTTTCACAAACTAAACGACATAACTTGTGTTGCCTTTCCTTAAAGATATTGTTGTTAATAACTGATTCTTGTTTAGAGAAATGAACAAGTCACTTTCAAACATATATATTGACTCTTATCTAATAGAAATTTTCAAAGTTCAAAACTTCTAGAAGCTCTCTGGTTGGTGATCCAACCACTTAACCTATTTCTTTTGTCAGCAAAGATTAAACAAATTGAGAACAAGCCTTTAAAGATGAATGATGAAACCCAAGACGCCATATCTTGTTCTGTAGCTGTATCGACTGGAGATACAAACCAGTTTTATCATACCGATTTGCTCAAACTCACTAAAAACAGAGTAACCACACCTAATTTATATTTGTCATGATATTTACGTGATATGTTTTATTGATTCTTGCTGTGTGAAAAGGTGAATAAAAAAGGATTTCAAATATAGGTCACTGTAATGACACCATTCAGAAAATGCAGTACCACAAGAAGAATTCTATAAAATGAAACGACTTAAGAGCAAAAGAGAATTTCTTTAGTTTCTTCTCTGCTTTAGTAAAGGCTTAAAGACACTAAAACTACATATACTTGTAGCTAACAGACACATCTATAACTTCCAGCTGATAAAAGAGGCATGACCGCATGAGTGATTCCAAGAGGAGTGAAGAAACTTGAGAGGTTCTTCTAGAGGATCATTTCAAACTTCATCGATAAGGAAATGGGCAACGTTATTGATAAGCCGAGGCTATTAGAGATTACTTGGATCTTGCACTTGAATGAAGCTACTTCAGGAAGCAACTGAAGCTGGCCTGATACTTGGACTAGATCATCTTTGATTGATGTACTGTAGTATATTATGAGCTGTTCAAGATTCGGCATTTTCTTCAAGAAATGCTTGATCTTCTTCATCTCCATCTCCATGTCCACATCGTCATCACTGACACAGGCTTCTTCAAAATTCAGTATCGTTAGAAACTTCACAGGACACTGTGTTAGGGAAGAAGGACTTTTCTCTATTCCTTGGCACAAGCATACATCCCCACAACTATATGTAGCTTTGTGAAGGAGTCCCTAAAACATTAAAGGAATACCTCAAACGTCTATATAAACTAAAACAAAGAAACATTAATGTAAAACGAGTTAACAGATTCATTCTCAAGGGTTTGGTTTGTTTACTTGGAAGATGAGACTTTCAAGATTTGGACAATTCTTGAGAAGTTCTGGCAATGAATCCCATCCAACTTCCGGATTACTCTCAATAGTTAGATGAGTCAAGTTGTTGAATACTGGTATCGCTTCACAACAAAAATTAAGTGTCTGAAACAAAAACAAAATCAACAAGATTACAACTCATTTCCAGTCACTAGTTAACTATAAAGGCCTTTAAGTAATGTTAGACTCACATACCTCAAGAGTGTCATAAGATAAGTGAAGGGTCTTCACATTGCATATCCCCATAAGAAGCTCTGTTACGTTACCAACCATCTCTCTTTCCTCATCATCATCCGATGCATATCTCACATTTGCTTTCTGATCACTCGTCATCCGAATACCGATACTAGCTTCAGCCAGCGAATCAAAATTAACATTTGGATACTTGAGCGCAATGTTATCAGAATATTCTAAGCGGACAACATTTGGAGTATGAAATGATACACTCTTTGGATTTCCATCATAGTTTGCACAACATAGGGTTAGTCTCTTGAGGATTTTGGAAGACAGGGAGCAAGAATCCCACGCAAGATTACGCAAACCTAATTCCTCAAGCACAGGACAACCAGCAAGAAGCTTTGCAAACCCAATGTGACCCTCTTCAAACACAACTGAATCTAGATTCAGGGTCTTAAGCTTTGGAAGACAAACATTATTTCTCAGCTTAACTATGGGACCATCTTCAGGTCCTATCTTCAGCCTAACCAGTGTCTTGCTCGCAAAAACCTTCGAAGGCAACCAATAAACCAATGAGGGAGAGACATGTAGAGAAAGATCTGATACACCATGTCTCAACACATTTGATATCCAAGGGAACACGTCTTCATCCTCAAAACCATCTCCACATTTCAGAGAGAACTTGTTAACATGATCGTTCCCTCGTAACTTCAATACTCTATCCACAAAATCTATAAAACTCGTCTTATCTTGGGGATGCAGAGAGGAGAAGTCATCGAAGTCAAGATTTGGTACAAGAGCAAACAGATAACGCCACCTTTTTGAGAGAAGTGATGTCAAAGCAGCTTCCTTTGCAGACAGGTTGGACAAGATTTGACAAAGAAGATTGTCTGGTAAACTGTTGATTACATCTTTGGAACAATCATCCATCTTCTTTTGTGAGACAGATCAGCACTTACAAGCCTGAACAACATACTCAACAGGAGGATTTCAGAAACTGAACTCAAAATACAAAAATACACTGTCTTAAACTAGTTTCAAGGTCTTTTACTTTACACAATCGGAATCTTAAGATTCGGTCAGGATTCATGAGGAACAAAAAATAGATCCCATAGGAACACATGATCAAAAGCAGAGATTTAAAGACTTACCTGCTCAGAGTCTGATTATCAGACGGTGAGTGTTCATTAGAAGAGGAAAGCTAGGACTTTTACGCAACTTCTGGATCTGGAAAAGTGATTTAGCAATTTGGAATTCATATTATTTCCCAACTCCCAAGACTTTAAAATGAATATCATTTGTTCACAAACTAAAAGACATCTGTACTCTGTTTCCGTCCGTTGAAGATTATTGTTAATAATTGATTCTTGTTTAGATAAATGAAAAAGTCACTTTCATACGTATTGACTTCTAATTAATTGAAATTTTTCAATGATTTAATGGAAATTTGATAAATTAAACTTGTACAAGCTCTCAGTCTTTAATGAATTCAACTTCTAAAGAAGAAACCCAGACGCCATTTTTGTTCTGTAGCTGTAGCGAGTTGAGATACAACCCGGTTTAATCATATACCGGTCAAATGCATGAAAAAATCATTAATTTATATTAAAAAACGATATTTTCAGATTGAAGAGAAGCGAGTGAGAGTAAAGAGGAAGTCGGCGAGAGAAGAGGAACAGAGAATCCTAAAGTTTTGTCTATATTTGCATAAAAGGAAACAACAAGTGTTCTTCTCATCAAAACCACAAAAGCCCTAATTTGTTATTTTTACGATTCTTCGAACATTAGTTTTCAATTTGATATGAGTTATCAAGTGAAACAAGGACAAACGTTTCAACACAACCCAAGAACTGAAACGAAGAGTCGGAAACAAGACAGAAACGCAGTTTCAAATAGTACAAGAGCATCAAACAACCAAGATGCTAAACAGAGTACAAATGTTTCAACACAACCCAAAAACTGAAAACAATGAGTCAGAAACAAGACAGAAAAAAAAAGCAGTTTCAAAAAGTACGAGAGCATCAAACAACCAAGATGCTAAACAGAGTACAAACTAGAGAAACAAAAGGAGTCTTGATTGCTTGAGTTTAGATCAAAGCCCGGAAACTTCATCATCTGAAGGAGACGAGCTATATGCTTCTGTTGCAGGAGAAGAGGAATATTCATCATCTGAAGGAGACGAGCTATATGCTTCTGTTGCAGGAGAAGAGGAATATTCATCATCTGAAGGAGACGAGCTATTTGCTTCTGTTGCAGGAGAAGAGGAGTATTCATCATCTGAAGGAGACGAGCAATATGCTTCTGTTGCAGGAGCAGTAAACCATCTCATTGCCAAGGAACAAGGCACAGTAGATGACAAACTAAGATTCTGAGAGATGACGCGGATCAAGCACTTTGGTGAAGCTATTCCATCAATCTTCTGAAGCTTCTTGGACAAACCAAACACAGCAGGGTCATATGACGTATTGTAGTATACTATCAATTGTTCAAGACACGGCATTGTCTCCAAGAAATGCTTCATCTGCTCTATTTCCCTCGGGTCCTCCTCCTCGTAGATTTCAGACATTATTACTTTCAGCACCTTCACCGGAGAAGATGACAGGCAAGAAGGATGCTCCGGAGGGTTACAGCAGCACAAGTTCCCACATCCATTGTTACGTTTGTGGATAAGACCCTGAATAAGCATCAGAGAAAAGGTTTCACACTTGGATTCGTTTTCAGGTGACTGCATAAACAGAAATGCATTTAATGAGGTCTTTTTTTTTAATACCTTAAAAACAAGGGTTTCTAGATTCGGACAATTCATGAGCAGATCGAGCAGTATGTCCCATCCAATCTCCGAGTTACTCTCGATCGTCAGTTGAACCAGGTTGTTAAACACTGGCGTTTCTTTACAGCAAAAAGTAAGTACCTGAAACAACAACAACAACAACAACAACAAATCAACTCCACTTGTGAAGCCATTATTAAACCAATGTTCACACTAAACTGAAACATGGATATTGGAACTGATCAAGGCTGTTTGTTCTCTTCTTAATCTTTCAAAGTATCAATTAAAAAATTTAGGACAGAGATGGGATCGACATACAAACCTCGAGAGTTTCGGCAGATAAATAGAGGATCCGAACATTGCATATCCCCTTAAAAAATTCCGTTGCATCAGCGACCATAGCTCTCTCCTCGATATCTTCCGGTGGATAGCCTTCTTCATCTGAAAAAGTGTTTGCACCTGCACTCTGATTATCTGAGAGTCGAAGGCCGATATGAGCTTCAACAAGCGAGCTGAAAACCACTTTCGGATACTTGCCGGCAATACTGTCGGAATATTCCAGGTACTCAAGGTTTGGAGTATCAAACGAGACGCTCTTTGGATTCTCATCAGTGTCCTCACAGAAAAAAGTTAGCCTCTTAAGGGTTTTGGCATACACAGAGCAAAACGTCCAATTAGCCCACGCGATATTCATCATAAATAGTTCCTCAAGCATGGGACACCCAGAAATAAGCCTTACGAACCCAAAATCTCTATCTTGAAACTCAACGGAATCAATGTCGAGAGTCTTAAGCTTTGGAAGAAACACATCCTTCACATCAACGCCGAAACTGATATCCTCTCCGGGTCCTACTTTCAGCCTAACCAGTGTCTTGCTAACAAAGATCCTGGGAGGCAAGGGACATTCCGTGAGGGTTAGGCCAAGATCTGAAACTCCGCGTCCCAACACATTCTGTATCCAACGAGTGACACGGACTGGATCAGGACAGCGTTTAACACAGTTTAGAGAGAATCTGCTTAGTGGCGCATCCCCTTGCAAAGCCAATACTCTTTCCACAAATTCCACAAAACTTGTACTAGTCTCATCATCATCGTCGATTGCAAAATCAAGATTCGTTACAGACGCAAACAAAAAACGCCACCTTTTAGAGAGAATCGATGTGAAAGCTGCTTTCTTTGTCGGAAGGGAAGACAAGATGAGAGAAATCAGAGGATCTGGCAGACCGCTGATCATATCTCTTGGGACCATATCCATCTTACAACCTAAACAATTACAAGAAGAATGCGAGTTTCAGAACTGTAAAGGTTCCCCTAAGAATTATAAACAGAGACGACAAGAATCAGAAGAATAGATGAAGAAACTCACTTTGGACACATCAAGCTATCGAATATTCACGGCTTCCGAACAACTGGATTCGGCTTTGTGGTGGGGCGAAGCGTGAAAATGAAAATTAGGGTTTTTGTTTTATCGTTGCGGCTAGTGAGAGAGAGATAAGCAATGTGGCGGGATAGGTGACTTGAAATGCTCCACGACAACGATGGGTGTTGAGTGGTCCCCAAATTTCGGTATTTTTTTTTTTTTTTTTTTTTTGTCTTACGATGATATTAAAACATGATACAAAATGAAAGACATAAGAGATATATACATCTATTTCTCGTAATTTCTTAAAGAAATGGAAATCTTAAAAACAGAAACCTAAACATTGGAAATCCTAAATTTTTTCTTAGATTTATGCAATTATTGTAACTAGGTTAATCTACCCAAATCTAATAAAAATTTGTGAAAATAACGCGTACATATTTTTTTATTAATAAACTAACATTTTGGTTCTACACATTTATTTTTTTACACCTTTCAAAATGATTAATGGCAATTGCATGAGATTGTCTCTCTCACACCAACAACAACAATGATCGATTAACATATATACAAAAATTAAAATTTTATAAACTTTCTTAAAAGGTTTTTCAAAAAGATCAAATAAATTTTGTTTTAAATTAATCAGTTTGGGTTCACAAATCATATGAAGGGAGTTAAGGTTTAAATCTTAGAGTTTATGGAGAAAGTTATGGTTTAGAGTTTAGATTTTAAGATTCAAAATTTTGGATTCAGTTTGGTTTATCGATCTTAGAGAATGATTTAGGGTTTAAAATTTTAAGATTTAGAGAAAAAACTAGGGTTTAGGAAAGGATTTAGGTTTATGAAAGACGTTAGAGTTTATATATTAAGATATTAATCAAAGTATAAACGGAAATTAAAATCTTCTATTAACGGTCAAACATGTACAATAATAAAATAAAAGAATTATTTTTTTAATTTATTAATGATTTTTGTGTGAATGTTATCTTTGCATATTTTTCGGTCAAAAGTGTTAATTTTACAAAAACCCTTAAATTTATATATATGTTTATACAATTTTATAATATAAAGTTTATATATTTATGAATTATATTAGTTATTAATTGTAGTATATACAAAAATATTTAATTTACAGTTAAAAGTATATAATATAATATTATATGAAATAAATATATATATTTAAAATTATTAATATTGAATATATATTTTTAGGTCACACTCTACTCGATTTGGCAGGAAAGAAATAGAAGAATGCATGGAGAAAATCATAAGCAAGTTTGCAATCGATTAAGCACTATTAGCTGGGAGATATCCGATTTGAAGAAGGTATGGAAGTTTGGTTCTCAAGACATTAATGTTTTAAGACAAATGGTGTTCTGATTCATTAAAAACAGAGTAGCACCAGTTGTAAAAAAGAGTTGTTTTGGGTTGGAATTAATTTTACATTCATTCAAAAATATATATATATATATATTTTTAGTAAAATGATTAGTTATTGTTTAAAATAGTGTTTGTCTTTAAGAATAATAATTAAAAAAACTAGAATTAGTTAGATAAAAAATGCTTAAAAAATTATAATACTGATATATCAACAAATTTAATTTTCAATATTTCTATTTTAATATATACATAATTAGATCTTTAGTTTTATTTTGTTTTGTTTATGATATTCTCAAACTCAGAGTAGCGTTGAGCATGGGAAGTCACCCATCCCGCCACGTTGCTGTCTTCTTCTCTTTAACAGAAGTGTTAAAAACACTTGTAGCCAATACACATTTATGGTTTCCAAGATGGTAAAGGAGGCGTAAGAGAGATTCAAAAGGAAGCTAAGAAAGCAAAGCACAAAATAACAGAACAGAGACCAACATGCTTGCATGTCATTGCTATTTAAGCCAAAACTAACAACCAAAGCTTTGCTAAACTTCTCTGAGATGGCAGAGTACAATCTTCAGACCGGAAAGGTGGTTTTGATGAAGACGAGTCCATTTTGCAATGACAAAGAGTGCACCGTAGATGAAAAGCGTTATCAGAGATTACTTGAATCTTGCATTTGGTTGAGGCTACTTTTTCAAGCATCTGAAGTGCAGTTGATACTGTACTCACATCATCGTCAAATGGAGTATCATAGTGTAATATCACTTGTTCGAGTGCAACATCATCAAGATACAAGGTCTTAAGCTTTGGAAGAGAAAAATCTCCCACATCAGTGTTGAGGTAATCTATACCTTCTACTCTCAGCCTAACCAATGTCTTGCTCATCAAAACCTTAGAAAGCAGTTGATAATCATAGTCCGGAGAGACGTATAGATCAAGATCTACTATACCAAGCTCCAGCACATTGAATATCCAACCATTGACTCTAGATGGATCGCAACCATTTTCACACCTTAGAGAGAATTTGTTTACCGAAGCATTCCCTTACAAAGCCATTACTCTATCGACAAAAGCATTGAAACTTTGACGCAAATGTAGCCTTTTTCGGCTACTCATTTCAGGATGGTCATAGATGGAGTCGTCAAAATCCAGATTTGGTACTGAAGGCAGCAGAAGCCTCCACCTTTTCGACAGAACTGAAGTCAGAGCAGCATCTTTTGTGGAGAGGAAGGACAAAATGTGACAAACAAGAGCGTCTGGTAGACTGCTGATTAAGTCTTTGGAACCAATATTGATAGGGGGCGAAAGCTGCAGGAAGAAAGGGACGGACTCTGTTTTGCAGTTCAGAAAACAGAGGTTTGAGAATGCTCTTCTCAGCACTCGAAAGCTCTTTATTATAAAACCAAATCAATAATCCAAATCGTCGTTTACAACAACGGAGAAGACAAATAAATAGAAGTTAGGGCGATCAGGTCGCATCTATAAAAGTTATCTCTAAGAAGATTTAAGTTTATCTCGAAAACCTTATCCTAAGTTAAAAGAAAATAAAAGAAAACTCAATTAAAGAAGTTGCTTGTCGAACACGTGAAGGTGAGAGACATCCAACGGTAACGATGCTACATCAAATATCCATCTTTTTTCCAACAGAAGATCAGCAACACACTTGGAAGCTACAACCTAAAAGACAGGAGTTCGAGTAAGTGGTTAGAACTATTGGATTTTCAGAACTCATCTCAAAACACGACATTCTCAAATTGCAAAACAGTTCCAGGTCTTGTCTTTTTACTCTATGGTAAGGTTCCGTTGAGATTCCCAAACCGGAAAAAAAAAAAAAAAAAAAAAAAAACACAGAAAGCTATATACACACAAAAGCAAAATACAATAATCAAGACAAGAAATGGGGAAACTTACTTGGTGCCCATCAAAATCACTCAATGATCGAATTCAGAAGTTTATTTGTGGGAAAATGAAAACTAGGGTTCTTACTCGAGAGTGAGTATAGCATTGTGGTGTGAGTTCCAAATTTCAATGCTGGATTTGTAAGTGTTATACCAAAAGCCACTTTAATTTTAAGAGTTATACCAAAAGCCACTTTAATTTTAAGAGTTATACCACGAGCCACTTTTAATTTACTCATAACTAGTTGATTGGTCCGCACATATGTGCCGGTATGATATTATTAATATATATATTTAATTATAATATTTAAATGTTATTTTTTTTTCAAACATTAGTATGTTATATATATATATTATTTTAATATTTCACAATTTTCTTTCTGAAATCAATGTATTTTAAACTTTTGTATTTTTATAATGTTTGTAATAATATATAATCATAAATAATAATTAAATTTTTATAGTATTTTTTGAATATTTTTATAATATGATTTATTTCTCCTTATACAATTTACAATATACTTTTTTGCGTCTTACATAATATGAATTTGCAAATATATATATAATATATTTTAAATATATATTTTTTCTTGATTTATTGTACATTAAACTGAAATAATTTTTACTATTTTTACTTATTCGTAAGAGCAGATAGACAGGCATACAACCATTTCACTACACTTAGAATAGATAAAAAAATTATAAAATATAAATTGTATAATAATTAAAATAAAAATTAGACCGTAATCAAGCTTAACAAAATACATGCGGACTTTTTAAGTGACTTCAACTAATACATAATTAATATTTATGTTTATACGCGTATTTGTAAAAAAATCCAGATATAGCTCTTATGTGTTAAAAAGTTTTTAAGTGACTTTGTAAAACAAAGTGCAAGAGATTTATTTTTATATACTTCTATTTTTATTTTTTATTCATATTTGTTTCATCTTATTTTAATTTATTATTTCGTTCGATTATTTTTTATTTTATTTATGATCTCAAAATTTTTGATATACAATGAAAATAAAAATATATATATGTGAATATGATATAAAATTTTATTTTTATTTAAAATATGATAAGAGATAAGATGAGATGGCAACATAAGTTATATACATTTTAGAAAACAACAATAAAAAGATGATAAAAGTTGTAGAAAATATATGGTCCTATTAATATTATAAAATAATAATTAGTATATACTTTATTCATTTAGTAAATATTGGTTTGAAAAGAAAAAAGATTTTAAATTACGTTTTTAAAAAAATTCAATAAAAGTTAATTATTTTTTTAACATTCTATTCTTTAAATTATTTTATCATGATTGTATTTTATTTAAAATTGTATTATTTAATAATTTATTTATTTAAAACTTATTTAGATATTATTACTATATTTTATAAATTAATATCTTTCCAAAATAAAATATATCATACTTAAATTATTATTAATATATAGAATTTGTACTATTCTATTGGATATTTAGTATTATTTTTTTGCTTTTATATGAAGTTGAAAAAATTTCGTAGTTATATTTTATGAAATTATGAATATATGTACAAAATTAAAATTTTAATAATTATTATTTTCTGTTAATTTAAATTAGTTAATTTTATTGTTATAAATATAATCTAGTGTTTTTATGTTTTAGTTTTATAATTTCTATAATTTTAATTCAACCAATCAAAATATTTCATTTATTTTATAAAGTTTGACATATCACATTTACATATCATCAATTAAAAACACGAACTTTGACTGTAGTGTTAACAAATCAGTTATTTTCAATAATGTTACTTTTCAAATAATATGTATTAGATTTATACATTTCTGAACGTTTATGCAATTACTAATTGTTTCTGTTACTTAAGCTCCGTAAGTCTCTTTACGCAGAGTGAATATTAAAAGTTCAAACTTGAAACAGTAAGACAAAGACACTAACGGACAAAGACAAAGCAAAATACAAGACAGCTTTTGCTTGGAGTTTAGACCAAAATATACAAAACTTGTAGACCATACTAAAACTAAGAACCAAGGTTTTGTTATCTTCTCTGAGACGACGCAAGATCTTCAAACCGGGAAGGTGTTTTTAAAGAAGGCGAGTCCACTTGTCGATGAGGAAGAGTGCACAGTAGTTGAGAAGCTGATGTTATCAGAGATTACTTGGATCTCGCATTTGGTTGAGGCTACTTTTTCAAGCATCTGAAATGCGGTTGATACTGAACTCAGATCACTGTCAAATGGAGTATCATAGTATAATATCACTTGCTCTAGATTCGGCATCGTCTCCACGAAGTGCTTGATCAGTTCCGTCTGTTTATCCATGTCATTTCTGTAATTAGTGATTTCTCCAAACTTCAATACCTTTAGCATCTTCACTGGACTTGACGACAGCCAAAGAGGAGTGCCATACCAAGGTTTGCACACACACCTGTCCGCACCAGGCTCAAAACATTTGTTTGCGTCTTTGAAACGGTAATCCTCGTCCATACATTGATTTGTATCTCCGTAATGGAGTCCCTGAAATATAATAAAGTAAATGATTTTCTCAGAACTTTTTCAGTGTGCTTGAAATAAAAGGGTGTCAGCTGATGCAGGAAAAGGATATGTGATGATGGTACTTCGAAGACAAGGATTTCGAGATTTGGACAATTCTTGAGTAAATCCGGTAATGCTTCCCATTCCACTTCTTGATCAGTCTGAATTGTTAAATGAATCAAGTTGTTGAAGACTGGTATTGGTCTACAGCAGAAAATAAGGACCTGAAACAAACGAAACAATAATGAAATCATTAACTCGAATGTACCTGATGGAACAAAACAGGTCTCAGTCACAGGTTTAGTTCTTCTTTTACTTACATAGCAATAATAAAAATATGAAGATATAGAAGGGAATCGAAATGCAAACCTCAAGAGTCTCGGACGATAAGTAGAGGATCCTAACATTGCTTATTCCCAAGAGAAAGTCTGCTGCATTCCCGGCCAACTTCTTTGTATAGCCGTAATGACGATTCACCAAATCTCTTGCGCGAAAGACCTGATTAGGTGTCATTCGAATGCCTACGCTAGCTTCAACGAGCGAATCAAAATTCGCTTTTGAATACTTGACCGCAACAATATCGGTATATTCCAAGTAGACAAGATTGGGAGTGTCCAAGGATACATTCTTTGGATTCTCATCAATGTTCTCAGAATAGATTGTTACTCTCTTGAGTGTTGGGTTGGAGACAGAGCAGGGATCCCAATAATCGATCATCACTTTACTCATAACCAACTCTTCAAGCGCGTGACAAGCAGAGATTAGCTTGGCAAATGCAGCACCAGTCTCATCAGCAAACGAAACGTCCTCCATATGCAAAGACTTAAGCTTTGGTAGAAACACATCTTTCACATCAATGGTGAACTCATCTGTGCCTGCTACTTTCAGCGTCACCAGTGTCTTGCTCATCAAGACCTGTGGAGGCAACGGATACTTATATTCCGAAGAGATGTGTAGATCAAGACCTACGACACCACGCTCCAACACCTTGAGTACCCAGCCATTGACACGAGATGGATTAGAACCAATTTTGCACCTTAGAGAGAATTTGTTCAACGGAGCATTCCCTTGCAGAGCCATTACTCTGTCCACAAAAAGCTTAAAGCTTTTACGCAAATGTTGCCTTCTTCGTCTACCCATTTTAGGTTGGTCATAGATGGAGTTATCCAAATCAAGATTTGATACAAAAGCCATCATATGCCTCCACCTTGTCGACAGAACTGAAGTCAAAGCAGCATCCTTTGTGGAGAGGAAGGACAAAATGTGGCAAAGAAGAGCGTCTGGTAGGCCGCTGATGAAATCTCTGGAGCCAGTATCCATCTTTTTCGAATTCATTGAGACAAATCAAGAAATTCGAACCGAGGGAATTTATGAAGCTAAACTAAAAACACAGCAAATACGATCTTCTCATTGGCGAACCAATTTCAAGGGTTTTGTGTTCCAAAAAAAAAAAAACGGAGAGGTTTCAATTAAGATGATACACAGGGGCAAGGATCAAACAGGAACCCACAAACGCAGATTGCTGGAGAAAAAATTAAAGCAGACACTACAAAAAGCACAGAAGAAGAAGAAGAAGAAATTGGGAGCTTACTCGTGTATTAGAGCAGGACCCATAAAACCACACAAAATCTTAGCACTTGCAGAAGTCAGATTCAGAGATTAATTGCGAGAGGAACGTAGAAGATGAAATTAGGGTTTATGCAGTGGTTGCCGAGAGTGAGGTAGTGATGTTAATGTTATATTATGTACAGAGACCATTTTCTAGTTTTGGACCTTTTTGGCTATTCTTTCAATCTTTTTTTGTAAAAATGCAAACTTTAGGCCAGAGCTTATCTGTTTCATCTGCATTGGCTGATTTCTCTTTGGTCTTAGCAACAAAATGAATGATCCAATAACCGCAAAAAAAACCACTTTATTTGATCTATGCAATAGTGATATTCTTCAACAGCACAAACCTTTCATAATTTATATGGTCAATAGACTCAATACAGTCTCCATTAAGAATCGAGATCCAGTCAGTTTGCTTGTAGTTGAAGGGACAAATTTCTTTTTTGCGGAGTAACAACTATGACAAGTTCGTTAGGTCTCACTTTTACATTATTTCACCCAAGAATAGTTATAACACATAACAAGCATCATCAATTCATAAGAACTGAAACAAACAAAACATCAAGTTACCACTGTCTCGGCCAAAAGGTCAGAAAGCCTATAAAACACACATGTTGTTCAGCTATGATGACGAACAAAAAAAGAAGGCCGAGAAACAAGAAGATCTAGCTTAGAGTTTAGATCATTTTAGCAATTATACAAAACATGAAGCCGAGACACATCCATGACTTTAAGATGGTAAAAGAGCCATGTGTGATTCAAAAAAAAAAACGACCTGAGAAACTTTTTCTAGAGAAGAGAAGCCCATTTAGTTGAGGTGATCGGAAATTAGTTGGACATTGCACTTTGACGAAGCAACTCTAGGAAGCCTCTGAAGTAGGGTCGACACTTGAACCACATACTCATCGAATGATGCACCGTAGTATAACATCAGCTGCTCAAGATTCGGCATCGTCTCTACAAAGTGCTCCACTTGCTCTATCTGCTTCTCTCTCTGGTCATCATCGCCATAGATTTCACCAAACTTCATTATCTTCAGCACTTTCACCGGACTTGACGATAAGCAAGTAGGAATGTCCTCCTCTTCCTCCCTTTTGCACAAGCACACGTCTCCGCATTTATCTGTGGCTTTATGGACGAGTCCTTGAAACATAGGAGAAACATCTCAAACTTTGAAAGAACAAAAAATGGATCAGGCATATTATGCTTTATAAAAGGGATATTGTATCATACTTGCAAGACCAGAGTTTTCAAATTTGGGGTGTTCTTGAGCAGACCCGGCAATGATTGCCATCCTACTTTCGGGTTGCTCTCGATAGTTAACTGAGTCAGGTTGTTGAATAGCGGCATTGCTTCACAACAGTAAGTAAGTACCTGAAACAAAACCATATCAACAAGAACATGCATCATCGCTCATTTGCAAGTCATTTAACTCAGACCCTTAAGGTTACAGATTGTTTGTCGTATTTTGATTTCAAGAGAGAGACAAGAGTAATGATGTACAAACCTCAAGAGTGTGTGCAGAGAGAGAAAGGGTCGTCACATTGCTTATCCCCATGATGAAAGTCGTTGCGTTACCGACCATATCGTCCTCACCTTCAGAGTAGTGAATCTCTAAATCTGAAAAACTAGCCTCCTGTAAAAACTGTGCCTTTCTTGCTTGCTCTTCTGACATCCGAAGACAGATACGGGCTTCAACAAGAGAACCGAAGTTCACTTTCGGATACCTGTCCGCAATAGTGTCAGTAAATTCCAAGTAGACAAGATTTGGAGTATTCAAGGAGACACTCTTTGGATTCTCATCACGCTCTTCCCAGCAAAAAGTCAGTCTCTTGAGAGACATGACAGAGACTGAGGAAAAATCCCACAAGCACCAACATATACGATCCAGAACTAAATCCTCAAGCGTGTGACATCCAGAAAGAAGCTTGGCAAGCCCGATACCTTGCTTTTCAAAATGGACTTCCTCAAGATAGAGAGCCTTAAGCTTTGGAAGATATACACCTTCAAGTTCAATGGTAGGGCCATATCCTAAATTTAGTTTCAGACTAACCAGTGTCTCGCTCAAGAAGACCTTTGCAGGGAGCAGAGACTCCGATTCCAGACCCATCTGTAGATTAAGATCCGATACACCACGCTCCAACACATTGAGGATCCAACGGATGACACGGACTGGATCAACTGGATCATCGCCATCTTTTATCTTTAGAGAAAACTTGTCTACATGAGAGTTGCCTCGCAAAGCCAACACACTGTCCACGAAACCCATAAAACTTGCAGAGACATTCTCCCTTCTCTGATGATTCAGAAGGTCGGAGGCATCGAAATCAAGATTAGAGACAAAGGCAAAGCGATACCGCCATTTGCTGGAGAGAACCGATGTAGAAGCAGCTTCTTTTGTGGTAAGGAAGGACAAGATGTGGCAGGTAAGGGCTTCTGGTAAACCGTTGATTACATCTCTTGAACCGTTGATTTGAAAAGAAAAACATATCAAGCCTATAGAATTTGTAAAAGGAGGATCTTGCATTTGTCTAAATATATTCAAATCTAAAGATTTTGGGTATAGATTTGAATTTTGGGGATGACATCATTGAAAAGGTGAAAACTATATGTTATTCCTGTTAACACACGTTTACTAGAAATAGTTGCGGAACTATGGCCATGGGAAAATCATTTGTGTTAACATATGAGTCTGAATATCTTCTTAGGCCGAGTTTGTTCCAACGGTATGAATATGCAAACGAAGATGAAAGCAAAACAAGTTAATACCTAAAACGAGAAACAGAATAGCCTTGAGATGGAAACTTCATGCTGCAATTCCTCAATCTGCAATTGTTCAACAAAATGGCAATAATAATAGTCAAATTTTCGAGTATAGTATAATGCTTTAGAAAACTGTTAAAAAAAAAAATAAAGAAACCACTCACTTGTTCAAGAATAGTACTCCTTCTGCATTAGCAATTGCATTTCTGCTAAAGCAGTTTGATCTACACGTAATGGATAAATAAGGTTAGTGGATAAATAAGATTTGGTGTTACTCGGTGAGCCGGATGCTCTAACTTCCTCCAACGCCCTCCAACGCCCTGGCAAAAACTTGGAGGATATCCTTCTCGTGATTTTCAAAGGCACCATCCACCTGTAATGGGAGCATTCAATCACTAACGGGGACTTATCTGATTGTAGTAAGCTCTTTCATAAGAACCCATTCAACCACCTGACATACCCTCTTTAGCGAAGCTAGCATAAACTTCTTCCGAGGCCTATCGGCGAGCCAGTTCCCCAACCTGATACCGGCTGCTAACGAACCCATTCTGATCTCTTCACCTAAACCCAAACAATCACTCGAATTTTATCATAACTTTGAGCCAAACAAGTATATTAGGGTTTCCAGATTCCCGGCTAATCTACATCTAACGAGAGTTTCTACTATAGAAATTAGGGTTTATCAATTCCTAAAGTAATTCGAGATGCAAACCTGACGGATAGACCTCCCGACCGTGCTTCGACACGATTAATCGAGCGCAGAGCAAAAAGGGAGAAGCTTCTTCTTCTTCTTCTTTTTGCGTTTTCCGAAAATTCCATAAAAATACCCAAACTATTTTGTTACCCAAATCAATACTCTAACTACTTATTTTTCCCATTTTGATACATCTACTTTCGAATTGTGCCAATTTGACATTTCCAACTTAACAGGAACATAACGTCTGCTATTTTTTTTTAGTAATAATACAATGTTAATATTTTAATCACAAATAAAAATATATTTCAGAAAATTTAAAAAAAAAAATCTCCAAAATTCAAAATTTACAAATTTTTTTTTAACAATTTCTAAAAACTTTTAAAGACTAATAAAATTGAAGTTTATATAAACAAATAAAGTATTATTTCAATTTTAGATTCCAAAAAGCAAATAAAATTTGAAAATTTTCAAAATTTCTCTAAACAAATAGTTTTATTCCAAAAATTCCTAAAAATCTAAATATTAAGAGAAACTAATAGCTAAATTTCAGATAAAAAAAAATAATTAAAATTAAGTGAGCAAAAAGCCCTAACTTGATTTGGAAGTTAGACATGTATCTGCATACAATCTTTTCCAGTAACAAACACCGGTCACTTTACAGACAATTGTTTATTGGTAGACACGAGACTAAATTCTCTTATTGGTTAGTTTTCAAAGCTTATCATTTCGATAAAGCTATTGCTTATATTCAACTCTCCAAGCTTGATCCAAATATAAAAATGTCGAGACTATACTTATAACTAAGATTTGTCCAAGACTAAAAACAAGAAATTTTGGGAAATTAAAGCTGATACCTTCTTAAACATGACATGACCATGGAGTACTAAGAAGATTTGTACAAAGGGTAAAAATCAGAGATAACAGATTCATTCATATACAGATGACAACGAAAGTCTAAAAACAATCAACTTGGGGAAATTCAAGCAGTCTCCTTCGTGACTTGGATCTCACATTTGGCTGAAGCTTTGGGAAGAAGAAACAGATCCTTCCTGAGACGACATCCTTCTCCACATTCCACTGTTTTCAGAGCAACCCTGACCATTTCAAGACGCGGTAGATTCCCCAAGAAACGCTTCATTTCATTAAATTCTTGAAAAGTTCCTTTATACCCACTGATCTCTAGAACCTTCACTGCGGACGATGACAGAGAGCCAGAAACATCATCCCAAGAAATACGTAGACCACACATACTTTGCCATCCTTCCTTAACATAGTGCACTAGACCCTGAAAAAAAAAGCGTTAGAAAGAATATCATTGTAGATTCGGATATTAGTATATACAACCCTATTTGCATAGTACCTTGATGATGAGAGTTTCCAGGTTTGGAGAGTTGAGGAGCAGAGATGGAAGCATTTTCCAGAAGACGTATGGAGAGCCATGAGGTCTGTTGCTTCCCAGAGATAAACAAATCAAATTGTTGAACAACGGCGTCTTTTCACCGCGGTAATAGAGCGTCTGAAACGCACACACAAAGAATCAACTCTTTTGTATCCAGAAAAAAGAAAAAAAAAAGCTACACATTTCACAAGAAGCAACTCAACAGGGACTGACCTCTAGAGCATCCGGAGTTAAGCAGAGGATCTTGACATTTCTGATTCCCATGAACAAAGCTGTAACATCACCAGGAAGAAAACCGATATTGTCTGGAGCAGTTTTGCGCATGATTTGATTCGCGGTCAAGAGAAGATCAAGCCTAACTTCAACAAGGCTGTCCAAATGCAGGTCTTCATACTTATCCGCGACCACATCCGAATAGTCCAAGTAAACAAGACTCCTAGTATCAAACGAAACAGAGGTTTTAGGAGCAGAGGTCTCGTCATCGCGTCTGTAGACAAGTTTCTTGAGTGTTGGACTTGAAATGGACCCGTTCCAATAGTACCACTTGTTCGATTCACGTATCCGCAGGTTTTGAAGCGAAGGGAAAGCTGACAGAATCGGTTCATACCCAAGCTTAGCATCACTAAACGCAACTGATTCAAGAACGAGTGAGCTAAGCATCGGAGAAACGGAGTCCCAAGGAGCACGAAAACGGATTCTTGTTCCGATCCTGAGGTTTACCAGAGTCTTGCTCGTAAAGAAATTAAACGGCAAAGTAGTGATCCTGTAGTCTGAGCGTAGATTCAGAACCAGTTGCAAGACACCAAGATCCATTATTGTTCGTATCCACCGGATTACGCGATCTAGTTCAACGATATCTCTATGACGATACTTGAGAGAAACCTTCTTGACCAGTGATGAGTTCCTGACTCGCAGAAACAGTAACCTATCCACGAAATCCTCAAAGACCCCATTTTTACGTTGACCCTTTCTGGGATTCAGTAACAAAGAATCGTCCAAGTCGAGAACGGGTAACGATTGAAGCAGATTCGACCATCTCTTTGAGAGAACCGGTGTTAAAGCAGCCTCCTTTGTCGTCAGGAAAGACAGGATGTGGCAGAGGAGATCATCTGGTAAACTGCTGATCACGTCTCTGGAACTTGGATTCGCCTTTTTATTACCCTCCATTCAGAAAACTCCGATCGACAGAACGATCCCACACAAAGGGTTTTACGAGCGAGAAGTAACCAAAGGGAGCCGATTTTGATCCTAAAGACGGCTCCTTTTTAAAGAGGAAGCCGTGAAAGTGAGACTCCTACCTTCCAATGTAATGACCAAAGCTTCAGATTCGTAGAGGTTTGAGGCAAAAGGATGAAATCGGGGTTTGGAACGAGGACGAGAAACCTCAAAAACCCTGAGAATTTGACAAATGGATCCGATCTTTGAAGCGTAATTTCACACAAAGTCTTTGGGTACGAGCGTACAGAGAGTATGTGAGAAAGAGGAATACGATAAATTGCAATCGGGTGGGTGTTAAATCCTTTTGGGCCTTTGGGCTTTATATATTTTATTGATCTTTGACCAAATTAAGTGAGTTGCCAAAACATTGGGAAAAAGGCCATTCAACTTTCAGATTTCAGCCATTCAAAAATATTATTTTTTGTTTAATCTGTTTAAATAATAAACTTTTTTATTGACCAATTTTAAAATCATATATTTACGTTGATTCGGTTATTTTAGATACGAGATTGACTAAACGCTAATGTCTGTTAGTGAATTCAATGTTATACTTAATGGCTAGTCAACATAAAATTATGATTTAAAAGATAATTGATATAAAAGTTTGTAATTTAAATTATTTACGCAAAACTTAATGCTTATAATAGCTGAAATTTAAAAGTTTGGCATTTAAATGAAATATTTTTACTAAATGTTAACTTCTATTTCTAATTAAAAAAATATCTCAAATTTAAGATTATACAATGTGAAAAATTAAGAATCTTAAGGTTTTTGAAATCTGTAATTAATAATAAAACTGATGAAAAAGCAGCTTAAACTTAACATATTGAAATTTTTTGAGATAACACGATCCACTTAACAATGTGATTTTCTAAATTAAACCCAAATAGTTCAAGATGGTAAAGTTACTACAGTTCTCTCTCATAACTTGAAACTCGAATCTCTCATTAAAATTGTGATCATGAGCGATAAATGACCACTGTTCTATTTACTAAACACAAACTAAATTAATTTCTTATTATGATAACGCCAACAAAGTACAACAAATTTTTTTTGTGTGTTTGGCATGAAAAGGAACAAAAAAGTATGAAACTTACACACCACACAAAGCAACTTTTTTTTTAATAATTTAGTTATGTAAATATGAAAGTTATCGTAACAATAGAGACATTAGTCGCATACAATTAGTCGATAGTCTTTCCTAATTTATAAATTACACTCAACTAGTTATTTATTTATCATAATTTCAACTTATGTGTGTAGATTTAAGGTTTCGTAAGATTTGCGTTCTTAGAAAATTCTTAGATATGGTTAAATTGATGTTTTAAGGTTAAACTCAATCTTTTCATTTTTTGTTGTTGTGGTGCAATATAAATTTAATTTATATTTAAATATATATATATATATATTTTAATTATTTTAGATTTACTTGGTTTTGTAGTTATGTAAACTGATTAAATTGAAATTCAGTTAGTAGAAAGAAGAGAAAAATGCCATTTAAATGCCAAATTTATAAGTTTTGCATGGACTATTTAAATCACAAACTTGTATATTAATTATCTTTTATATCATAAATTTATGTTGACTGGACATATTAGACATGGCATTAAATTTACTAACAGACGTTGATCAAACATCGTTTAGTTAATCTGTTAGTGATGTTAACATCGTATCTAAAATGACTTTAAAATCAATCAACAAAGAAATTTATTATAAATGAATCACACAAAAGATGATGATTAAAATGACTAAAATTTAAAATTTCAGCATTTAAATAGTCTTTTTTCAATTTATATTCATATGTTTGCATAATGATGATGTTTGCAAATTTATATTTTACATTTTTTAATGAATGTCAAATTTATTTAATAAAAAAATCTTTGTTATATCAAGTGTTTTATTGTTTTTAGAGTCTGTATTTGGTAATGCTAAATCATGAAAATACTATGATCTGGTCTTTTTTTTCTTCTTCTCCATTCATGAATTTTTTTTTCAAGTTTAGCAATAAACAAAGGGTAAAAAGATCTTTTGCTACTTGACCAACAATATCATCAAAATTTATCAATCGCCTAATAACAAAAACTAAAAAACTATATTTGGAATCAATGTTAAACTAATTTCAGTGCTGTTAATTTTATGTAGAGATTAGAGGACATATAGTTTCAACCAAAATGACATTAAGCAGCCTTTTTCTTTCTTTCTCAACATATTTAAATTTTTTGAAGAAACGGTTAAGGCTTATCAGAGATGAATAGAAAAGAAAAAAAGAGAGCAAATTATCCAAAAAAGGAGGGATGAACAAAGAGTCAAAGTGACGAAGCAGATGACGTTGTAAAAGAAACAGCCAAAGAAATTAACTTTTTGTTTTTTTTAGTGGCAATCATGAAATTGTCGTTTTTCTCGGTAGAAAGCAGAGGACTCGCTTTGGCCTTCTTAGTATAAAGGTCAAAACTCTCTCGTCCGTTGCTTTTATCATTTCCCTTCTTGAGATAATAATATTCATATCATTCGATTTCCATGTATTTATATAACTGAAATCAATCAATTGTTAAATGTATAATCTCTTTGCATATCTTTATATTTTAAAAACATCATTCCAATAACTACCTACGATTTACAATCATCATATCATTTCGTTTACAAAATGATCTACTAATATCTGCACTTGTAAAAGTTGATATAACAAAAAACGTTTTCACTTATTATTTGCAAATACAATGTATAGAATTATTATCTTACGAAATATTACCTTTTGCCAGTTTTTTTTCTTTCTCATGGAGTTAATAACATGAAGCCAGAAGATAGTAATCAAATTGATTGTTTACGTTATCGGTTAAACTGATATCGTAATTTACAGATATTACCAAACTAGCAGCTAGTTGCATCTCATCTCTGACAATTTCTTTGCATGTGAATAACTTTATGTGTGACATCAGGTCAATCATCGTAACTTTCCAAATTTTACGTAAAGTATATCTCCATTAGTCCGTTAATGTATCCTAATTAAAACACTGGGCAGTATTGGTAAATATTTCCTCTCCGGTTTAAATTTGATGCGACCTATCAAGAAGACGAAGCACATGAGAATTGTGAAGGTGTTACAAATATACAAATGATATTATCGAGAAATTTATGATGTTTTTTTTAAGGAATATTCGTCCTACCTTTCCTAGGATGTATCCTCATTTCAAGAAGCTGTCAACAAAATTTGTAATCAAACAAAAGTTATTAAATATATATATATATATGTATATGAGATATATATTTAATATATACGAGTTGGAGTTACATGAGAGATAGAAGAATTTCACAAAACCGAACGACGTGAGCCATGACGATATTATTCATACTATTATTGGATTCATAACGTATATACCGATATTATTATAACTCTGCTGCATGCCTGCATGTATATAGTTCAATTCTTAATATAAATTTATGTATAATGAATACAAAGCAATTATTTTCTTTAGGACTATCAAATATTTTTAATACAATGTTACGTAATTGTTCAAAAAAAAAATGTTACGTAATCAAAATTTTATTAATGGCTTCATGGCTTTCTTTTACTGTTAGGTCGAAAAAATCATTCAATAATCTATCAATTTTTCTTCACAAATCAACAGGAGTACATGACTATAGTCTATAGGAGGAATGTCTGGCTTATATGGTGAGTTTTCCATACGCTCACGTGGTGAGCCAGTGATTATCCTTTTAACAGTATAAAATATTCATTCGCAAAAAAAATAAAAAATAGTATAAAATATTTCCATAAACGTATGCGTCCATTTTAAGATCTCATAATATATAAATCTTTAATCTGAACCGATGTGATTAGCTCAAGGCCCCAAGGTTAATAAAAAACATTGATCCAAAATCGAATCAAAATTTAATCTAGTTAAAATACATTAATTTGTTTATGAAAACAGAATACAAAACCGAAACAGGAGAAAAATGGAAGTAGAAAAAAAGAAAATATGAATAGCTTAAGAAAAAACTAGTAACAAGAACCAGAATTGAACACTACGCCTGGATTCGAGTTGCCCGTTTGTGGCCATATATAATTTACCAAGAAAAACTTTTTTCACAAAATGTAATCTTTTTAGCCAATAACGAAAAGCAATGGTTGGAGAAAAGACAGAAATAAGATTCTTTGATATTAAAAAAGGGGACCCTTAATAAAATGGATGATAATTTGATAAAAAGTTGTGATTTGCGAAGAAGTTTTAGTTCGATTTCGATCTGAACTCTGTGGGCTTCGCTGTCACACTGTCACGTGCTATTATAAACCATGATTTTCGTCTGTTATATATAATGCGATTGAGAGATCCCAGAGAAACACATAAAACGAATCTGAATATATAAAAGTATATCGCATTACATAATGTATTGTTGCTTTCGTACTTTATACTTTTCTTTAATGTAATAATTCGAACTGATTTGCCAAGAATAACAAAGTAGCAATTTACAGTGACAAATAGACGAACATACTCATAAATGAAATATATATGACATTATGACTCAAAAGCAAAGTAAAGACTCGTCTTGTGTACAGACTTTGAGTGTGGTTGTGGTACTACTCCTATATTTTGCAGACTCTAGTTTGGATCTCGGACTTTGAAACTTCAATGTAAAAGTCTTTTAATTACATAGACAATCACTTACACTTAATAATATTTTCATATTAAAAATTAATAACAATCAAACATTTTTTTTGGAATTGATACGAGTTACATTCATTAGTAATGTGTTGTTAAATGACTTTAAATCACAAATGAATATTGTAAGAGTAAAGACCTACGCTCTTGACAGTAAAAAATATATTTTCTTGTTATATTTATTTATTTAATCGAGACAAGAGTGTCAGAGTGATAAGTATAAAAAAAGAAAATGATATTACATTTGCACAAAAAAATATTAATGATATTAATAATTATTCTAATATTTCCCTTGGATATGTGTGAAACCTCCAATTTTCTCCGAATCAGAAAATCAGCGAACGAAATAATTCTGGTTAATAAGATAAGTAAAAAATAAATTCATAATTCCCTTTCCTTTTAACAAATACATGCATGTACTCCTCCGAGTTCTGTAGTATTCACTATTCAGCATTATAAAATGCTTTAACCATAAAAAAACAGATGTTTTTGACATTTAGCAGAGAAATTGAGTCC